TAGCGCGAAACGTGCATACCAAAAATACAATGTGGCTGAGGCCAAACACGTAACAAATTCTGTAACAAAACACTGGTGCGGTTCGTCAAGATGGGGCCAAACTGTATTTTTAAGTTCAACAATTCTTTATTGCTGCAGATATTACGCGGGATACTCGACGTAATGAGGATAGGGTGCTATAGAAGCAGGAGAGTCACGAAATAACTGCAGATGGGCTATTGTATGACTGTGTGGTATAGAAGAGTTGGTTGTCCTCCCTGGAAGCTATGGAGAAGCAGAAGGATATACGCGCTGTGCATGTGGCGTGCCAAGCCATTCTGCCCTAGCGCCAAATGCGGCATAGCGTTAATTAGGAATGCCCTAGTGCCAAATGCGGCATAGCGTTAATCTAGAAGCTGGCTGTGCGCGCCAAACAATGCATGCCCTGCCCTAACTCCTCTTTCGGCTATTGGCAGGGTTGCGCCGTAACAGCAGAGTTGCTACGAAGTTGGTACGGAGTTGGTGCGGAGTTCAAAATTTTGATGTGTCGTTAACCCCATAATAGTCCGCCGTAGCAACCTCTTTTAACTCGCTCCCTTTCCTTTTCCTTACCGCCTCTGCGGTCTTACCTCCCATACGGTCTTAAGATCCCTACGGTCTTGCCGCCCCTGCGGTCTTGTCGCCCTTGCGGTCTTGCTGCCCCTACGGTCTTGCTGCCCCTACGGTCTTGTTGCCCCTACGGTCTTGTTGCCCCTACGGTCTTGTTGCCCCTACGGTCTTGTTGCCCCTACGGTCTTGTTGCCCCTACGGTCTTGTTGCCCCTACGGTCTTGTTGCCCCTACGGTCTTGTTGCCCCTACGGTCTTGTTGCCCCTACGGTCTTGTTGCCCCTACGGTCTTGTTGCCCCTACGGTCTTGTTGCCCCTACGGTCTTGTTGCCCCTACGGTCTTGTTGCCCCTACGGTCTTGTTGCCCCTACGGTCTTGTTGCCCCTACGGTCTTGTTGCCCCTACGGTCTTGTTGCCCCTACGGTCTTGTTGCCCCTACGGTCTTGTTGCCCCTACGGTCTTGTTGCCCCTACGGTCTTGTTGCCCCTACGGTCTTGTTGCCCCTACGGTCTTGTTGCCCCTACGGTCTTGTTGCCCCTACGGTCTTGTTGCCCCTACGGTCTTGTTGCCCCTACGGTCTTGTTGCCCCTACGGTCTTGGTTTTGTCGCCCTTACGGTCTTGTCGCCCTTACGGTCTTACCTCCCATACGGTCTTGCCGCCCCTACGGTCTTGTCGCCCCTGCGGTCTTGCCACCCCTACGGTCTTATCGCCCCTACGGTTTTGTCGCCCCTGCGGTCTTGTCGCCCCTGCGGTCTTGCTTGCGCCCCTGCGGTCTTGCCACCCTCCCTACGACGTTTCTCGCATCTGAAACAAGTCATTCCAAAAAACAAACTGGTTAGTCCATCCATACATACAGAGCTCGAACCACGCAATGATACGGTCACATTCGAAAATGAGTCCAATATACCGAAGACTGACTTCACCAATGGTGTAAATACAGTACATGGCATCGTATATTGTGTATTTAACTCGTCTACCAAGTACCTTAATACTATCCATAATATGAAATAATCACCAAGGACGATACTATGTATATGGAGTACGACCTATCCGTTTTTAAAAAATATTGATTGTAGATGATAGGTATTAGTACCAGGCCTGAACAGGGAGACGGTCATTGCCTCGACCTACTCTGAGATCTGCGACATCCTCTGCGGCTAGACCATGAACAAAAAAACATCAATAGCACCACGAAGTTGTATTAATACACCTAGATGAACATGAGCATGATCGACAATATGAACGAGAACAACAACGGGTTCACGCTTGTTACCGTACACAACTGCACGATCGAGGTCCCGCCCTGGTACACAGTCTCGCACATAGTCTACGGCAAGGTCGCGGGGCGAGACGGGAGGATGTACATCCGCATGAACTTACCACGGAACGACATCATGGTCAAGATCGTGAGTAGCAGCGCGAGCGAGTGCTTAGTCTTGGTGTTGGACGCGAACAAGACTCAGAGCACGGGTGAGAACGCCACCACGCTCGTAATCAACGACAATGGCAACAACAAGGTTGTGGACGACCCTATGAAGATGGTTGAGATCAAGGGTGGGACCACAATCACGTGTGAGTCCCTGCTCGCGGTAAAGGTGCTGGACGCGAGCGACGTCGTGATTGAACTCGCGAACACGACCGAGGACGAAGTCGGATTGTGCACGTGCTTGCTGCAGACTATAGAATCGGTTCTGGAATGAGGGCGTGTCGATCGTATACTGGGCAACGACGTTGCAGATGTGCACATAGCAGTCATGGAACGCCCAGACATAAAGTTACTGTCCTATGATATCATAAACCGAATAGTGGGATTTGTGAACGTGGGATATATCATGGCAACACTTCTGGCCTTGGCTCCACATCTATCAGCCGATGAGAAGAATAAAATCAGAGAGTATAGGTTGAGTCCGATAGTCCATCTCAAGACACTTACCAATAGGCCTCTATGCCTTCTGAGATGCAGCAGAACAGTGCTATCAGGCTCGAGGTCCCTTGACTGTTTTGTCCCAGGTTTTTGTACTGGTGATTCTGACTGGGACTTCTACTGTGATGATGATGTCACAATCCTATGCAGATTCATACAGTGGATCCCCTGCGCGGTCTTGCCGCCCGACGGAGAATTCTCAATTTAATGTGTAAACGAGTACGCGATTTTCAACATCTTCCTGCTTTGGAGTTGGAAGCACGATAACTTTGATTGTTCTACAAGTGGTCTATGTAATTCAAAAAGTGATCAAGATAACTTTGATTGTTCTACAAGTGGTCTATGTAATTCAAAAAGTGATCAAGATCGTCCCCTGTGAATGGAAGATTGTTGTAATCACCACCTTTCCCCTTGAGGCCTGCGAAAACCACTTTGTATTTCTGAGCTTCTTGCCACGCATTCTTCATGGACACATATTTAATTTTTTCGGGTGTCTTAATAACGGCAAACCAGAAGTGTTTATTCGTTAGATCTTTTACCTTGCTGTAAAATGAAAATTCTGATTCCGAGTCATATACAATATATTCTTGTTGTCTCCAGCAATAAAGGATAATATGATCTTGAGATGTTGAATTTATGGCTTTGAGATGGTCTTGAATTATGTTGGAGGCTTTGCTTGATGTAGGGATTTCACATGCATTCCTTGTTGCATGTATTGAATTAAAGCCCGAGGCCATGAATACAGAGTCTCTCCGATCTTGGTTCTCTGATCTGGGCCGTACGATGACGGATGAGGGTCCGGCAGCGGAAGGAGATGCAATATGTGAACTCGGTTTTGCGGGTGAAGCGGGTGCGTCTTCGGGCGGTTCACTGCTCTCCGGGAATATATCATCATCTTCATTATCGCCGAAGAAGGCCATAAAGATATCTCTGGTAAATGCGAAAGAAGTCAAATGCTCTCTTCTTTGCATCTTGATCTGACCGTATATGTTTCCTAGAAACAAGAAGGGCTGATCGCTGCGGTGATTCTGTTCAAACGGCCTCCCACAAAACAAGAAGGGCTGATCGCTGCGGTGATTCTGTTCAAACGGCCTCCCACAACGATGTGACTTTGGCTGGCCTTTCTCGTCTGTCGTGTATGCTGGGGTGGTTTCAATACGAATCACTGAGGATCTTCTCCGAATCTCTTCACAGATATGCTCGACTAGCCCGGCTCGATCCTCTTCACTGAAATCGTATATGTCAGTTGGCCGAATTTGCGAGAGAAAAGTTCTCGCCATGCTCCGATCCGGATCCTCGTCGCGCAGCGCATGAATCTGCTCGCTATTATACCCGAGCCGATGTGCTAGATCCGCTAATTGAAATCGTATGCAAGATGATCGTTTTCCCTCCTGAGTAGGTTTTGGTTTTCTCAGGTCCTTACGTGGGATAGTATCCGTCAAGTCTGGGAAGTGACGCATAGCGAAAAGCCACAGCTGTCTATAGGCAAGCCATCCGCCAATCCGGGGACTGTCCACATGCAATGAAGCATAGACTTGTTCTGACTTCTGAATAGGTATACTAGGTGACTGTCTCACAGAGAAATGACGCGAGAAAGTGTCTCTAAGCGAGCTAGTACTCCGCGGCTGTATAGGAGGGAGGAGGAATTTCAACGCTTTTGCGCAAGGCTCCAAATACTTTGTGTCCTCAAAAAAGGTAAACAGCGACGGAATTCGCTCTGGAGTTTCCAGGATGCGGTTGAGAATCTGACCTCGCGTGATTTCTCGGCTGATTTGAGGGAAGATTACTCTATCATGCATTGCTCTTCGCACGGCTGCACTATCTTGTGTGGAAAACTTGGGCGCAAGCGTTTCCAGAAAGGCTACGGTGGCAGGGTCGACAAAAGCAAGGTGCTCGTTTGACAGGATTTGGCGCCAAATTCGTCCTACGTGGTGCAGGTAATGGACCATTTCCTGGTGGATGTGAGCGTGACAATGGTTCGATGGAAGCATATTGCACATTACCTCAGGACACCTGAGAGTCAGAATCCGGTGAAACGTGCCTATTTCTACTGCTGCCCACAGTCCTATCACAGGAAGCAGCGAGTCGAAAGCTTCGGTCAGGTGTGGATATCGTTCATGCAATTGTCGCACGTCTTTGCGCTTGCTAGCTGAGAGCCTCGCTTGCCACTTACCGGCCTCGTTGATATTGCGGTTGAGTTGATGATGTCGTAAAGAGCGGTAAATGTCGCCGTCGCAGAATTGACGAGAATTAGAATATTCTTCTTGGATTGCAGAGAAGATTTCTCGTGGAATATCTTCTAAAATGATTATCCACAAAACGAAACTCATTACACTGACTTACCGTCGTCGTACAAATCTACTATCCACCATTGCTCATTTGGATATAAGAAAATCTGTGCGGCCTTCAGCCTGTGACGGCCATGCAAAACCTTGAGACCTTCAGGTTCTATCGATGGAGGGTCAGCGCTGTCCAGTAACATGTGGTGCTCTATGCCAGCATCTTGTAGAGCAAGCTGTAGCGATTCGTCCCTGATTGTGGCGGGTATGTGATGATCAGGATTGAGTCGCTGACAACCTTCCAACTCGAAAATTTTCTTGAGGCGGGTGACATTTTTCGTGTCAATAGTGAAAGATGACGGTGCGTCCGACTGTAAAAGACGTATGGGGACCTTCGCGGATCCTTTGAAATGAGCCCGCTTCCGCTCAAATAACCATTGCTCGTTTTCTGGCGACGACATGGTGCGGGATGGGTAGCAAGCAGATGGAGGAGACTCTATCCTAACGTGACACAGTAGTGACTTAAAACTGGAGGCAACCTCATCTTTTATTTTCTGCGGCTTCTATTAATAGCTGACACCTGCTTCCTGAACCTTATAACAGTACAACTCTCCCTATAGAGCCTATTCATCTCATTACAACTATGTCGTGCTGCAACCACGTAACTCTTGTCGAAGTTGAAGGCGAGAAAGATATCTACGATACTGGCCGTTTTGGAAGAGCAATCAACGAGTTGCCCAGACCGGATGAGCAGTACCCGAGTCTAGTCCACTTCGTCGGCAAAAAGAGCAAAAACCTAGCTTTGAAATATCTTTTCCCTCAAAACAACATCCGACGAGGTGCTTCAACGAATGGCTCTACAAACCTCCGCCTCGATACAACCACGATCGGTTCCGATCGACCTTTACTATTCTGCGACAGTGACCCGTTCGCAGCAGCCTCTACACATGGAGGTTGGAATCTCTGTCATAGTGTTGTTGCTTATCCGTTGTCATGGGCTCCCACAACCGAGTATACCACTGGAGAGGTTGTAGAGGCCCGATTACTTTTTCTCTTTAGTGATGTTATTTGCGTGTTCGTGGACGACTTCTCCGGCCTGGATCAGGTGGCAGAACGGATTGTCCGTTGGGTTCGCATAGGCAGTGCATCCAGCCACCCCGAAGCGCTTCGTCCTCGACTCATTCTCGTTGTGTCCGAAAAAACGCTCGATAAATCATTCAGCGATCTCCGCCTAGAGGAATTCCGACATGAACTTTATGAGCGATGTGAAGATGGTTTGGCTAAGGTCTTCTCTGGAGTACAGGTCATGCAGTTAGGAGGTGACCACCTATCACCTCTTGCACGTCACTGTAGGCTGAAAGATATGATGCGAGCGAACGTTTCAGAGATGTCCAATCTACGTCAGAAACATATGGCTGCATTCTCAGCATCGCACCTGAAGGAATTTTTTGTAGCATCGGTGCAGCATCTTGCCGCAACTGTTGATACGACTCTTGACTTCATAACTACTAGCCGCGTTGGAAATGAGATAAGTGGAGACCTGTCCTACCACCTTTACACATTTCTAGTCCTCGGCACTACCTACAAGATCCCCTACGACCAACTTGCTTCCTACATCAGCTCTGCGTTGCTTATGGACGCTTTTCCACCTGGAATGCATTGTAAGTCCAGGTCTACTCGCCTTGGGTTTGGACAAGTGCTAATTGACGGCTTAGTCTTTGACATTGATCAGCTATTTCATCAGCTTTATCGAAACCACTGCTTTGATGCGTTTCTGAAGGTAGGTAGATCTGATTCGTTTGCGAAATATCAGTGTGATCAGGTTCAAAGACATATTGCTGTTCTTGCGGAAGAGCTTCAAAAGGGATCCATTCGATCGTCCCATCTTCATATCGCAAATATCAGTAACAAACACAGACATTTTTCTAGTCTGAAATCCAATGTTTCCTGCCTCTATTGCCTCCGTCGAAAACCAGAGCACGTGTTATCCTGTGATCATTCAGTGTGCGAAAAATGCGTTCGGATTTTTGGCATTGGTGTAAGCGGCTCAGAACAGCGATTCATGCTCACTGGTTGTATCTTATGTCAAAATCTTGGTTCTCTTTCTGTCAGCCTAAAACCACCAACGGCCGGCGTTCGGATTATGAGCATCGATGGCGGCGGAACACGCGGAGTGCTCCCTCTCCAACATATGCTACTGCTTCAAGAGGCGGTCGGGGACTGCCCATTGAATGATTTATTCGATCTGGCCGTTGGAACAAGCTCTGGTACGTTCACCATTTCCTTGTTTCGTGTTTTCTGACCAGGTCAGGTGGTTTCATTGTGCTCGGGTTATTTTCATTGGGCTGGGACGTGAAGAAGTGCAGTGCGACGTTTGACGCTCTTGCGAGGCAGGTTTTTGGCGAAACGTGGGAGACCCAGCGAACGATCCTGGGACGGGCCAAGGAATTGTTCTCGTGGTGGGCGGCCGATGGAAAGCATGATCCAAACTTGCTTGAGTCGACATTACAGAATCACTTCGGTCCTACCCGACGCATGTTTGGCTCACAACATGGACGATCGTCTGGCCCTAAAGTCGCAGTCACGGCAACATCAATTTCTGATGCCACACCTTTTATCTTTACTAATTATAACGGCGTGATGGATATACCATCAGACTGTGGTTAGTATAATTTTCACTACAACAGCGGCGAGTGCTAACGGAACGAAGGCTACAGAATGATTCGCCCGTGGAAAATCGACGAAGAGCCATTTTTGTGGGAGGCGTAGGTTCCCCTAGACTCCTGTCTCATGAAACCGCTAACAGCGGGCAGAGGTAGGGCTACATCAGCAGCACCTTTGTATGAAGCTCCTTGATTTCGGTGTATCATGCTGAGTATTAGTTAGACTATACCGTCCGGCAAATATCACTGCCCTTGGAGCTTTCCAGGACGGTGGACTCAAGTACAACAACCCGGTTAACCTTGCACTATGGGAGAGCCGGCGTATATGGCCAGAGAGCGCATCACCGGATATTGTCTTGTCATTCGGCACAGGGACCGAATCTTGGAGCAGATCATCTCATGCACCGCATTTCCGGCATATCCTGAATGATGGTTTTATCCCTCGAACCTGGCGATCTTTCATGTCTTCTCTTGATGGTGAAAGCACTTGGAAGAACTTGAAAAACCACTTAAGCGAAGGAGCGAAGACACACTTCTTTCGTCTTAATCCAGTGTTGCCACATGATGCCTCAATAGACGACGTGAGCGGGATGGACGCTTTGCGTCGCATTGTAAAGAAATCAGACAGGTGCATTGAGATTGCAAGAGCATTACTGATATCCAATTTTTATCTGGAACTGAGAGCCATGCCATCTTACGAAGCAGGTCAGTATCGATGCCATGGGACTATCCGATGTCGCGGGCGGAGCTACACTACTGTGCAAGCATTGAAACGCTTAGGTTTGACCAGGTTGCAATTGGTCTCTGAATTGGAATCCTTAGGATCCTGCGCCCTGCAGCGCGATATCTGCCCTCTGTGCCACTGCTATCGATGGCCAGTTACTTTTGTGGTGCGTCACCTGGACGAACCCTTCTCATTGTACTTGAGGGAAGAAGGCACATACAAAAGGCGACTGGGAGGCTTCCCCAACAATATCAGATGGTTTATCAAACAGCAAGCATTGAACGCCAAATTTGGAACTGCAGATCATGGGTCAATGGGTCAGTCAAGCTGCAACCTGTGCGCCAAGTTGTTGATGACCTTCGAGATGCGGAAACGAGGATGTGATATTCCATTGGAGACAATGTCAAAGAGACCCCGACTTACGTTGACGGTGCCTCAAGATGTTCATTTCTTCCAGAGCACATTCACGTAGTCTAAAGTATTCTTGGACTGGGCTTGCTTGTAGTATTTATGAAATCTTACCTGTGAGTATAGGACAGTACTTTCAGTCGTAGTAGCTTTTACTAAACAGCTTGAGAACACCATGAAAGTTTACGTGTAACTACTGCCATGACTAGTAGACAATGTCTTAATAAGAGTAGTCTTCCCATACCACAACACACTTTTAAGGCTTGCTAGGACACATAATCTTCGACCTTTACTGAGCGTAAAAGACTCCGCTAGTCACTTGTAACAGGCAGTAAACAAGACAATAGTAGCTCCGAGTCAGGCTCCTCCTTAACAAGCTCAATAGGGTTCATATTGTCAATGCGTAATTCACAGTCGGTATCCAAGCCTAGTATAACTCTCAAACCTCTATAAAAATCCCTGAAACCGTGACACAAGCGAGGTCGATCTCTACACAACTTTTTCCAGAAGTCCTGCGACTCAGGAGCCGAGAGTCTGATATAACTAGCAAGTGTTAGATATATTGCATCGCCGAATCAGGCACCTTACCGTTGTGCTTCCTTATCACGGCAAGGCTTTAGCATCCATAATGGCATCTCTAATGGATCTATCACTCCAAAGGTTGTGATGAAGTCGTACAAGTCATGACCACTCCGCGCCTGCTGTTTCAATACATTTAATTTCTCTTGTCGATCTTGTCGAATATTGATGTTGTTGTCTCTGAGCTGTTGGCAGATTGCATGAACATTAGGAGCGTGGTCTCCGTCCCATTCATGCAACATAATACAAGCAGCGTACGTGTCCAGATGGATTGGGAGGGATCTCGCTCTATCAGGCTTCGAATATTTGGATTCTCTCTTGCGTCTCTTATTGGTTGTTCTTCTCCACTTTTCCACCTCATCTCGATATTTTCTATGTCGTTGCGAGAGGATTATGCAGCTATACTCTTTGATCCACGTGCTCAACATCTGATCTGTCTGCGATGTTGTATTGAGAACCATAGCATGTGATACCAGAGTTTGCGCCCTGTGTACAGATCGTAAACCTGCACTCTGCCGAAGAACGCAAAGATCGGCAAAAACCTGTGGGCTTGCAAATGCGGCGACCAAGTCTGTTTGATGAGCTTCGATAAGAAAGAATGGGCATTTCGCTTGTCCAACAACGTCCACCTCATCGAATTTCCGCTTCAGAAGCGTTCTTACGTTCCTGTGTCCATGAATATTTGCTCGAGCTGGCGTCAGCAAGGTCGCGAGATATCGAAGTCGAAGATGACTGGGATCCCGTGGCAAGTGGTCTAAACTGGTTTTACCAAGAGCAATTTCTGCATCCGCAAGAAGAATAGGACCACAGTCTGATCCGTTGTTTTCCCTACACTGATTATGTTGTCAGCGAAGTCTATAATTCGTGTCTAGCAGCTCACATTGGGAACTTCTTGTAAAGTCCACGATTTTCGGCAATCAATTTTTCTGGCAATCTTGAGTATAGCTTCTTTATGGTCACGTAATCTACCATAATGAAAAATAATTGACTGTACTATATCTATTCTGACAAGAATCCAGTGATTATTATTCTCACATACAGGAATCAAAACTGTGTCTGGTTGTTGATCCCATAGGGGTTCCCATTGCGAGCTCTTTACTGATATGCTGTCGACGATTGCAACACTAGCGTCGTGTGCAGACAACGCTTCAAGGGTTAGCTTCAATGCCGTGTCATTGAGCCATGAAGCTTGGACATCACCGGGCGTGGTCGGCCGAAAACGCCGGAACATGGCCTCTGCGGCCGCTCGAGTGAGGTTAAAGTAGGGTCCGAAGTCGATACCTTCTGCGATTAATACGTCGAGCTGTTCTTCAATGCTAGTGGCACTTATGAGATGATCTACAACATTCTGAGACGCAGTTTTTACAGTAGCGTCAGAAGAGTCAGTAATAATAATGCTTTGGACTGAATTGCTCGAGGTGGTATTCGGAGAGTCTGGAATGACCACAATTAAAGGATCTGTTGGGTCAGCAACTATACAACGTGTCTCTAACGTTTCAGGTGCTGTCGCTTGAGAAGAATACTCATCTGTCGTTGACTTCGGGACCAGGCTCGACTCCTTACAATCGAGATGCTCTTTGCTTATCCGAGAAGCAATTCGCTTTCCTTTGTCAAATTTCGCGTTACGGTGCTCGAAGATGTCAGCTTTAAGGTCAGTCTGGGAGTCTGAATCCGTCTCAATCTCCTTATGCGGAACATGCATTGGTTCAATGCTCAATTTCTGTAGTTCTCCAATCCGCATTCCAGAGTGGGAAACAAACGGTCCTCTCCCACAAATAGAGTTGTTCGAACAACACTGGTACATAGGCGGCGGCAACCATCCCTCTTCACAGATGTTGATTGCCTCAGAGATGTTGGGTCCCGCATGCCAGACGTAGTGGTATACGTTATAGTCCGTAACGATAATTTCCCCAGGATATTGCAGAACAACTTCAAAAGCAATACCCCAGACTTCAAGCAGCGTTGGTGGGATGATAACATTTGAATGGCGCACAAACTGACTGCATTTAATGTTGCTATTCGTAAGACCAAACAGCTCTGCAATACGGGCCTCGAACTGGTCAGCCTGACGAGATGAAATCAATACCCATACATTTGGCGCACCCGCATGTAGTAGGTTAGCCGATTGTAGGTTGAAGTCCTCTTTGTGAAAACTAGTGTATGATCTGCGTGGACAAATATACACATATGGAGAGTGTATACCTGCGAATTGTTGTCTAGTACTCAACAATCGAGGCGTTGTCGTCAGCGCTGTAGATTGAAGTCCAATTGCGTTTCGCTGTGCCGGTGTGTGCGCCTCTGTTATTAGATAGTGAAATACTTTGTCGAGGTCATGATTTAGGTATTTCTCTAACGCATTAGCAGGATTTTGCTTGATATCGTCATCTGTTCGAGGCGCAGAAAGTTGTGGGATTGTGAAAGCTTCTGTAGTCTCACATAAATTCTTGACAGTTATATCTACTGTGAAATAGTGATTTGGTATTTCTTCATGGCGCCGGAGCCGCTGTTCTTGATGGTCTCCAAAGGCGATGGCTCGGTGTTGAACAGTACGTATGCCAGTTTTCCGGGTCGTTGCTGGGAACTTCTTGAACCCAGTGGCAGAAAATTTGATGCTTTCCAGTGCAATTCCGTTGTTATGGTCAAACATTGTTTCTTGTGGCTCGTTGGGAGAGCAAAGTCAGTAAAGGGAGATGGGGTAACTTACATCCGCAGGCTTCACAGCGCTTAACAAAGATGGCTCGAAAAAGTCCGCCAATTAGATGCAGATTAGTGACCAATGTTTGAGGTGGCACCTTAAACATTGGTTACTGCTCTACGTCTAATTGGTCATCCATGGTTGGTGAGACTCGTTCGTGTACTATTTACGGAAGGAACTAGTACCATCAGACTTCTCGTTGAGTGCTGCCCTAACGTGAATAACGTCCTCTAGTCAGTCTGTGCTTAGGCCGTGCAGGGACGTCAGCAGACTGCCCTGACAGTAAGTGAGGAATCCGGAAGGTGCCATCTCTAAACCAAGCGCAATACGAAGTACGTGTGGACGCCACCAACCAAAGGATACAGGCGTGGTCCAGAACATTCTCCCACTAGCAACGACAAGGTCGAATCATTGACTGCGGTACCGCCAGAGCCGTCTGCTAGCCCCCTGCGCGGCTAAGTACAGACCGATGTGGGTGAAGTGCAGGGATGTGGCGTTGAACAGGCTAGAAACTATCTGGATAAAAACTTTGAGTGAAATGCAGCGCAAAGTGCCACAAGCGCCCACACAGATCAAGGGACTCGTCTCTTGACGAGTGGGGATATTACTTCGTACGTACGTAGTAGTTCGATAGGTGACCAGCTCAGATGAAACGATGTTTCATATCACATCAACAAGTCACCAACTTCAAGGCAGGATTGGTCCAGCCTCTGCTTTCCTTTACTTGCCTCTCTCTCAACAAATATGTACTGATGGGTTCTTAATTACTAAATCGTGTGTGGTGAGATTCTCAGTCCTCTGAATAAAATATGATGATCATTGCCGCGTATGCATGACATTTGTTACGTCAATTTCTTGTTCGCTCGTCGCAACAATGCTTACTGAACTTGAAAATTTGATGAGCCTGAAGAAGGTCGACAATGCCAATGACTTACTCGAATCGATCTGCACGATCTTCACGGAGTTCCCCCAGTCCGAAAACCCTGTCAAAACTAAAGGTCCCAAGACTCCAACATCGAAGTTTGCTGCTTGCCACGATCGACGTGTAGTTAAGAAAAGACGAAGGAAATCAAAATCGAAGCTTCGAAAAAAATACAGATATTGTTCGGACGACAGCTGTAATGCTGATTGTAAATGCCGATATGCGTCGCGAGAATGTCGCCCGGGCCGATGCCAATGTACAAACTGTTCCAATATTTACTCCAATCGCAAGCTGCCTTTATTTGAAGTTCGAGAGTCAAACATACCTGGGGCAGGATCTGGGCTCTTCGCGGGAGAAGACATTCCAGGTGGCACCTTTCTCGGCGAATACAAAGGAAAAAGGTGTTCCTTAAAACCGGGGGATGAGGATTACCGAGATTTCCAAGACCACAAAGTAACCCGCTTCGCAATATCGCTAAGTATGCTGTCTCTGCGTTTAAATATGGCTCAGCTGACAATCCAAGCTCTCTACATTGAAGGAGATCCTGCCCTCTGTAGGGTCTACTTCATCAATCATCAAGATGATAGGGAGAATCAGAACGCTGGATTTCAGATAATCGATAAGAAGCCTTTTGCGTTTGCACTGCAGAACATCCAGAAAGGAGAAGAAATCTACACCACTTATGGAGGGTAGTTGTCCCAAATCTTCTCTATCAGACTCTTCAATTAACAACGAACTATAGAGAATGGCACTTTCCGGAAGCTCCACACTCAACTATTAAGCCCGAAAAAGTACCTTGTGTTGTCAACGGACTACTTTGTAAGTCATCCTCGTCCAACAGTCGTTTCCATGCTAATTCATCTCAGATAAGAGGCTAGTTATACACGTTAACGACTACGTCTATATTAAAGGACAGCCCACGAAAGGAGATCGTCATACTTCGACATGGATAGCCAAGGTGCTAAAGATCTCACTTACCAATAACAAAGAATGGCTTCACGTTTCTTGGATGTACCACCTTCATGATGTGCCGAGATGCATTGTTGGCGAGCTAGAGATTGGAGATTGGGAGCTCTTTGCTTCTAACCACGAGGATGATATTGTAGTAGACACTTTGATGGACTTGGCCAAGGTTAAGGAGAACTGCAGAAGCGCACAGTCTGATTGGTATTGGTGGCGAACGTGGGACGCAAAAATGCAGAAATTGATTGAGCCGTCGTTGTAGAGTGCGAAGAGATTCAGCGGTAGCAGACAGGTAATTCATCTGCAGCTTTTTAATAAAGAGATTACCTTGCTCAAACGAGGCTCTTTTCATTTGTTCATCGATTATAAGAACAAACGGCCTCTTACTAAATGTAGTCCTTGCGGGTTTTGATATCAGAAAATTTTGTCGGGCGAAGATGTACAGAGACTTGGTCTTGTAGTTCCTCTTCTCCAGCTGACTGCAGGGCTTTGTTCAAACGAGTAAGGAGACGAGAGAAGCTCTGCACTAGTTGAAGAAGGCATTCACGATATTTGTACGTATCCTCCCACACCGATGACCTAGAGGAACAGCTGTTTTGATTCGTCTCCACGAGTCCATGGCCTATCCGATCAAAGAAAGACATCATCCTTCACCCAACTTAAGCCCCTGAAAGTCTCATTTGATGAACCAAGCTCATAATAACACGTCCTTTTGCGTATCTAACAGTGTTTCCGTAATTAGCTGGCCGGTAATGCAATAAGATTCTCATATAATCTCAGGAACGACTTCCAGTCTTTGCCCAATGGATACATATGCATACATTGTGTCATATTGAGTAACTCCTCCACCGTTTGAACCAAGGCACTAGTGGGACAAGGATTTTCTCGAGCCTTCAATTGGTGTGAAAGGTTTTGCCATAGAGCGCATCTGGTTTCTATCCGGTCGGAGGTGCATATGTTGCAGCTGTTGTGATCGTAATACGAGCTTAGAATGTCAAGGTCCGAAGTATCAAAGTCCAGAGCTTCAAAGTCCCGACTTTCAAACCTAAACAGGATCTATTAGGGCTACTGCTATATCTGTCATAGAAGTCTTACCGTATCGCATTCTCCACATGATACGATAGTTCTTGACAAGGATGTGAAATCAATCGATAATGTTCTTCCTCCTTTACATCTTGGAACTCTGAGCGGGTGCGTTCATACTGTTCTTGCTCCTTAGGTGTCGAAGATAGCGGAAAGGGGAAAATTGAGCCGACGCCGGTTTCTGAGTTGTTGGTCCAATAATCCATACGGTTTTTCAGGGCTCCTGCATATTCGAAAGTGGACTTGGCGTGATTTGCCCAAGCTATTTGTAGAGTGTTTGAAGTTTTCCCTTCAATTTGTGTTTTTTCTAATCGCCTGCGGTGATTTACAGCCTCAAAGTCGTATGGTGAAGTGTAGAAACGATTAGGGATATCACATTCCGCGAATTCGAACTTCCCAACTTGACGCAAAATATTGAAAGGCTCAAGGAAGTTTTCGTCGAGGTTGGTCAAGATAACTTTGAGATATTCGAGATATTGCGGTAACCATGTGCAAGACGTAGCGCTAATCTCTGGATATTTCGTTTGAAATCAGGAAGGTAGTCGTGAAATCCCGTGTTTCCTTCCTCGACATAAGTTATCCGAATCACTGGACGATGTATCGATTTCTCGAGGTTCAAGTCCTTCGATTTCAGATCAAGCTCTCGGATCGTTATCGCCTCATAATTGAGTGATACAAGGTCTTCGCCACCGCTGAAATCAATACGTAGCTGAAAACCTCCAACACAAAGGAAGTGTTTGAACTCCATCTCGATTTCTTGAGTTGCGTGAATAAAAACGTCTACATTTCCCCAGGACCCAATACACTCGTCCGTGTGTCTTCCAGCTTCTTCGGGCGGAGTCTCCCTTCCTGGAAGCGTGTAACTATAGTCTGTTTTTGCTAAAGACCTGTAAATCAGACAACGGATCTCTGCTGGAAGCGAACCTAGAATCGTTGTCAGTCTACCTCAAATATTAATTGCCCTTACGTAAAGAATTTTTCCGCCAAAGGATGCTGCGCACGGCGTTGACATGGACTATAACCCATTGTGGAAAGAAGATGGGATCAATATAAAGATGATTTGCCTGAGTAATAATGCTGTCACAAGCCCAGCCTGCGTTCCGGAAATCACGTGTAAGACTTTTTGCGGTTAGCGTGTGACTTGGCCTTGGCATTATCATTTATTGCTTTACGGATCATTCCTACAAAGCGCAAGAACAGAACGAGAAGCGGAGTGGAATATTACTACCACCTAGACAATCCTCGACACCTCGTCTGTCACATAATAATGGTCATAACAAACATAATAAGAGACATCGAAAGGAAGAAAACAGGTCATCTAGTCGATACTCGCAGTTCGATCGTCCTCCTCGGATTAAGGCACGGAGCCAAACGCGAGGAAAATATCAAAACCGTACGACAAGGTAGCAAAAAGCCACAACATCGGTAAACGGTACCAAAACCGTCCTAGACAGCAATATCGACCTGGATGGGGATCCTCAAAACTGAAGCCGAGCAATCTGAAACGGTTTCTATGCCTATGTAGTCTCATTTTAGAGGGATGCTTTAGAGATTACCGCTAAACAAGAGCTGCTTAGAACCAATCATAGAAATGCTCAGAATGTTGACGTCGCTTCTACAGGCCTTGAAGCTTATTCATTGGATGAGATCGTCCCAGCGTCGGTAGCATAACCTTGGTACGTCCATGATATTTTTGGCACGCGAACAATGGTAGCGTAATCACCGAACAGGGTGTCGAGATCAAGGCAATGAAATGGAGCTACACATAAAGAACAAGTCAATAACATCTGGCAATGAAGAATATAATAACGCTTACGAGAAATTCGAGGTTTCAGATCGCTTTAGAGAAATAGCGTGTTGTCAAATTACGAGGATTAAACAATGTCACAGTCATATTACAGCCTACCGCTGTGGACTTCAGATCCAACCAAAGGATTGGAAGCAAAAGGCAATGAAATGGACGCAGAGGGCGATATGGACGAAGAGTGGCCGAGAGACATGGCGAAAAAATGAAATTAAGCGCCCAAGGGAATAAGGAGAGTACAGTCGGATCCTTCTTAGGGAGAGACGATGCGACAAGACGTCCGCTTACCTCCATGCCAGCCTCGTAGTTTTCTCTGATTGGACTTAACGAGATGGCGTCTATGCACTTTTTAGACGCTCTTATCAAGGGCCAAATAGTGGCATAATTGTTGCTTTTGGGTATAAGAAGCAAGCCGAAGCTCTCTTAATGAAAGGAGCTCAGTCTTTACAATCATGGTACTCGATATCAAACAGAACGGTGGCACCGACCTTCCACTTGCATCGGTACGTGATGCAAACTTTCTTGGACAGCTGCTTCAACGCCTCGGAGCAGGCTTTCAGTTTCCTACTAATGCCATCCATCTTTTTTCGAAACTCGCCGAAATCTATAGGCGAGAGAGCGAGAGTGCTCCCATCTGGTTTATCTTCATGATACGCATCGCCATGGCAAAGCTGCGCCAAGCGATGTACGAGCCCTTTACCTGGACGGACTACCTCTCGGCTCCTCCTGACCCTTCGAATAAATCTGATCACAAACGGTACCATCTGTGGAGCATCCTCAGTATGTTCCATCCGCTCGAGGTGAAAATGAATGCTCGGGGGGAGTTGGATCCAATAGCGCCTACTACAACCATGACCTTAGTATCAAATTTGTGGAGAGATGATGGAATGCAGTTGGCGTTTCTCTCATATCACGAACGTCAGATATCGGAACATTGCACACTGATCCCCTGGAAATCCTGCGCCCACTTAGAGCGCACGTACTTGGCGAAAGACTCGCAACTGAAGGAGTTTGATGAGATATATTTTCCAGGGGATCGGAGCAATGCAAGAATTGAAGAAGCTTTCTTTTCTCTGGGCCAGGAAAACCAGGCTGTAAGCAATTTCCCTGCAAAGTCCTGTCCATGGAGGCTGCTGACAGATGAACCCTAGCCACTAATGACGCCCCATTTCCAACAAGCTGGTGTGGTTGTTCCCGACTCTAACCAACCGCAACCCAAAAGAAAGCCCGAAGAGGATGGTGCTGGAAAAGAGAAATTTAAGTCCCAAAGACTAGCATCACCCTTTTGTGAAGAAAATGACGACGATGCGGTAAGTGGACTATTTGGGAACGTGGACATTGGATATGATGAGTTGGTGCCTTTTGAGATCTATGTTGACTCGAGGATTGCCACATCCCAGTTTACACCTCACGAAAGTTATGTCAAGGAACCGGAGAATGTGTTGGCTTCACCCGCCGGGCGGGCGAAGTCTCTATAGAACATTTGGCACGATAAGTACAACGGAGATATTTGATGAAAATAAGAAATCCCCCATGACGTTCCATTCCCGAAGAGTGCAATGCCTTGAAGTTGCATGATGTTGCCTTGCATCAGCAGTGGATGCGAAAGTTTTGCACACTTGGTGGAGTGGGCCTGCGTTCAATTCCTTATTTCAAGCTTGCCTTCGAGCCTGCATTTAAGCCTGTATCCGAGTCTTCATCCATGTTTCGATGCGAGCCTTCATCCATGTGTTCATCCGGCGCTTCATTCGCCTCATCAGCCTTCCCTCCTATCAGCTTTGCCAGCCACTCTTTTAAATCTTCCTGAGTAACCTCTAAGCAGATGCCCCAGATGGCCATAAAACCTTGCAGGGGTGATAGGCAGGGAGCGTAGGTTGTTGAACAATAGGTTATGATTGGATCGATTAGTGCTTTGGTGCTTACTAGGGCAGCTCTTCGACGATTGGCTCAAGGTCTGACGAAACGGCCGCCTTAAGTACGTAGTAGATATATTGGGTATCCTTTGTGGTGGCGTCCCCATTCCCTCTCCCGCAGTGATCTATCTAATTGGATGACAGACAGCAGATCGGGTGGAGGACTCCGGTACGGGTGATGTAGCCATGGCCCGCACCATAATCACCTGAGCTTTCTACTGGTTGTTAAATGACAGCGGAGTGTGCTTAAGAGCTTGCTTGTCTGCTCCCAGGTCAGGTTAGTCTCCCACTGATGCGTACATGCTCTCAGGTTCCGCTTACAGCGCCTTCTTCCTCTCCTCGGAACGCATTGATTTAGCTTTCTCTTGCAGGATCTTATATGCTAGGGGAACATCCTCTTCCAGCTTATCGGCGATGGAAGTGTTTTGCGTCTCCCTTAAGCGCTCCATGAAAAGCCTAAGTTTGGTCTCCTTGTCGTCCTCACCCATCTCGGACCATACCGGCGCAGGAGTACCAAGGACGGGTTTTGCCACGCGCTTAGCCGTAACTTTCTGCTGCGATGTCAAGACAGGAGGAGTCGACATCTTTAATAAGGGATGGTCATAGGTGAGAGTGTCGCCAAATTCAGATTTAAAATCACAATGCCAAGCATTTCCAACTACATAATGTCATGTGCGAATCACTCAAATGTGCTCGCGGCCCGCTAAAGAGCTAATTACTACGGCAAAAACATCCTACGGAACGGACGAGACCCCCACTTCGGCAGCCCCACCCTCTGTCTTTCCCGCTTTAGTTGCGTTTTAAACCTCCCAGCTGACTCGATGCTGTTCCTTTGTTGACCCTTCTCTTCCATGTACCACGATCGAAAAGGCGAATTTTGTCCCTTGCTCTTCCAAACTTTCCGAATTACAGCCTTGTCAAACCCGGTTTCAACCGCACAACAGATGGGACCAAAGTATGGACTGAATCGCACACCATCAACACCTGGCGGGCATTCTTTCCACCGCCGCTCTAAGAATTTGAGAAGGTCACTCAAAACGTCAGCCGGACTTCCGCATAACCTAACCAGCAGACGAACAAAGGGTTTTGCTCTGTTTGGCATGCTACCAACGAAAAGCCATAACAACAGCGGGCGAAGACGTCGCTGTAACCGCTTTGCCGCCATTTCGAAGATCCTTCTGGTTCCATGATGACTGGAGCGAAACAGTATAATGAAGTCCCCGAATATGCTCAACTGTGCTGGGATGATGGTGTTCTCAGCATACCCTGAATGATGCTGCGATGGATCGACTTGACACTGCGTTGTGAACGTGACAACAAGCTCCGCAATCTCCACCTCAGCCGCACGTTGTAGTGTTTCGGAACATGGCTCAATCCCCGAAATGATACGTTGCATACACGTACCAAGGCGCTGCGGATCTGTATATTCAAGAAATGTCTCCAGAAATGAAAACAGCAATTGTGGTCTTTGATAAGTATCGGTTCGATTGAATGCCTCTATGAAACGGTCCACGGTATCGTCCTCCGGATGCGTCGACACGAAGAAGTGTTTCTGGAACAAATCGTATCCAGTAAGTCCAAAAGCTACAGCCCGCACATCAATTCGTAGCCGCAGGGGCATATTCCGCATGCTGCGAAGCGTCTCAAAAAGCCCGATGGCGGTTGTCGGAATACTGTGGTAGATATCTCCTACGGTGAGCTCCCATGCTCTTTCGGCTTCCCGGCTTTGGTCATCTAGATCAGAGACTGGCCAATGAGTCAGCGGGATAGAAAGGCTCGGATAAGGGCGCACCTACACTTCAGCCGTGAGTAGTTGTCTCGCCCATTCCCTTGTCTGACCCGCAACAGAGTAGGCTGTTCTTCTGGGAAACATTCTGGGTAGCAGTAGTGCTCCGGAAGTGCTTTAAACTCAGAAAGGGGCCCCCTCCAGTTTGACGTCACACACGCCGGACTCGCCGACTCCACCGTATGCGTCGTAGGAGCGCACACCCCCCCTGAAGGGCGGGGAGGCAGACGGGGTCGAGACAGTTGGGGAGGGCTGGGCTCAACCGGCCTTGCATCTGGTCTCCGTCCGTCTGGCTGGTTCACAAACCGCGCATACGAGTGTGACGGTGATGGAGTTGTTGGCAGTTCGTATGCCGATTGACGTGGTCCTGCTCTTAGAACAGAAGGAAAGTCTCTTGTTGATTTACAAGTAGGCTGATACCCTGTTGCGGGAGGGAAGCTGGGTGCTTGTGCCTGCGAGCCCTGTCGACTTGGTCCCGGTCTCAAGTTGGAAGGCAAGTCTCTTATCGACATAGAAACCGGCTGATGCCATAATGATTTCGAATAGGAGTGTGCATATCGACTTGCGCCTGGTCTCATATCAGAAGACATGATGATACGGGGAGGTTGAGCGCTCTTGATATAATGAAAGGAACGCGAATGATGGTACGAAAATCTTCTTCACTTCTAGGCATTTTCCTCCTTTTGTGCTTTACCCTTATCATGCCTCGCAGCAAGTAAACAGGCCGCATGGGTCGCGAAGGTATGAGGGGTTGCCCGGGTAGGGAGGGTGTGATTAGTTGGTAAATAGGCATGGGTCGCGAAGGTATGAGGGGTTGCCAGGGTAGGGAGGGTGTGATGAGTTGGTAACTTACTTGCGGCTGCAAAAGCAAGTAAACAGGCCCAATGGATTGCAAAGAAAAGCAGGGTTTCCCAGATTGGAAGGGTCTTAGCGGTTGGAAAGCAAGCGAAGGTGTCTGGGGTGTGCAGGGTGTACTGGGTAGTCGGCAAATAAAGGGGTAAGTAGGTAGCGTAGGGTTGCTCGGGTCAGTAGGGCGTGGGGGGTTGGAACGGGTACGAGCACTCCTTATCGGCTACACAGTGGGAGCCAATTGCAATGTCCTGGATATGCACCCTTTCGCTGCTAGTAGATGTGGTTCGTGGATCAGCAGCTCTATTGGACGGTGACAAAAGTGAAGTGTGCATGAATTGTTGATGCGTACGTACTGTTTCGGTAAGATGGCACCCTGTGAGGACTCTTCCTTGTAAAGTACTTCTTTCAGATAGATTCTCAGTAAATCATGCCTTTTTTATGTATAAGAATCACTTTTTACTTGCCTCGCCTCTCTTTTCCGTGGGTTCTGAGCACACATTAATCTCCCATCTTCAGAATCAAATAGGCAGAAATGGATTGTTCTGCAGACGGTCTCTTGTCTAACTTGGAGCTCGTTCTCCACGCCCACGGTGTTAAGGGTCTTCAAGACCGCCTCCGGCACCTCGCATCACTTCGAAGCCTTCCACTCGGAAATTTCACCCTCGCCTCTGACCGTGACCGCTCTGCGCTCGTGTCTGCTGTGGCTCTTCGAGCGCAAGCCGCGATGGGGAACAGCGATCAGGATTTATTCGAGACTTCTCTCCACTGTCTCAGTGTCATCTTAAGCTTCATCTCCATGGGAAAGGTCGAGCTTTGGTCTGAGGGAGAACCTCTCCCCGACGAGCTGGACATGATCCGCAAGACATATATGAATTCGCTTCAAGGCTCGCATTTTACAACATGGCCATCCTATTTTGTCGTCTTTCGCCTCGCGTATCCTTCGATGACAGAATTCTGGGTCAAATGGCTCCACGAAGCCTCTCTCGGCCTAGAGACGCCCTCGAGTACTAACCTCTGCACATCCTTTCTCGAATGTCTCTTTGACCAATCCTCAGAATGCCAAAAGAGTCTCGGAGGTCTTACTCTCAGTCATCCATCACCAAACATTCGCCACCAGTTCGTAAGGATTGCGTCTGGCCTAATGAAGAAGCTCAGCTTCAAAAAGGTGGCAGGCTTCTGCTGCATGCAGGGCGAAGTCGGGGTTAGGGAGAAGAAGCCGGTCCATAGCTGAGGAAATGATGGATAGTGAGGTTGGCACGAGCCTACGTGAGGTCATGAAGAGAGGCTGGCGGTCACCTCTTGTATCTCTTTTATCAAATTGCCGTCTTTTTCGATAGTCAGTCGCTTGCAAGCCTCCTTACAATGACATTTACCAAAATCTTAGATCATTTCCGCCATCTGCTGACATTGTTTCACGAGGATTAAAACGCAGATTAGATCATGATGTTAGGAGAGCGCCCACATCTTTGTTGAACTAATTCAGGCTGTCTTATTGCCTTAAAACGTGACCAAGGAAACACGTAAACAAAGCGTCCTTGTAGTAGACCTCCAGCCCAAGCCATGTATTGAAAACAAAACGTCAGCTGGGTGTTCTTAACCATAACCCATGCTCTTTTCTCTCTAGTCGTATGCTGCCAATCCATAAGTACTTGAAACATGTTAACGGCAACGAGTCGCCTTATCTGAGTTGATTGTGACTCAGAGAAGGCCGACCTGGCGGATGGCACCTAGCACTTAGTGACGATATTCATGAACCTATCATGAAACAGCAGACTCTTTTTTGGCCTGTTGCTCGCTCGATTCTACACCTTGCCGTCAACACAGTGCCTTAGTAAGGAACAATGACATTAGGGAGGAGAGGGTAGTCGATGATCATGCAAGCTCGAACGAGGATGATGAGAACTGTAAAAACCTTCCCAGAAATCGAATCATATGCGATGCCATGAAAAATCAGATACATAAAGGGGCCAGCCCGAGGAGTAAATGAACCAGATATGAAAATATAGCTTAGTCCCTCTTCCTTCTGCGTTTGGGTTGATTGTCTGAGCCACTAGGCGAGAAAGGATGCTTTTGCCCACTTTTCTTCTCACTCTTGCTGCGGGCAAGTCCGTGGGGTTCTTCGTTACTTGCGATGTCCCGCGATCGAGGTTGAGGGACAAGACGTGCTGAGGCGTCGATGCCTGCTGCTACGTCTATGCGACTTTGTGGGTCCATAAGTATCATCTTAGCGCAGGCAAATCCCAGAGAGCCAGGATCGGAAGCAAATTCTTCCGCTATATTTGCCATGAGTTGACCTTGCGCTTTTGCTGCCACCGAGCGATCCAGGCATATTTCTTTGTGCAAAATGTACACGACTATCCCAAGTGACCATATGTCAATAAAGGGTGTCAACGTACCGCTATTGGATATTTCCGGAGCTGAGTAGATGGTGCGAGATCGTCGATGCTGAAGCTCTTCAACTCGCTCAGACATATTGAAGTCGGTGAGCCTAATGTGCAGGGGATGAAGATTCTGGAGCAAAATGTTTTTGGGCCAGATATCCCTGTGGACAACTCCATTTCCGTGCAGATACTGGATAGCAAGAAATCCCTGATGAAGAAGGCTTGCAGAATCAATCAGAGGGTTTTTACCTTGGGCAAGGTATTCACCAAGATCTCCATACTGCACAATATTCATGATAATATATAGATCACCTTCTTCATCTTCGTATGAACACTCGAATTCAGTTATATGCAGCTAGTGGAAATCAGCGTGGTTAACAGATAATGCGGATGAGGCTTACATGAATGAGCTGCTTCAGGATATCTAGCTCCCTTCTCAGGAAGTCCCTGCGAGTGGATCTCTTCCCGGCATACATGGCTCCCGTGCTGATATCCTTCATCTCAACCACATCTGAATCAGGGCCTGAACCAAGATGTCCGTATTCCAGAAACTCTCGCTTGCGTTCCGGTGATTCTGCCTTACGTTCTGGTGACTTTGCCCGGCTCGGAGCGGTCTGGGTGTGCTCCTGTGAGTGGAAGTCCAGGGAGTGCATGGAAGGCAAGGCAAGTCGCTGATCATTGAGATACGCCGAACGCTCAGCACGATCCTTTTCCGGCGACAATAAGGGGAAATGGAGTCTAAACTGTAGGTCTAGCACTTCAATAGTAATATTCCGGTCTTCTGGAAGGACGCTTTGAGAATTTTTTCGGGGCATCCTCTGCCAATTGTATTTAATGATTGTTCCGTTCGAGGAAGTGTCCGTAAGCATAAATTTACCATCCTGGTTGAGGTTGATACTGAAATGACGTTTGCTGATTCCTGCCGAGGTTCCACCAAGTAATACGTCGCATTTCCTTCTTTCACTGCCAAAGACGAAGCCTTCGAGGGTGTCTTTGGGAGTAGCTGTTGGTCGTTTTTGATCAAACCTGAGACAGATCTGTGAACTTGAACTCAGGTAGCTTTTGTTAATTGGAAGCCTGATAGCTTCCTTAGCTGGTTGATTTATTGCTTCTAGAAGAAGGGAGAAGAGGTCTTTGTCTAGGAAAGCCATGACATAAACAATTAGAGATTGTTCTTCCTAGAATAATTAATAGATGGACATCAAGCACTTCTTGAAGGTAATTATGCTCATTTCGGCGTGACTATTTGATAACTAAACTTAGTAAGATTTTACGCGCGCGGCAGCTCTGCTAATCTATTGTTAGTTACGTGGCAGGAACCGTCGAGGCGCTTGGCGCCCGATAAATTGCTGTTCTGCAGCTCCTCCTTCATCTTCTTTAGCTCTAATCAATGCAATTGACACAACATAGCACCATCTCACCTTCAGCTTCAGGTTCTCAGTCAGCATTTCACCCGGCAACCATGAATGACACATCTTTTGATCCCATCTTGCTTTCAGCCGCTCTAATGTATAGTTCATACAAACTCTCAAGTTCAACCGCGCTAACTTGTATCTGCACAGTGATCCCTCGCCAAGATGGACCCCGGATCCAGAAGAAATGGAGCAAAGATGGAAAGAGAAAGCGTGGGAGGCTTACAATAATCTCATCCAAGAGGGCGGAATTCCTTCCAGGGAGGTTCACACGGAGCCCATCTGGAAAGTGAACCTAACAGACGGCGGAGAGTACTCTTTTCACCTTGACGAGCAGGGTACGGACTATCTTATTGAACCGGCCCTCCTCTCGTCTTTTCACTGGAAACATGAGCGAACATGGTTTGAAGAGGAGCTCGAGGACTGGAGGCAGTTTTGCAAAAGGAACCGGAGGCAACGACGTCTGGAGTACCTGAACTATCAGGAGCAGCGTATACAGACACTGAGAGGATCGGTTGTGGATTACGAATTTAAACTATCTGAGGCGCGACTAGAGCTTCACATGAGAAGCATTCGGCTAGCAAGGACACAAAAGAAGGTCGGGAAGGGACTGAAGCGAAAGAAGGTACCCAGCTCCGAGAGAGGTCATCCTAGACGCAGTGACCGCATTCAGCAGCAAATAAAATACCGGAAATAGGACCGAGCAATGTTCAGGTATCATAAAAGCCAATTCTTTCTCTTTCGAGATATGTAGACTGTTCCAACTTTGATCTGACTCCTACGATAGACCTTGCAAAGTCGGAATTTAATGCAAGCAAAGAAGAGGTTGATCTCAGCGTTAATAAGGTTCTGTTTGGCTCAAGAAGGCTTTAGATGAAATATAGATGTGAATCAAATTGTTTGTCACTAGTTTGGATCTACGATCTTAGCACTAAATGAGCTGAATCTTCAAAACGACGGCGTGTTGGCGTCCATTTCCACAAGAGACATAGATGGCAAGGGGAAAATCCGTCAGAAAGAGATTCTAGAGAGCGCTCAAGTGCTTGGTTCACCTTTCACGGCTGTCAAAGTTGTCAGTAACGCCAAACTCAGGGACGGGATATGCTGGGATACACACGATATATTGAAGGAGTTAGCAGACGTCATCAAAGAAATCCCCGGGCCAGTCCCGAGATAATCACTACATTTGATGAAGAACGTCAGCAGTCAGCTTTGTCATGACCAACACTCCGGCCGTTATTTTGGTGGTGAATAAGGGGCCAAGCTCTAGGTACCTACTTCACTTTCGCCACCTAGGGATTTTGGAGGGCTGTTCACTACGTTGGGATGTGGGTTAGGTATTCAAGGGTTGTTTGGCGACGGATTATCAAGGAGTGTTTTTCTTTTCGCGCTCAGCCGCGTCCGGGTCTGGACCCCCTTGAGATCAGTGGGAACTTACCAAGAGATGAAACACAGGGTGTGCACCTTCGACTAGGCTTGTTCATCTCCAGATCTCATCAAATATTCTAACTTAGCCTCATCCCTGACGGTGCACACTATCCGTTCAATTTGAGTGGACTCAGTATTGGTGTCATCGTACATGGCCAGGCTAAAATTTCGATCGACCGGCCGAGGGTTTTGCCCGAGAGGTTAGCTGTTCATTACTTCATAAAAGCATAGATGTTGCTCAAGCTGCGGAACAAGTCTGCGACATTTTGTTGATCGAATCAACAGTGGTCGAGAGAATTATCTGAGTAAACATCTTTGGGGCATCGAAGTAATTAGGATCTCCCGAGATTAGTGCATGTGACCACCACGCCACTACAAAGCCTCGGGCACCAATGCTCGAGATCATTTTGCATCCTACTTTCGTCGTGCGCCTTTAATTTCTACATCATTGCGTTTGTCGCCTGCGGTATATAATATCAAAGGGCACAAAATCCCTCAACATTTTAAACCTCCACTCTATATCCTTTGGCTTTGCAAATTATCACCATCCCTCTGCGGTTGCGCCCATCCAGATTAGGCGTGCGCGATCACTTCTACTGCTCATCGACTGGCGACTTACATATCATAGCTTCCTCCACCTCGGTACGGTGCTTAACGATTTGTCGCTACGTTTGGTTGCGTAAGCCACTCATTACGATTTCTACGCCCTCATCTACCTCTTACACCTCCGCATTTAAGAAGATTTCAACCAGACTCAAGGCGGCGTTGGCGAAGTAGGACAATACTCGCGACCACCCTAACATTCAAGGGTCATGGCCAAGGATGAAGTCACACCCGTGGACGATATTGCACACGATGATCAGAAGGCTCGAGGAGAAGGCATCAGCGTTGGTAGAACAATTCATAGCTTGCAGGAATGGATTATCTGCTAAACGCAAATATAGTATGAAGCGGATCTCGTCCTAGACCCGAAGGAGACGACTGTGACAGACTTTGAGAGCGTAGACTCGACAGTCGCCAAAAACGCCGACAGTGGACCTGAGCTACCTGGAAAGCAAGGAGTCTTGGGCAGCTTCCATGATTGTACCCCCAGGAGCATCGACTGCTGGTTCTTCCTTCATACGTGTATTTTCTAGCGTGTTGGTCCACTTGCCGCTTGTGCCGGCGTGACTGTGTTTGAGATGCTGTCGAAAATGATCGGCTCGAAAGAACTTCTTCGTTTGGTTACACTCGCCAAACTTGTGAGCGTTTATCAAGTGCTCGGCACGTGCATCCCAGTCACGGGGAAAATTGGAAAATTCCTTACCACAATAACCATATGCATCTTCTGATGGACCATTAGGTGTTTGAGAAGTGGGTGAGGCCGATGGATGAAAGGCAGCCTTATAACTTAAGATTGCTGTACAAGACCACAAATAGCGTCGTAAATGAAGCGAGTTTTGGTGCCGCTCCTTTTTATTCTTGTTTTTGAACCAATTAGTGCAGTACAAACACTAATATTACTTCTCTTCCACATACATTCTCTTAGACTTTAGTAAGAAAGTTGATTTGTAATAAGATATATTGTACCTTATACTCTCTTAGGTAAGGAACTTTTTGGGTTTTTTTGAGCAGCAATCGCAAATGTACTAACCTCCGATGTAAGGTGTGTCAACTGTCCTGCCATCAGTGGCAGCGGGTTGACTAGACATCGTGCGAGGGGCACCTGCACCTCTGTCGGCGATGTTATGAGGTCTAGATAGAGTAGAATTCAAGGTTTTCTGAATTGGATCTTGTGTTGCTTTAAGGTCCGAGAAAGGGAATGTGCCTCTAGATGAGGTTCTACGAACAGATGATTGCCATGACAAAAGTCTGATTGATAAATAGCAGCGTAGACTACAGAGATGTGCTAGTTATATACTTGCTTGCAAACTTCTAATTAACGTCGCCAGTTTTTTGATGAAGCGAGCAGGTGAGTACGTAACTGAAGTAGGCGTTTGAAATTGGCATGGTGTATGATGGCGAAACAGAGAGTTCGTTGAGGATTTGCATAACGTCCATAATATTCGGCGGAGTTAGCTTGAGTGGTTTTGAATGGTCATGTGTCATCGGTATTCTAGAAGAGCCCATGAGGTGAAGCGTAATTCATGATGCTGCGGGTCACACCGTTGAGATATCAGGTGCAGTAGTAGTTTATGAAACCAACTACTTAAAATGGTGAGGGGAACGTGGGGCAACCAAATTTTTTCCCAATTTGTTCGCCTGGATTAAGCCTTACCGTTTTTCTCTGCCTAACTCGCAATCCTTGTTGGCTTAGGGCGCTCTGATAACACCGCAAGAAAGAAATAGGTGTATGTTCAAACGCCATCCTGTATGAGTTGCTAAAACCTTCCTAGTATGGATCAACCCGCTTACCTTCGCGAAGCGGAGAAGCAACCCAGCCAGGATGATTGCAAGAAGCTGGCAGAATGGTTGCCAAAGGCAGAATTCACAGACGATGTGCCTAACATGAATGTATGTCGAAATGCATCGGAAGAACTACTTCGGCCTTTTACAGCACAGGTATCATTCCTCTCTTTGATCTACTACCTAAATACAGTGTCCTGATATCAGTATTAGGGTATGCGCACTCGTCTGATCCGTTTTCGCAAGGATGGAATTTTTCGAGAGACCTGTGGGTTCCTTACGCCAATAACTGATTCCGGAATGACCCTAACTCTGGTCAATCACAACCTGCAACTTACGGCAAACTTTGGCAAATCAGTCGAATTCAGCGGATTCGTTACAATCCATTCAGCCTGTACCTGCGTTGCGACCTGGCGATGAATGAGGTTAACCAAAAGGTAACCCAGTTATGTCGGTAAAAGATGGATAAGCAATGGAGGAGAGATCAGTTATATCGGTAAAGAAGGGTCTATATGGATCAGGACTTGAGTGGCAGCCAGATGTTCCACCGGTGGAAGCCTGCGACAAGCATGGGTCTCCCTCGTCATGAGCTAATGATGGGAGACAAAGGCCGTCTTCCTCCATGTTGTCTTTATCGTGATCTGTGATAGGAATTCAGTGAATTGATTCAAACAAAAACCATGTATTTCGCTGTCACTGACCCTGTGTTGAGCTAGGAGGCGAAAGCGGGCCTGCCCCTTGCCGTCCACCTCGTCCATGCATCACAACTGAGAGTTGTGATGATGCTGTACTGCTTACATCGTCCTGATCTATCCTGGACTGGTCGCTGGAATCTGGCGATCGCCTTTCTTTCTCAAATCTGAAGATTTGTAGAAACGGGGAGACCTCGTTACCAACTGTGCCAAGCGGACCTGGTCTATGATAACTATATCTGAAGTCAAATCGAGTACGAAAGGTGATCCAAATCACTTACTTCGTTCCTGTGATGTGGCTCGCGATCACCAGAGGATCGAAGAAAGCGGTTGGAGCCTGGCGATCGTGGGACTTAATGCAATCTTGAAGAGGTTCAACAAGACCCCTCGCGATTCCCTTTCCGGTGATAGTCCACGTATCCTCGGCCAATTCAGCAAGTTTCGTTAAACAGAAGCCACTAGCTATCGCCCCATTAATCTTTGAAGATGACGGTGACAAGAATACTGACCAACCAGGGCTTCATAGACTCGGCACGAGTCCTGTCCGAAAATTGGCCAAAGATCGTTGACAACAGTGTTCAAGATGGAGGCGCGACCCCGCCAGCGTCGCAGCTCCTGCCGGAATTTCGAGTCCTGCGGAGACGCCGGTCCTAGGGAGTCTGAAAGCACCAGCTGTGTATTGGATGAGGTGACGAGCATTTGCTGAACACAACCTTCAATCAAACCACAGGCTGCACGAATAGAGCTTGAGGATTTTCCAAAGTCTTTGGCGTGAGAAAGGACGAGGCCAGAATATTCTTCGAGCGAAAGTCCTTCTTGTAAGTACAGAACTGGTAGGCCATCTGCAAGGGCTTTTTGGGACTTGAACCCATTACTGATGCTCGTCACAGCCTTTTGAATCACTCTCGCGTTCTTCAACAGAAATTGCTGTTGTGTTGCCGGGACGATATTGTTCGATTGCTGAGAATCAGATGACTGTTGTGTCGCCGGGACGATATTATTCGAGGTCGATCGCGTGTCTACATGGGTGAACGTTCCATCCCAGTGGACTCGAGGGTATTCGATATAGAGGAAGGATTCAAGTTGGTGACGGAATATATCCGGTAAGGGAGAATCACCTAAATACTCGACTTGACATTCAAAGTTGACCTGAGGAGGGAGACCGGACGGAAAGATTGAGATCCACACAGAGACGTCTTGACCGTCGGCAATCGTTATGTCGACTTTGACGTGGGTCGTTTTGTCGAATGCCAGGTCAGGTCGCTTACGATAGGCTTGTAAAGTCTGTCTCAGCCTTTCCGATGTGTAAACCTGAACGTCGCTCCTTGGAGCCTGTTCTTCATTTTGCCCCATTGTGGATGGAGTTGTAGAAATTCCAACTTCGAAAGAACTCAAAGCCAGGGAAAATCGAAAGATGTTGACAGGGATTGAACGTGACGTTCAATCCCTGTCAACACTTTGGGAGATCCATGAACGGGAGCGATTCCGGCCCTAAATAGGTGGCTAAAAATTTAACCTACCTCCCATTTTGGTTAAGGCCTTTCAGCTCACATCGACCATCAAACTCGCCCACCTGGCGCGGCAAACCAGCAACCTACACAAGCCCTAATACCATCGTGAAGGTGTTCCGGATCAATGGACTTTCGAAGATATCCCGCTATGACCTGATCAAGGCGAGCGGGGAATCGTAGGTGAAATAACCTAAACGGGGTTTTAGCGCGGCACATCTCAGGGTAACGAGACGAGCGTGGATGGACGTTTATTTACCGAAGATAAGAGGAACCGATTACTTACGCATCTCTACTCTTAGGAAAGTTGGATGCCTGTTCGGCCTCATCACTCCGAATTATTCCTGTTTTCCTTTCCAAGGCCACTCTACACGGCGGCCCTTCGGCCCCTCATATTTCGCTTGGAAACAGATTTGCTGAGCCTCCTAAATCAAATCCCCGGTGACCTCACCCTGTTATTCTAAATCCTTTCGGTGGAGTATGATGGGTAGTCATAGTGGAATTAGCTTACCGTGCTATTTACGCCTCAAAAACCTGTGACATGCAAGATTTCTTTTTGGATCGAATCGATCGAAGCTCCTTTAGTCTGCTTGAAGAATGTTCAAAAGGAGTACTCACCGCGCTTTCCAACTGTCTTGTTTGCCTTCTCTTCTGGGTCGCTCGCTACCTTGCCGGTTGCCTTTTTCCTCCACTGGTACTACAATGGAGAAGCGCTATTTTGCCTCACTGGTTGGGATACTCCATGTGGTGTTTCTATTTTGGGCGACCTGCTCTATTGCTACCGTCTTCCAGCAGCCTACAAGCACTCAATTACAACGGGCAGCTACGTGGACTCCATGTGCCCTCGGAACAATCTGTTTTTTTATCACACTTAGTCTTTTGGGACCTGTGCTACGCGGGGTGACCGCACCCTTTTGGTTGCTTCTTTTTCTTTTAGAACTTGCTCACTGCTCCGAGGTAAATGTTCTCTGATGGACTTATGAAAGGTAGCTAATATGTTATCTAGCTCGCCCGTCTTTGGTGGCTAGCTCGAAGTATCAATCCTAACGGCAACTCTTATTGGTCACTTGTTGTTGTTATTGCAGTCGCCACTCTATCTATGGTTGAACCTATTCTCACGTTACTGCCACACGCATTAGTGTGGGTTTGGGCGTCATCTACCACAATCGCTCGTTCTACGCCAATATTCGTCACTGCATACTTCAATTTAAGGAATGGTATCCGCACTCCACTGCTATTTACGGGTTTTTGTCAGCTCTTGATTATTGTTGCGACTTGGGTGGCGGCAGTCTTGATCCCAGACGATGTATTCGTGAGTGCCATCACTTATCTCCTTTGAAACTTTCCCTCATGTTCTTAGATCCAAACGATGCTTGCGAGTGTCCCAGTTACATTATCAATCCCGCTGGCCTGGCAAAAGCGACCGAAGAAGGATCAACTCATTTTGGTGGAAGAGACGATCAATACTGTTACTACTTCTGCTACGCCTCAAATTTCAATTCTCACCCCTCCCTCAACACGCGGTGGTCCTACTACCACCCCAGCAACTTTGAGGTTGCCTCCCTCTCCTCCTTCATCAATTCTCAACGGGTAAAAGGGACTATGACGCGAGCGTTGCAGGGGTTCTCTATACTGTGTAAACTCACTTATGTACTTCGTATAAGCTAATAACTATGTGGATAATTCATGTCTCCTGCATGTAGTTGTCTGTGTGAATTTGGAAAGTGAAGAATGCCAGGGTCCCTGAACTGGTATCTTTCCTTATTAGGATTAGTACTCCCGTACGTTTAGTGCAATAATTCTGCTGCAGCCTTGGCAAAAAGAACATCAAACTTCAAGTGCGTCAAATGCTCTCTTATCTGCATTACTCTAACCAGCTTTTCCGGATGGGATGAAATGTGGCTCCTAGACGAGGGTGGAGCTTACACTCCCTATGTGGAGTTGGCAGTCCATTCTTGGAGCACGATGTCGCTCGCAGGTGGACACCCTCGGTCCCTAAACCACCTCTAGTTGTTTCCCTTGTCTTAATTCATGTCCGAATTGTCTAAATCGTTCTGCACTCGCTATAGATGTGATGGAAGACGTAGCGCTACGTTTCCGGAAGACCAATTCTGCCTGGTTACGCTTCAAGGACATCCAGATCAATAAGTTGAGACGACTTGCAGCTCGAGGCGTACTCCACTCTAGGTTAGCTATGCCCGTGACCGAATTGGTCGTCGGGGCGAGAATCTGTTAGGAGAGCGATCAACAGGGGAGCGTCCAGGTTTTGCTTTTGAAATCCACAAAACAGCTGTTTTATCGCCCTGGTCCTTAAAAGTGGATATCACACAAAATGAGTAAGTGGCGCCTTTCTGCAAGTTCCTCAGTGAACTTCGGTCAAAGTCATGGCCGCCATCAACAACTTCAATCCTCGAACAAGTACGGAAAGATAGCTCCGTGTGAGAAGGGTTCGGAGCTTAATGCTACTGTTAAAATATCAAGTATGGTGCCTATCTATCTACGTTGGGATACGATGTTTTCGGCCCATATTTCACTCCGGAGAGAACACTCACTGAACTACACAGTTGAATATCCAAGCCGGTCAATTCGCTTCCTCTCATACTATGTTTCTTGCATACGGACTACGTAGTAAGGAGAGACATAGCTAGGTGGGGTGGCCCAAACGAACAACGACGAACCCGGAAAGGCTTCCACCCATGGTGTAACGAAACTATTGATCTGATGGGCCGCGCACGAAGGCTTTAGCCGTTCGTTAAAAAGCATTCCCTTCCGGGACTCGAGAGCCGATCCTAGTTCATGCCATGCTAATGGTCGAGTCGAAGTCCTCGCGGATGTGCCAAATGGCGCCGTTTCGATCTGTGTTCTGTTGTGGTCCAATACTTATGGCAGCCCATGACACACAACCTATTTGCCCATAACTACGGCTTGTTGCCTTCTTTTGCCCCGCTTTGCTGTGGTTTTCTTTTCATTTGCTACAATCTCGCAATCATGAATCCCAAGACGCCCCCTCCAACACCTGTTTCCAACCCCGTCTGCCCTACGTACGGCCCGTGGAAACTCGTCAGCGTACCCGCAAGCGAAATCGAATCTGATACCTCTCAGTGGTCCCAGGAATTATCAAAGCTAGAAGTCAGTATTATAGGAAAGCATAGTGACGATGCCTACGAAGTTGCTATTGATCCACTTCATCTTCTGGGGCTCAAATCTCAGCCTTGGTACATGAATCTTAACGACAACCCGATACAACCCGGAGAGAGACAGAAAGATATTTATGGCATAAATGCCGCAACCAAGAAAGCTCGTGAGCAATGGCTTCAACGCGCTGCCGGTGTGATCCGCTCTGGACACCAGCCAGAGGTCAATGAAGCTTATCGCGATCATGCCCGATCCAATGGCTTACACGAAGAGCTCGCTAGAGCAATCTTGATTCATGATATAAAGGTAAGTTACCCTTTTAAGCTCTTTAATAGTTTAACTAACATATCTTACAGACATCAATCCCTTTGGTTCAGCAAAAGTTGGCACAAAACTGTGTGCTCTTATTTCTGAACTTGGAGAAAGATCATAGTTCTTCTGCCGCCTACAATTACCTTAGGAGTGATCAAGATGAGTTGCTTGAAAGTCTCCAGTGTTCGTTACGAATTCCAATACCACCCAAAAGGACGAAGTGTGACGAGACTCAAATCACTTCACTTATCCGAGCTCTGCTGGAATTGTCCGGCGGCAGAGTGGAAGTTCAACAGCATGGATTCATTGAAGAGTACACGGCTAGTGAAAACGCCGATCTTTACGCTTCGGTTTTCAACATTACAAGGTTGAGGCAGTTTGGAGATTTCGATCCAAAAGAAATGTGCAAAATGCTCTCGAAGTCTGTGGCGTTCTCTGAGATGGCCATCAGTATCCGATATGTGGAAGAATCGACCGCAAAGATGATGGACTCTCTCCAGGTTGGCTTTCGAAAGGGATACCTAGTACGTACGACATTCTCAAGTTGAACTACTTCGATGCTAATATGATCAGGAACTTCCATCGCAGGTGTTGAGTGGACTCGGGGTTGGCCAAATAGACACATTTGAAGCCTATCTGTAACTCCCCACTACATAAATATGAAGCAATGATACTAATATTGAACAGTACGCATACTTATCGAACCATTCCGCCACTTCAAAGACCGGAAAACAATACGCTACTCCTTCTTACCTGGAGCACGGTGGTGTCTGATCGTCAGCTCGATGTCCTCCGCGAATGGGCGAGTTCAGAAAATGGTCTATACAAGCAGTTGATTAGAGATTTCCGAGATCCCCAGACTGCGGAACAGCTTGTGTTGATCATGGCTGCCTTAATGAGCTATCGACGACTTCTTCCCGACCTCTCTGACGATTCCGAGCGGCCTATCAGGGGTAGCTATCTAGCCGACCTAGATGCTCTCTTGAATGGCTGTTCGCTTGGAAACAGTGGAATAATCGCGCAACGTATGGTCTTTTCGCTGATACGGGTATTCCGTTCCTCCGGGAACCAGTTTGGGGAGCTCACTACGTTCCTTGAGACTGTCCTTGACCGAGAACCTCCTTTATTGCATGTCTTTGACGGATTTTGTGATCAATATTGGAATCGGAGAATCGACAGCCACACTCGCCACACTCATGAGATCGTAATGGTAGAGTTGTCGCATTTGAAATTGCCAAAGCTTAGAGAAGATGGCGACCCAGACTGGGTCACCGTAACGCTCCCAGAGGCACTGCCTGTTCAGGACCATTCACAAAAACCATACAGTGACCACACACTGCCAGCTGTGAAAACGAAGTGCGTAGCTGCTGTATCGCACCTTTTTACCTGTTTATACTGACCTGAAAATAGGTCCATGGAGCAGTCCCATGGTGATCATCCCCCTAAGATCGATATCCCTCATACCATCGAAGTATCCACCGCGCCTAGAATCGCTGAAGATATGACTGCCTCTTGTATCGGCGCAGAATTTTCTTCGAAAGTCCTATTACCGCCCCTGGGCTTCCGCGGGGACCAGTACACACTTATACGAATGTTCAGGGTTGAAGATGAAAACGTGTTGCAAAAACTTGATGCAAACATCGGAAAAGTGAATGAGGTTCCTTGCATCGAGGAGTTGAGCGATGGGTCATGGGAGATTTGTATCCTCCAGTCGCATCGCCGTATCGTAAAGGATGAGCTCTGTAAGATATTCCCTGGCTCAAACGTCGACCTTTACTACGATCCTCTTGAACCTACGGCCAAGGACTCAAAGATCTGGGGTTATGATAAGGCAAAGAGGCTCTATGAAGTATGGTTTTTCGACAGAGCAATCCGGGTAATCAAAGAAGCCTGGTCTGCGGGTGCTGCTTGCTATGCTTACCGTCTGAAAGTCATGTCTGGGCTTAGCGTTGACTTTACGCTGATGCCTACGTACCAAGGCTATTTACAAAGCAAAGAAGACGCCGTCTATCTCCTTGAAGCCTGTCTTAGCGGAAAGCTTGCCCATTCATGTCGAGGGCCTCAAGATGGAGAGGCAACCATCAGTGGCAACATTTTCGTCTGGGAAGCGAGTATCACAGGCATTGATTGCTGGAGGGATGGCATGGAGTGGACTATCTGGGAAGAAGACGGCTTTGAGGTCGGCAAAGCGATCGATGATTCCGGGCTCATGAAGAAGACATTTAATATCCCCGCATATGAGCGCATTCATCATGTAGTGTCCTACTATACTGCATGTGATGCTCAAACCTTAGCTCAGCCATCAAAAGAACTTGACTTAGGGCCCTTCAGCAATCTCGTATCAAGTTTCGATGCTCAGCCTCAGCACCATTTTCACGGAGAGATAGCTCTTCGTCACCGAAGACACAACCATCAACGACAAGGAAGCCCGAAAAACACGCAATACGCCTGCACTTTCAGCAAATGCTTCATGAAATTTGAGAGCAAATATGCCTGGAAATTGCACGAGAACTCACAGCATTTCCAAGTGGAGTGCTGGTTATGCCCTTTTTATCCCTGTACTGACAGCAACCAAACTTCTACATATGGGAATGAAGATGGTAATGGACAGATTAAGACACGAATCTTCTATTCCCGTCGTGACTATATCACACATCTCCAATCTGTGCACTCTGTCAATAACGACACGGTCGATCAACAAATTCGTGAGCAGAGAATTGGTCGAAACTGCCAGAGTCGCTACTGGTGCGGGTTTTGTGGAAAGATTGTGCCGTTGCAGAAGAAGGGGCTGGAGGGCGCCGATGAGAGATTTGATCATATTGGGGGGCACTTCAGCGGTGGGGAGCAAATTGCGAATTATATTGAGATGGACGGTAGTGGTGTCAAAGGAGAAAACCGGGGGGGTGAGTTGGATGGATGCCACACCTCTATCACCTCTTCTGTGGACGATGCTGAAGTCTGGCCTTTCCAAGACGGCGGGGCACGTTGCAACGATGGAATCCACAAGACAGGAATGACGCGCGAGGAAAGTGTTGCAGATGCAGACGAATGGGACGATGATTTCGATTCCACGCCACTTCTAGAGCAGCCTTGCAGTTAGCGAACGCAGTGCCGCCCAGCTCTTACCAGCTCAGTCGCTCCAGTTTTCTAATAATAATCTGCGGTATAGGAGAAGTTATCGGTGACTAGTTCGGCGAGGTATTACTGTTCAATATCATCTCCCATCTTTTTGGAAAAGTGGTTAGCCTGAGTCCCTTGCATTAGTTAGTGCAAGCCGCACCACGTTAACATAATCTTTCTATGTTCTGGGATGATTTTCTTACCACACGTTTACCAATTCGAACAGACCGTAGCGTGTAGGCTATGTGCAGAATTGTAATCCGCAACACAATTCTGGTGCTGCGACTGCGACCGCAATTTCAAAAATAGAGGGGCACTCGTAGATCATCTTCGCTGTAGCATATGTACAAGATCTAACAAAGTCCTCGCGTAGATCCAGAGTCAAAGCTTGCATCAACAACTAACGTCCCAACTTGACTGTCATTGACTCTCTTGTTCGCCCGCTTAATCGCTTTGTCTCTCCGATCCTTAGTCCAGTCTCTCGCGTTCCGGTACGCGGCCGCTCCCTGACGGAAGGTATTTAACAGTGTCGTTCCACCAACCTTTTCTTGTCTTCCTTATCATCAACACATCTATCACCTAACCCTTCATTCTTATTCTCCTTTTTCATTCCAAATATATCACGATGGCCGCTTCTCCGATGTCTGCCCAGCAACTGGTTCAAATACTACGGAGTGGAGTCGGGGCCCGACGTAGAGATGTCATTACTCAGCTCTTCTCTCTCACGGCAGCGGAAATGCGAGGGGTGGTAGCCACGTGTCGCGTAGATGGGAGAAGTCCATCTCGCAGACCATGGGATGCCCGCGAATACGAGCTTCTACGTGATGCCCTATATAATCATTACACCAAGGTAAAATGTTGGGTCAATCTTTGTGGTTACTATTACTGACCAAAATAGCGAGGTTCAGACGATCTTCTTCTTGATTTCACCGGACGCTCCTACACAACTGTTGAGGCCGGCATCACGCTTCCTTGGTCACAATTTATCGGACTCACCTATGAGGCTCCTGATGACTGCGGCGAAGACATTGAGCACGAAGCTATCATGATCTTGATAGGCACTACACAGACCGCTCCGATACCCTTACCTTCCTTAAATCAATCTCTCAACCCCAGCGATCGACTAATCAGTGTCTATGCCACCATACCTACCAGATATTACGCCGGTGAACCCATTGACTCTGAGAATGATTCCTTGGAACCTCCTGATCTCGTCACCATGAATTTGATTTTGCATAGAGGTGTATTCAAACCCGACCCAATCTCTGCACATCTGTGCCCTGTCGATAAGTGTGTACTGTTGCAAGGACTAGCACGGTTCCGAGAGAATCTGAATCAAGCGAATGGACCTTTTCGACAGTGGGTTTTGGACGAGATTAGGAAATACGTCACATTAGACACGGATCATTTGGATATTGTGGAAGACAGGAGCGAAGATGGGGATGAAACGAACGAGAATCAAGCATAGACAGAAGAAGGACAACAGAAGTGAATATCTCATGTTTCCTGATAGCTTGTGTATGCATCTCAGCATCCACTGATGCCTTAGGCAACCACAGCATCGTGAGGGCGGTGACTTCTTACTCCGATCCCGACTCGCCAACGATCTGCTAGACCTTCCATCCCTGGTCGCCCCGCAGCGGTCCGTCACTGTGTGCGCTGCCGGACATCTGTACGTCTTTCACCGCGACTACCACTGGCATCTGCTTTTCGGTTACTTCCAACGGCCAAGAAGAATATCGGACTCGCTTCGAGGGTGGTGAGCCATCGCCCTCAGTCCTACTGTCGTCCTCGGCGAAAACGTCGAAGACTTGCTGCTGGGGAGGCGATTGCAAAGGCCTTAATGGTTGGCGGGCAGCAGGATGTTAAGGGCGTGAAGGAGGTGCTGTTCGTGCGAACAGACATGACAGTCAGAAGGCAGAGCTGTTCAGTTATCGATGGCGCTTGATGAGTTTCTCCGTGTATCAAGTTGCGAATCAACTGGAGTTATACTAGGACTGCTGTGAATTCAATCCAGGTGTAGCTTTATCCGTACCAGTAGCTAGAATTAGAGATTTCCTGTTCCCTTTCAAGTTCCTATGGTGGCGGCCAGTTTCATGACATCAACCACTGGTGCCCAAAAATAACGTATGACCACGTGATACTAAGGAAGACCTAAAATAAGGGTTCGAGGCGGCAGATGATACACGTATCGTTTCAAAACAAGCTCTGCCTGAGGTGAGCACTACCAACACGTTTTAGACATCATCTACAATATCAACTTGACCTCCAACCAGTTGGGGACAACTTTCGCCTGCCATCTAATCTATAGAGACATGAATCAACCACGCAAAAGCAATGATGAACGCGCACTCTGGCGTGCAAAATGTCGCGAAAAGCTGTCTGCTCATCTTAGTAATGTCCCCGTCCGACTACTGCTGCTAATCCTCACAAACAAACAGAAGTGAAATTGGGTCTGACAATACCTGGGGAAGATGTCCGTTTGATCACAGGTAGGGACGATCCGTACCGATGGTCAGGGCTTCCCGGAACCGAACATCTCTTCACAAAGCAGTTAAGCAAGCACTGCCTGCGATCCTATATTGAGATATACCATTGGGTTGGTAACTCCTTTGAAGCACTGCCTAATGATACGGTTGAGGGAGAGGAGCATCCGTCTGGTGCATCACTGAAGCGTGCCGTTCCTCCGGCGGATAGAGATCAGAGTGTAAAGGTTGGTCCTGATGGAAGAAGCTAAACCTAAGGGCTGTCTGATCTTGAATAGAAGCCGCGGCTCCTAACGCAGTCTGAAAGTTTCAGCAGCCGCATCAGGAGGCTGGAAGAGGAGAACCACACCATGAAGAGGCAGTTGGAACGGATGACGGAGACTACGAGCACGGCAGCCAAAGCCCAAAACACGCTGGAGATGTCACTCTCAGCAGCCCAGACGACCATAAGTCAATTAGAAGAGGAGGTTAGCACACAGCGTGAAAAAACAAGGAAGAGCCAAGCTCTCATCATACACTATCAGTCAAAGGCACAAGGCCTGGGCAAATGTATTGCAGATGTCGTGACTGCAATAAGGAGGGTCGAGAAGCAGGAGAGAGAAGCATTAACACCTCCACCCGTCATAGCAAGGTAGGCATATTCTACAGCTATCTAAGACTAGACATCATTCTCGTTGAAAAACAATCCCATCCTAGCACTTTCCATCATTACCTGGTGAGCCTCAATGATTCCAAGTGACATATCATCCATGATGAGTCGCAGAGCTGTGCTGGGGGTGAGGACGAAGAGGACATAATCGGGAATCGAATGGTTGACTATCAATCCTTCTTGGCGGGCCCTTTGCAGTGGCTCTTTCAGCTCAAACAAAATGAATTCAGTGCTAGACAACGTCAGCGAAAAGCATGTCTCTCACAGCGGGTTAGTAACCGACATGAGAGATTCTCCTCGAGGTCCGTAATAGCCACTCCTAGTCATCTCTGTACCATAACCCTTTAAGTCTTGCATGTGCTCCTCATAACGCTGCCGAAATGGTGTTCGGAAGCGGCCACTGAGAACATCGACAAGAAATGGAACGTAGTTCCGTAGACGGTCGGAAAAAGTACCCCAGCTGATTGTTGGGTATGAGCGTTGCCGCCATTCCTTCTTCATTGAGGCGAGCTCGATATCCCAGCATCCACAACATTTATTTCGTCGATGGCCCATTGTCTGTCCTGAATTGACGACTCCACATCTTGAGCACTTTTCGCCTGACATACTTCGCTTAGTAGCCCTGTCGGCTGATTCCCTACGTTCGCAGCCAATCTCCACAGCCAAGTTAGTGGTCTGTGACGATGCTGTGTTGATCAGAATGGAAAGTGATGGCAAAGAGTCGGTTGATTTGATGGAATCACAGTCGTTAGCGGCCGTATCGCAACGCTCGATCGACCACCATGACGTTTCCTTACGGCTCGCATCTTGCGGAGAGTGTTTGAAGGGCGCGTGTTCGCAGCGATTTTCGGCACCTGAGTGGGTAGTATGTGACGATGTTGCATTGATCAGAACGGAGAGTGATGGCAAAGACTGGGGTGACGTGACAGAATCACAGCAGTCGGTGGCCGCATCACAATTAATGCTCTCCGGCCGAGATGAGTAGAAACGTTCAGTTAAAGGCTCACTTGCGCTCTCGAACCCTTCTCGGGCTTCTGCCGCTATCATTCCCGCGTCATATTCAAGATATTCCAATAGAGGATTAGTCTGACGACCCTGCTGCTTTGATTCGGTCTCGCTGAGCGGTTCCACTACCCTGAAATACTCGGAGGACGGCGGGTCAGATAGCAGGCTCTCCGAGCTGAACAAAGCTGGGTCCAAGTAGTCCTGGACTACGCCAGGGCTGTTGTTGGCGGTGGGCGTAGAGTCGGAGGTAATGTTGGCAGTGCTGCCTACCCTTCCGCTATCATCGTCCAGCCAAAAGACGTCCTGCATGGGAGTCCTGTCACCGAAGCCGTCCGGTCGACCGCTCTCTGGGAACAGCTGCTCAGGCGATGCATGACCGTCGAATCCCTCTGCATGGTGGTTGGTCAAGGCCATGCTGTGACTGCCATCATCAAGTTCGGGATAACAGTGAGATGACGGTGATGTCGGGACCAGAGGCTGATCCCTACAAAGGCCCTTATCCCGGCCGCTAGACGGGTTGGGGGTATTTGACCTGGTACACGGGGACCACTCAACAAAGGTCAACCCTGTGGTCTTTGACCCCCAATCCGATTTCCTCCCCTTGGATCGCTTCGTCCTGTGCGGTAGTACCGGCGCTGGACTGGGCGGCAGAATTTCACACCCAGGCTTACCGATAGGAGAGCATTCAATGAACTTAGAAGCTGTTTTCGCGAGCTTTCTCTTCCGACGTGGTCTCGACTCCTCTTCAACCTCTTGACCCAGAATCGGGGCCATTTCGGTAGGATCTACGTCGTCTTGGGCAGGCGCATTTGCGCCGAATCTCCTCCCTTCGGCCTTCCATAGGCCATGAACATCGCTCAGATGATAGCGAAGGGACACTGCGTCTCCCTTCTCGGTGCCGCAGCCGCAGAATCCTGGCCAGGAGCGAATCTTTCTGACGTGCTCATTCTCCACGTGCGCCATCAGAGTGCAGTTCCGGGTCCACTGCTTGAGCCTGCCAGCGGCTGGAAGGCTCTCATCTACGAGACACCAGGGGCAGAAGGCTGGACTGATCAGAGTGTGACAGTACACACGTATCGCACACCATGTGGGCTTAAAGGTGTCGAGATGGCCGCGGCAATGCTCCTCCCACGTGGTGTCGCCGTGGAACCATTTGAAGCAGAGGAAGCAGTATTCCACTCGAACCGTCTTTTCCGCCGCGACGGCCGCTATATATTCTTTGCGGCGGCAGGTGTGAATGTGGTCGGCTCGGCTCCACTTCGCCTCCGGTAAGTTCGATCGACACACCGGGCAGGCTCCATCGACAGGCTCCTCACCAGGACGGTACATGACTTCGAAGCTCCTTGTGGTGAGCGACAGCAAGTCCTGCACGCACTGTAGCTTCTGCTCCCTGGTCCGAGGTTCCGTGGACTTGATCATCGTGGCCAGACGAGCACGCTCCGGCATGATGCGGAAAAGGGTCTCTGCCCGGCTGGCGGCTGTTGACCGGTCCTGCGAGATCCTTCCCCGCGTTTCGATGATGCTTTTGTATCTGTGCTCAAGCCAGTCTGCTTTGCACTGTTCAAGGAGTCGGTTCTTAAGCCAATGCCGATAGGTGTTAAACTTTGATTCTGCGTGCTGGATATCCCTCTGGGGTGCACCAGCTTTCCGGAGCTCGCGGAGGCTTTGAAGCAGGCTGCATGCCTTCGAATCCCGAAGTAACTCTGCCATTCTCTCTGCCGGTAGCTCCTGCGGAAGGCCCAATGCTCGCTTGGTGCTGACGCTTCGAAGTTTCTTGATATGGTCAGTGCGCTGCTCTCCTTTCAGGAGCGCCCCCATTCCGTCGACACCAGCAATGTCAGAAATGTAGTGTTTGTTGCACACGTCTGATGATGCCCAGCCGAGCAGCTTGTTTCTCTCTCCAGCGGTAGCGATTTCTGGCCCCAGAACAGAACGTTAGCTGGCAGCAGCAATCCATCTGGGGGAAGAGACATGGAAGGGCGGATGTGGAGCGTTTGAAACTTACTATCGACAGCATTCGCCAGGGCGCGCCGCAGGGCGTGAATGGTGAGGACGCCATAGTAACCTGCATTCCGGCTCATCTGCTGAAAATAGTATCTGAATGTCGACTCGTCCAGCATGCGATCAGAGAGACCTCCGTGTCTCGTGGCTGTCCGCAAGACTGGGATATCCAATTTAGATGGATCCTTTCGGAGTTCCATCATTGGCTCGTCTTCCGGTACGCGCTGCTCCCACAGCTGGGCTGGGGAGCTGATACCGAGCAGCACGGAATCCCTAAAAGCCATGCGAAGAAGGAACGCCGTGCAATCAAATTTGAGGAGCGGGTATTCGTACATGGTTACCTCGCTTCTGTTGTGGCTATCAGCTCAGTGTGATGTAGAAATTGCGGTGGAACGGGGACTGGAGAACGCACACATGATTCTCGGGATCCTTGTTGCCCTTGACCCAACGTTGTGTGATCTTGAGGACCAACTCTGTGGTGCCGTCTGGGAGAGGGAAGAGGTAGATATGGACGTCCTGCAGGTTCACCGTCAGCTTCAGCCACCATGTGAGTTCCGGGATACCGCTGTCCCCGATAGTGTACTCACCTTCCAAGTTAATCCCTTGAAGATGACATTCTCGGACTTGCCGTCCGCTCCCTCCACTTCCCCAGTACATTTGTGCAGAAAGGCCCCTATGCGGGCCCCTGAGTAGCTGTAGGCGTGTGTAAGGAACGTTATTTGACTCCTCATTTCTTCATGCATGAAAGCAATATCAGGATCGGTCCAAAGGGACGTGATGCAATTGTTCAGATCCTCATCATTGAACAGGTGTTTCTCCCGCTTCTTCGTAGTACAACAACCCTCCTTGATCAAGGTATCTCGGACAAACTGAAGGGGATGGTCAACCCAGACTCTTAGCTGTTTCGAAACTGTGCGACAGGGCTTACTGTATAGACATCTAGCCTTAGCTCATCTGGTATCTTTGTTCCTGTCATCCTTGAGAATCCGCTGAAAAATTTCTTCACGGTGTTTCTGACTGAGGTATCGTTGGGTAATTCATCTAGCCGACCTCGACGAGACTTGCAGTACCATCGCGCGAAGTCTTTAACAAACACGTTGCTAGGGGGAGGACATCCTTCCTGTAGACACTCTGCAGCAGACATCCCTTTGTGTGACATAAATCTGTGTGAGCGTTGTCAGCGATCGGAAAGAGTATAGACACTAGACCTCCCTCGTAAGGAGCTATGCTAAGAAGCCTTACATGACCCACTGATCCAGTGCCTCTTGCTGATTCATTCGATATCTGCCAGAGGGTTCCGCCTCTTTCTGGACCACACGATCTTTCTCCTCGTGCGCTCCAGCGACCCAGCCATTGGCTTCGGCTGCTTGGAAATAGTCTTCTGCAGTACGCTTCCGACCCATGATTTTACAAAGGAGATGACAGTAATAGCGGACGTGGAAAAGGAGGGAGGTAGACTACAAAATAAATATCCCAGCATCCACAACATTTATTTCGTCGATGGCCCATTGTCTGTCCTGAATTGACGACTCCACATCTTGAGCACTTTTCGCCTGACATACTTCGCTTAGTAGCCCTGTCGGCTGATTCCCTACGTTCGCAGCCAATCTCCACAGCCAAGTTAGTGGTCTGTGACGATGCTGTGTTGATCAGAATGGAAAGTGATGGCAAAGAGTCGGTTGATTTGATGGAATCACAGTCGTTAGCGGCCGTATCGCAACGCTCGATCGACCACCATGACGTTTCCTTACGGCTCGCATCTTGCGGAGAGTGTTTGAAGGGCGCGTGTTCGCAGCGATTTTCGGCACCTGAGTGGGTAGTATGTGACGATGTTGCATTGATCAGAACGGAGAGTGATGGCAAAGACTGGGGTGACGTGACAGAATCAGCGGTTTAAGTTGCGGACATCGCTATCCAGGGGGTCAAGAACCGGTCCATGTAAGTTTTGCTGACTGATCAGCTAGTTAGCTAGCTAGCCTGCTCTATTGCGCTCGTGCTTTTGCGCTGTGATTCAGGTACCAGTCCTCCCGTTCCGAGCTCTTCTTACATACTGCGCGAGTAGCTGCAAGTTCTGTCGAGGCAGCAGCCACAGGAGAATTCGCTAGCAGAGCCTGAAGCACATGAAGCATACACTTGTATCCCTTCCATCCCATCTATCAATCGTTTTCACTTGTGTCAGCAACGACGTCCAGTTCTCACCTTAATCTGATCGCGGGTCTGATGACGTGGACTCTTCATTCCCAGCTGCAGCATGACAATGGGCGCTTGTGTTACTCATCTCGACCGTTCGCCGTCAAGCTCGCTCTGCCGCGTCTTTCATGCCCTTCGATCTCACCATCGCTTCATCCTCATTGGCACAACCCCACCCATAATTCCCGTCCTCTCCGGCCTCGATTCATCCTCACTCCGCGAAGGAAGAGCAGACATAGAAGTAGACTGCATCTCAAGGTCCTCAAAGTGAACGTCCGAGAAGTCCTCCTCGCTATCCGCTAACGTCCTACCACCTGGTCCATGACGTCCAGCCAACATGCCACCACTCATCTCCCTTGGCTTCTGGGCTGAATTCGGTAATGGCTTAGCGCCGCCATTTGCAAGTCCAATCCCATTTACTTTCGGACTATCCGTCTCCACCAAAGTCCTTCGAGATCTCAACCCGCTAACCGCCGTCTGCGATGGGGTATGCGTCTGCAAACCGCCCGCACTCCCATACTTGCTCGGAAAAAGTCTGGGCCACGTCCTCTGTAACGGCGTCCTACACATTGGCAGACACGCACAAATCACTGCAGTACTAGCTTCAATCATTGTCCACATCGTGCTCGCCACAGTGCCGACCATGGGATCTTTGGCTTTACTGCCACTTTCTAGAGTTGTGGATCTCAAGATGCTGGTGGCGAAGACGAAGATGCCCAGCCCAAAGACGAAAGTCAGGCCGATTTTTTGGGAGCGGGGCAGGCGGAGAGACCAGATCATGAAGGGAAGTGTGGTTAGAATTATTATGTCAGTGGAGATGTTGTAGATTGCGTTGGCGAGCCAGAAGGCAGTTGTGTTGATGCAGCGGGGATGGGATTCTGAACTCTTGACGCCAGGGTTGTGGTTTGTAGGCACAGGGGGGGCATGGTGATCCCAATAGTAGTTGATGGGAGTACATTGGAAGACAGTGGCCAGTATGGAGGCTATGGCGTATGCGCAGACGATGGCGAAGCAACACCAGCAGGTTTGCACGAACCAGGGTGCAGTGAAGATGCGGAGGTACAGGGTCAGAATTGAGAGTTTGGTGAAGTTGATGGTGAATTTGTAGAAGATTTGGTCGAGATAGAACATCTGTAGAAGATATAAACGGTCAGAGAGCATCGCTTGGATTGATGCTTGTGTCACACGCGGAAAAAGGAGCAGTCTGAGGTCTGAAGCATACCTGAAGGGCTAGTTGGAGGTCGGCCGGATGAAGTGAATTTGACGGCTGTCCATAACCATGATTGACACCAACAAGGTTGACAATACCCAAGGCGAAGAGAAAGATCTAGATAAGCATTTCAGTGTCAGCTATCTGGCAGCCGCAGTAGTCCGGGCTCTGCAAGTCTCTTACCAGTGATAGTCCGATGCACAAGTCATCGATTCCAAGCGTTCGAACAAGGCGAATTCGCCAGTACAATCTGTTGAAGACAAGACCGGCCGCGAGTAAAGGCCCGGCTATGGACGGAATGACAATATGTGCACCATGCCCTCCAAAGCCGAAGTCTCTGGTGGTGAGGTCTGAGGCGCGGTTAACGATATCCATGGTGGTGAGGTTGAAGTGAGAGATATGGAAGTGGATGTGTTAAGAAGTAAGATGAATCAGTGTCTCGGGTTTGAGCGGAGAAAAACGGAGTGAGGGATGTGTACGATATGCTTCCTAGAGAATGCCTCAATGATGAAGAATCTAGTTGAAGGTGGGGATATCAAACAAGTGAATGTGGTGGTTATGTCGGCTGGAGATTGACGGATAAGCTGTGGTTGTGATACGGCCGGATAAGGGTGACAAACGAAATCATGGTCAGGTCAGGTCAGGTCAGGTCAATATCGAAAACACTGCGGATTATATTGGAAGGTGAGTTTGTTCCTTAATGTTGCCACAAGATAACAGTTGACTAGCTTGTCGTTGGATGCCATCGTTGGAGGAGTCGCTGGCTCCAAGAAGAGAAGCAGCGACAAGAAACAAAACTGACGAAGCTAGCAAAAGCAATACAAGACAACAAAAACTCACAAGCTGCAGTCAAGATGCCTATACTTTTGATACCGCAGACACTCAGCGCATGGTGTTTCCCGGACTCAGACTCCTCCTGGGCTCATTCACTGGATGCTGCAGCCTGGCGAGAAGGATGGGAGGAGATGTGCACTCATAACCAGGTACCTTACCAACCAGAACTCAAAGTGCTTCAGGAGCTGGCAGTTAACCCTCTCACTTGTCTTTACCGACTCTGTTTGTGACCTTTGCATTGCAATGGTCAAGTGTATGTTGGAAAGCATCAGGCCATGATCACGGCTGTAGTCCCGCTCTGCGGGCGGCTTCTTGCAGCTTTACTGTACTTATCAACTAGAGCACGGGCTGCGAGGACATGCCACACTCATGAACATGGTATCTGGCCCATGATAGCTCCGTGTCAAGGTGGTTGGCAATGTTTGCTGGGGAAAAGAATCTGGGTGGATGTCCCTGTGGAAATACCCGTTATGCATGAGGGTTATGCATGAGGTCGTGTGACCTGTCAACAACTTTCGGACATTTTGCCATCTGCTGCTGCTGCTGCTTCTGCCTAACTCTGCACGGGAGTTAATACGGAACTGGATCCTTATTGACTTCACAATTCGTAGGGGTTGGTGTCTTAGACATGCTGCGGGAAATTGGAACTTGGGAAATTGGGACCTGCAGCTGCATCTGCTGTCTCCACCTTTTCCCAGCTGCAACTCAGCAACCGCTTGAACTAAACTGCTGCTTATGCCTGGTGAGAACCTGCTAATACCATGTCTTCTACGGAGTACACGCATGAACATCACTATAGTGGCTAATTGATTTCAGCCAGGGTGCTTAGGTATCAACTGTGATCCTGGGAAGGGGAAGGACGGGATACATAGAAGTCCCTTGGTCTATTCAGATCTTTTCAGCGCAAACTGGCACGCAGGGGGGAGATGCCCAGAGCACAAGTTAGGATGAGGTACCCGTTGACTACAACAATTGTACATGCTATTGGGCTGTCCTTTGATAGATTCTCTAAAACACATACCGTGTCGATGAGAAGCACTCAGCTGCAGTGAATACAAGTAGTTTCCGCGGCTTTGCATGCCGATTATTGCAACCGTTCCTTCCTGCTCCTGCTGCTGCGAGTATCGTGAGTTTATCAGCTAAACGGCATTGCTTGTGAATGTGATGGTTAGAGACTGCAATGTAGACATAGCCCAAGATGACTTGTGTCTTTTTCCATGTGTGCCAGTCAATGCTGTTCAGTGCTGTTCAGTGCTGTTCAGAGTGTTCCGTGAAGAGCCTACACTAAGCGTGTAATTCACCTTTGTCCCAAACACTGAATAGATTGATGAGCATCTGCCCTCTGTCAGCAATCTCACTATAACTTTTCTCTAGAAGCACCCTCCTGATCTTGAATTTGTATCTACCATATGAGTAACAAAATGTCGTCAAACCAGCGCGCCGTGATTCTTGCCAGTCTGAGAGGTCAGACATTCCGCATCCCTGATCTCCATGCAGTCTTTTCAGGATGGCCACAAGATACAAGCCGACATTTGCCCAGCATCGTGCCTGCCATGGACAGCATTCTTGACAGGTAAGTGCGGAGCCCTTACTTCTCCCTTGTCCGTGCTCTGACCTAGCCTTTGCTTAGCAACGCATGCAGCGACGCCATGACCAAAAAATTGAAGCAGGAAGATCTTGCTACACTGACCGCGAGGTGGTGGCCAGTGGCAGACCTTGAAACCTTGCTTGATCTAGCACAGTTTGTTGCCTGCATTTTCTCAACAGATGGCATGATCGATCAGGCGTCAGGCCCGGGCAAAGACAAGACTCAAGCCTTCCAAGCCTTGCATCGTAGCACTGACAAATTTGTCGAGCAACGTCTTGACATGTCTCGTGATGCAAAGGTGCCCCGCTCTTCAGACTCATTGATCAACAGCTTTCGTGTGTTGAGCGGCTTGCTTCGTAAACGATACACAATCGGTGAGCATTTTTGCAGCGACCGCAGCATAGCGGGAAGGAATACAAATCTGACCTCGTGACTACAGAGCAGCAGAAGATGTTCCTTGACGAAGCCAAGTTCACCATGGAGATGTTGAATCTTCAGCAAAAGCTCCGGCTCGATGGCAAGATTCCAAGTCTTGCAGAGTACTGCACCTACCGTCAAGGTTCATGCTGCATTAATGCCATGGTCGCCCTGGTCGAGTAAGATCTTGGATTGTTGTCGCCATAGAAAAGGTCATGCTGACTCTGCTAGGTATGGTAACAGCCTGTGCATCCCTGGCGAGGTCATGAACAACCCAGACATGAAGGTTCTCAAGAAAGAAGCCGTACATGCAAATTGGATGTATGTCCTTTCGAATTACTGTACCTGGCTAAGCACCATTCAGCTGACAGGATGTGTAGCACGAATGATATTGTGTCAGTGAAGAAAGAGCTCGTAAGTGAAACTGATAAGTCACTGCTGCTCTAGCTTAGCATGATGCTGATGCTGTAACTTGTGGTACAGGCTTCCGGCTTCGTTGAAAATCTGGTGGTGCTTTGCGCATCGGATGGAAATGCGCAGACTGGTGTCGACACTGCTGTGAAGCATTTGCGGTCATCGGTGGAGCGCTTTGAAGTCGCTGCGGCGAAGCTCGCTACATATTATGCTGGCGATAAAGCCCTCGCTGAAGACATTGGCAAGTTCGTACAAGGATGTCGATGTATGTGCATGGGGAGCTACACTTGGAGGTAAGTGTCTGCGAAATATCAAATTGAAGATGCTGTCAAGCTAATGTTGTCGTAGTCTTACTTCGAAGAGATATGGTCTTGAGGAGATGAAGCGAGATGGTGCTGGCGGGTTGGTGGTTGTGGTTTGATGGAAGAAAGCGTCCAAGGCTTCTGCCGACACATCCGAGGAGTTCATCACTTCTTGTACTCCACCGTACTCCACACGGGTGTAACTCATCATCCCTGCTGCACACACCTCTTCATCTGTCTCAAAAGTTCGCAAGCTTCACTTGTCATTTCGATCATGACCGAGGAGCACATTCGGGAAGCTAGAAAACCGATCGACTGCGCAAAAATGCAGCTACTCATTCTGCATTAGCAACAAAGTGTATATTCAAAGCACTAGATATCGCAGATTCCCCATCACAAGCTCCGAGATCAGCCTGAATTAGTATCGCTCCTATCCATGAGCTTCGTTGACGTATGACCATGTCCAGATAAGCGTCTCATCGACTCGTTTGCTCATGCAAATCATGTCAGACGTCCAATACCATGCCACCCAGCCTGAATCAGATATCTACCAGAAAACCCCCAACCGCCAAAGTATCCATGCAATGGCTTGTTACATAGGACCGGCCTTGTGTAGCATCCCCAATACTTATGTAGAATTGGCATCATAGCTAGGGACAAGGAAGATTGGGCACCTGCAACCCCACCGCTATTCAACTTAGAAGGTATGTGGAGAAACCAGCGAACCGTGAGTCCTGCTCACGGATCAAAGGAAACCCGACTCAGACAGCAATCTATAAGAGAGGAGAGACATGAGTCAGACCCATCTACATCGTTGGGGGTGTGAAGATTTTGTCGTGCACACTCACCTTGCGATCTTCTCATCCTCTCGCTCCCGTGGTTCGATTTGCAAGCTCTTATCATACATCTCATGTACATCGCCAGCTTCTCTCATGTTGCTGAGTATATACTCCTGAAGATCAGGAACAGGATTGAGCGAGTACGGTACGTTCTGATACTGCTGGATGTCACGAATGACCTCGGCTGTCTTGGTCCGCTTGGCAAAATTAATGAGGTTGGAGTTCTTGACGATCGACGCGATTCCATCTTCGATGAATGTCAGATCCGTAAGATAAACACCTAGAAAGGGGATGCATGGCGGGTTTGCCCGGCGAAGCCTCTCCCGATATTCACCAAAGTTCTTGGTGCTGGCCATAAGCTGTCGCATCACATTCAGAGACGTCATGGTCTTTGGGCTGACTTGAGTCCATGTTCGATTAAGCCGGTGTATTGGAGCAGTTCCCAGAGCAGAAACAATAGAGGTAAGGGTAGAGAAATTATTCATGTTGCGGCATTTCTGTATTGGTCAGTCTTTGTGAGTTGGCGTGTACGGCTAAACTCACATCTGCAATCGAAACAAAGTGCTTGATGACGAGTACTCTCTTCTTAACCTCCGACTGTGAGAGTATCATCTCCGCAACCCAGTTCGTGAGCTGGTTGGAATGGAGGATCAAGGACTTCACATTCGGTGCTGGGTCGGGCTCCTCAGGACCAACCTTTTTCTGCCACGTCTTGCCCAGACATTCAGTTGGTTTGATCTTTCCATAGAGCTTAGACTCGATAATGGTAAGCTGTCGTGCGAATTCTGTTGCGTCTATGTCGAGGAACTTGAGCTTTTTCATATTTTTTGGCAAGATCGGGGCGGGAGCAGAATTCGTCAATGTTAGCACAAGTCTTTTAGCAGAAGTGTCCTGACCCTTCAGCCTCTGCTCAACCACCGCCATCAGAGGTCCTGAGCCTGGTGTCTTGGTCGTGGCAATTGAGTCTTTAGCAAATGAGTAGATCCTGTCGAGAAGCTTCCTGCTCTCTCCGTCATTCTCCTCCATCCAGTAATGCTCTAGCCAGCTCTTGAGCACATTCACAACTCGAAAACGCACAAGTTTCTGCTTCTTCTCCTCCCAGTTTGTGAGATCGTGTTGATTGATCCCAGGTGGGGGTTGAATGCTAAATCTTCTCACCAGAAGCTCAAAAAGTTCGCTCGCAGTGGTGAAAGAGCGGTAGGTCAGCAGGAACGTGCCGTTAAATACTGCATCTAGTCTGTCATGGCGGGTGAGCTGCTCCACCAGACCAGTTAACGTTCCATGCTTAAGCTGTGGAGGGGTTGACTTCGTATCATAAAAGACTTCATTCGGATGATCTAAATGCAGGTACCACGGACGGTCCTCCGTCGCGCTCATGCATTCGGCACCTGTCGGCCTTGAGACAACGTCAAGTGGTGTCATCTGTCCAAAGAAACGACGCGGTTTGTCCGTTGGATCCAGACGTCTGATCTTGTCCGATGCCTTGTCAGTATTGTCATATGAGGCATTTTGGCTAGCGCCTGTGAGCTGCGGCCTCGTCAACGCGCCTTTTGCTGGACTGATATGCAGAGGGATTTTCTGACTTGCCTCAGCATCAGGCAATCGTACTTCTTTGAAGGTGTCGTGAGACGCTATTGTGTCTATCAGCAATTGCATCAAGTAAACTATATGTGAAACGTTGTTATCAAATTGCCGGCAAGTGGCTACAATCCTAGCGAGACGCTCATCGAAGGGCGGGCCACGTATCTCAGCCCACTCATCCGGCAGACTGGCGGTAATGCTCTGACAAGTAACAATGAGCTCTGCGACATTGTCATAGGCCTGCTGCTTCTGTGAGCCGAAGTCAAGCAGCTGAGGATTCTGAAAGGTAGAGCCCAGAGGCCCAAGATTGACTGATTCGACACAGGAGATGAAAGGTTTAAAGGACTCAATAACTTTTCCAGCAGCGAGACAGATGGCATCACCAAGCTGGATCTGCCGGGCTGGTGTGATCACCTTCTCCGTAATGTGCAGCTGGTCTTCCAAACGCCGAATGTTTGCAATAAGAGACTTTCTTGCTTCATCGACCCGACCCAAAAGCTTGAGATCGAGGGTCACGAAATGTCCATCACCCCTTTCGGGACTGCCTCGGTCTCCCAAGGAAGTCGTGCTAATTGGATCCTGAGCATCCACATTGTTGTTCTGCCAATTGCCTCCAGTCGTCCTACCTAGCACGAAACCTGGAACTAGTCGGGGTACCTCTTCCCCCCGTTGTTGCCTAGCTACCTCGACATAGCCGTAAACGGCATGAATAACTCCATCAGCTTCCTGCAAGCACTTGGCATAGGCATCTGGACCAGGCCAGTCAGTTGCGGCAATGTGAGAGGATAGAACCAGCTTGGAAAATCTCGACATCATATCCCTGAAATGAGGATAGAGCGCTTTGTTTGTTGAAATTATTGAGGGGTTCCCAGAATGATTGTCAGTTGTCCCTGAACCTGCAGCAAGCAGCATTCTTAAGTGGTCTGAGATGTCTTCGGCTCTGCTAACGAACTCTGCTCGATTGTGATTTTTCACGACCTGCCGATACGCGTGGACAGACTGACTCATGTTATCAGTGAGAGCGTCCCATGTCGTCGGAACGGTGCTTCCATCGTTAAAGAAGTACCTTGGAACGCTTGTATCCTGCGGTAGGCCAATCGGATTGGTCGAAAATGATGTTGTGGTGCCAGCTGTTGTCTCGAGGCCACTTTCTGCATGCGTTGCAGCACTGATAATATCATTTGTTTTCATGTACATATTTGGAGGCGCTTTCCGGAGTTCTGCCACAGGTGATGTATTCATCGAATCTAAGGATGTCGACGTCGTTGAGGAAACACGATCAGAGTTAGATGATCGTCTCTTGTGTGGTAGCACACCGTTTGATGCCAACATCAACGACTCGCCCTCTCCTTCAGAGCCGGAATTGTCCGGGTCATCCTCTTCCCCGCTAAAGCTATGATTTGACATTTCTAGAGGTGCTCGCGTTTGTTCTGGCACAAAGAAATTTGTTCGATCTTGTGGGCCAGTTTCATTCATTGACGTGGGTGTCTCCAGGGGTAGTTCCATCGTGCTGACACCTGTCAGAGTGTTAAAATAGAAGAGTCGGCCGTCCGGTGTAGCCTGCGGTATCCAGTAGGCAGCCTCTTCTTGATCGCCTGACTCTTCACCATCTGTGGGCAATCCTGAGTCGCCTTCATACGGATTCCCTTCTGAGTCCACATCGTCATCTTGTTCACCATCTTGCTCATCATCCGTCCCCGACTCTGCGCTTGCCTCACTCTCGTCGACTCCGTTACCTTCATACTCGCCTGGATCTTCTGGGCCAGATACTACGGCACAGTAGTTGCTGGGAAACCATCCTCGAACGTCGTTGATGACCCCATCCCACCAGCCACTTTCTAATTGTGTAAGCACTTGTATTATGTCACCTTGGCGAAAACTCAGGCTAGTGTGGTCGTCGGCATCGTAATTATACAGCGCACGTACGTAGAGGGTAGGAGGGTCTGGAGTGGCAGTGTAACCATTTATACCCAGCGATCGTTGCGATCTGTGTCTCTGGTAGGAAAGGCTCTCGTAATCTGCAGGTGCAGGCACTTGCTCATTCGGTGACGTTACCTCCGCAGGCTCATCGCTTTCTGTGTATTCAAATGCAGCGGCAAACGTTTCGCCTTTGCTTTGTGCATCGATCTTGTTGGTTGGGGACTCGGCCATCGACATGCTGATGCCGAAGCCTGGTGTTGCGTCTCATCGATCTTCCCCGAAGGCCAAAGCGTTTTCAGTGTTGTTACTCTTGGAAAAGAAAAGGCCTAACATTGATGTGAATCAGGATTCACTGAAGCATCGATGACCATCACTTAGCGCAAATGGAATGGCTGGACGGACAATCGGAGTGGTCGTATCGAGGTGTGTGCGGTTCCTAGGCGCCGGATGGGTGTGTGCCGATCTACTCTTTGACCTCAGGTGTCCAGCTGGGTACTACGCTTCACATCGGCTTGCAAAAAGACGGTTATTCGAGCATTTCGAGCAGTTCTTGACAAGAATTATCATGTGGATGATCTTGTGTCAATAGGTTGGCCAGGTCGAGACAGGCAGCCAATGCCTCCTGAGCTGAGGCAGAAATTGTTTCTCCCGAGACAAGCAAGGCTGCACAGCCTGATTCAGCCTCTGCGTTACATAGCTGCTTCTGTGCGACAAGAGGGCGATTCGAGAAGCATAGCTCGACCTACAACCCATTAGAAAGGCTCTGTATCCGAGATGGACATTCCTGGATTGATGTTGAATACCCTTCCTTGATCGAGTCCTGTAGAATGAGAACTATGAGCTCTAACAATCAGCTCACCAGCGCCAAAAGGTCCCTGAAAGCGGAACTTATATAATGGATACTCAGCAAGCCGCAAAATTGCGGAAAGCTGCAGTCATTTTAGACCACTCTACGACACAAATCTGGCTTCTACAGTCTCAAAGGAGAGAAGGTCTCTAGTCAAACGTCCCCAACAGTACAACGTTGAGGATGACCCATGCTGGCATATAAATTGTTATTTGATCGGTGTCAGTAGCTAAGGACTCTCTGCTTTATAGCATCGTTGTATAAGGATAGGCGCAAGGATTACCACGAGCTCCATAAATGCTACCCTCCCACCACTGGTCAACGTTTTCAGGTACTGCAGTGGAGGGAGACACTACCCAACATAGTAGACATATAGTCTAACCAACATTTCATCCCAGCATTTCCAGGTCAATGAGAATTTATCCAGATGAAGGAAGTAGTTTCAAGAGCGTTCATGATGGAGAGCCAGGCGGTGCAATTTTCACGACCTAAAGCCGTCAAGGACCTTTTGACAGAGTGCAACACAATTTATTAATCATAAGAAACCATGATTGCAAAGAGCATCCAGATTTCGCATGTAGCAATGATGCTGACTAGTTCTTAGTCGAGCAACAATAGACATGCAACATTGCTCAATCAGGACAACCCCCACCATACCATAGGACAGAATGATGACATAGGGAAAAGAAAATTGTCAACTGGCATCACTGTAAATGCATGGCACACAGCCTATGGCTCTGTGCTCTGCAGCATTGGTGCTCAGAGCAAGACCCAGCTTGTTGGTGAGTTGAGAGTACTAGTTTGCCATAATTATTGAACGCTTTCTGAGCAAGAATGGGACCCTAGATTTCATGGAGTATAATCTTTTCACCATGTTTTGGCAAGCATCGTTTTCGCGTGGAAGACGGGAGCGCCAGTTTCATTAAGGAGAGAACTATATTACGTCCTACTTTCATAGTAGGTAGCCACGTTGGAGGCTGCTTTAAATCCTTTAGCACTTCTATGCTAGTGTTCTCCAGCCTACGGATTGGCTATCAGTCTCTTAGAAACTTCCGGAATCTTCCCGCGTGCAAGTCACAATTTTGGGAGGGGGCGGTGGGGCAGGATTTAATCTTGGTTGACAAGTTGATGTAAATTAAGTCGACATCCTTAGACTAGATACTTGTATGGAACATTCACTTTGCTAGGGCATTCAATGATTTGTAACCAAACAAGAGGTGGCAAGGTAATAAGCATTGTTTGAGGCAAGATTTCATGTTTGTATATGGTCTAGTGAGCACTTCTTAAGAAGCATAGTTCATGGTGCGGAAAAGTCCTGCTTTGCTCATGGAATCACCATTATGCGGCTCTAGTGGCCGGGATTCAGGGAACGAAAGTGGAACCTGGTAGCGGAAAGGACGCTCGTAACATTAGTGCATCCATTGTACGTAACTAGTATCAAACCCGATGGTCTGGAGTGATGAGATGATCTCAGGGACAAGAAAATAAAAAGCTGGATATTAGGGCATCTTCACATCTGCAATTCCAGGGGCAACTTAGGGGAATCGGATCTGTAAGCACGGAGGATCAGCGGTTGATTCAGGTTTCACACCGGAATGACCTCATGTGCTCCTGGGCCTATGCAAAAGGTTTAGACACCGTGTGTGGATGACAGCTGAGCATTTTGTTCATACACCTTCCAGATGGAACAGGCTCGGACCGTGAAGGCGAACAGAAAAGGAGTGGCCGGCACCTCGTCCCGCATACTCAAGACAAGCGGCAACCAGCAGGAGTGGCTTCGACCAATGAAAATGCTTGTCATGGGAAGCAAAGGACACAGTACAGTCTCTACGACTAAGTATTCCGTGCTGGGATGACAACTCGCTTCGGCTTCCCGACACTCTGCTGCGCATTCTCCGTGTCGAAGCTATTCTCCAGCACATGCACCCAGCTAACTTTGGAAAATTGAACACTGAAGTTCTGTATGTAACTATCATTACACAGGTCACGTCGCCAGGACGAAGGAATACTCGTAGAGCAGTAGTAGTGCAGGTCAATACCAGTTGGTTAGCACAGAGCTTTGACCACGATGGAAGATTGATTGCCGTTTTGGATCATTTGAGCCACTCAATCTGAAAAGGGGGTGAGTGGAGGGGGGGAAGCTTTGGGGGGTATTCCCTCTGCCAGTCTGGGCTTGCTGGCGGGGTTTATCCATATCCCCCTCCATTTTTGCGACTTTGTCTTTTTTCTCTGCAGGCAAGCACGCGACAACCACCAAGAAATTCATCGTCATATCCCCAAACACCCATAATCAGCGATAGTGGTGGTGGTCCAAAGCATAAGCATAAGCCTGCCACTCGATTCCCAGCAAATAAAACACGTGATTACTACAAACTCATCACTGCATAGAGCCGGCAGAACTAAGACGAAAGCCGCCGAGAGCCACCTCAATGCTACTAAGTACTGACTGCAAGCTGATATCACCCTAAACTCGACATGCACCATACATTCAACATTCTCTCACCATCTCATTCTTGAGCAAAAAAAGGCTTGCGCGTGGCGGGAGAGCTTCATTCAAAGATTGCGACTGGGAAAGGAATAACTGGCTTCCGCTTCGTGTCAAGAAGTTCTCGCAGCAGCCATGGCCACTTCCGACCCCTCCACATCCACCTCGAATCCTTCACCCCGAAAACCAGCTTCGGCGCCTGAGAAGAAATACAAATGTCAATTCTGTAATCGTGCTTTCAGCCGGAGCGAGCACCGCAGTCGGCACGAGCGATCGCGTAAGTCTCAAAATTTTGTTGTTGCGTGGGGCAGATGTTTACGGCCTGGGATGGTGGGGTCATACAGATTTTCAGATTGCTAACAATGCGTTCATGCAGACACCAAAGAACGACCATTCAAGTGTGCCAAGTGCCGCAGTACCTTCGTCCGTCGCGATCTCCTCCTGCGCCATGATCGGACTGTACATGCAAAAGATGGTGGCGTGCCTCTCGTTTCCGAGGGTCGAAAAAGAGGCGGCACCAAGTCGTCGCCAACAGAGGGACCATCTAAGCCATCGATCAATGTTGATCCAGGCACACTGGAGCAGATTGAGGCAAGCAGTGATGGTATGGTCGATCTTGAAACTGCCGCCATGTTGATGACAAATTTCCAACACAAAGCCGCTGCAGCAGCCAACGGTCATCTGAACGACGCCGAGAACTCCCTTCCAACATATTCCCCCGACCGTGGCTCTATGCTTGAACCCTCGATAGAGTACCTCTCCGGTGCGGCGACGTTGCCGCAGATGCCATGGGATACGTTCATGTCTCAGGCACCTCAAGACCATAAATCTCACTCGATGAGCTCCAGCATGTCGTCTCAAGATACCAGCATGTCGCAGCAGCCTTTTGTCAACATGGGCACTATCCAACCTCACCAGACCCAACTTCCCCCTATCATGGAAAGGCAAAGCTCACTGAATAGTGCGCTTGCCCCCACCTTCCCATCATTGACTGATTCTTTTCCAGTATCTGGAAGTCCTACACCCAATGCGTTATCACCATTTCCCTCCATGACAGGTCCCGTCTCGCCAGTGAACTATCGCCGGTCACCCGGCCCTAGTCAGGCATTGACACTCCCAAAAGCACCACAAGTGGCGGATGAAAACGAACGAAATGCTATCGCGGCTCAGATTGTGAATGAAGACATTGACTTGCCTCCAACAGATGCAATCAACCAACACCTATCGACGTATTTCAACCTTTTTCACCATCATCTACCATTCCTCCATCCGGAGTCATTCACACCAGGTATCGTAGAACCGGCACTCCTCCTCGCTGTGCTCTCGATCGGTGCTCTGTATAACTTCGACCCTGCGCAAGCATACTTGTTACATCACGGCTCAAAGAAACTTGTCAATCAGTTCCTCCAGAATAAAGACAACTTTGACTCTCGAAAATGTCCGTTATGGACCATGCAGAGTACATTGCTAAACATGATCTTCGAAAGCTGGAGTGGTGGACCGGGCGGTCTTGAATGGGCATGCTCGATCAAAAGCCTGTTGGCTAATGTGAGTGCATCTAAGAGAATGTGAAGAAGTGACTAACTCCTTCTCCATAGATGGTCGCTGGGAATAAATACGAGCTGAAACTCCGAACTGATGCCCGAGGTGGTGTTCCACCCAGTCATCAGGAGTGGATTGAAGACGAAGGGTGCCGGCGGACCTATTTCGCAGTGTATATCTTTTTTGGCATGCTGACATTGACGTTCAATCACACACCTGCCATCAGCTTCAACGAATTCGACTCCTTAGAACTACCCTCTTCCGAATCGCTCTGGAATCTTGAGACTTCTGACGAGGACTCCTGGCGGGAAATCTTCTCTGCATCGACATTCGTTACAGTACGAGAAGCACACGACAGCCTGTTTCGTGGTGAATGCACTCGTTACAGCGCTTTTGCTACTCGAATCATGATCAATGCATTGTTTCTGGAAGTCTGGAATTTGAAACGGAGTTTTGAGACCCTCCAGGACGTTGTGCTGGAATGGAAGATTCGAATAGCTTTGGAGACATGGGAACGCTCATTAGACCTCTGTGAGCCAGAGACCATCGTCGTACCGCTTAGTACCCCACACAAGAGCCACCCGTTGATTTTCAACGCTATGGCTGTCTACCGAAACACCCGCGCCCGCCTTGAGGTCGATCTTAAGTCTGTCCAAGAGGCACTGCGTTACCACAATTCTTACGAGGTTGCTGCAGCAATGACGGTGGCCAGAGAAGGTGTGAAGAGATCCGAAGAAATGCTGAAAGTCATTGAGCAGTGCTTCGAGTGCATCGAAATCGTTGCTCTGCAGGGCATCAATTGGGTCACAAAAACTTCGGCCACTAACTGGAGTGTCGAGCATCCATTATGCGGCATGGACTTGATGGTCATTCTCAGCTTGTGGCTTTACCGTCTCGAGACTGATGACGAACCGGCAACCGACGATGAAATTGCCATGTATAACAAGATTCGGAATCTTTTCGATGACGACGCAGTTGAAATGTATGGCTCCAAGCTCAGCTCGACAGTCGCTAGAGTCTGGGGTACTATGCTCGATGGTGTTGTGGTCTGGGGGTAAGTTTGCCTTGTTATGCGCTGCTGTAACTTCCCGATACTGATCAACATGCAGAATCTCCAAGCTGATGGGAGAATCCTTCAAGCTTCACTCACAGGCCCTGATTGGCTATGAGGACGAGATCATGCCTGACCCTACCAATGGAATGGCGTCGCTCCCTGATCAAGGTCTCATGCCGTTAGAGGCTGCTTATTGACCGCTTCACCTCTCTCAAACCCCCTCTCTACTCTCGGCGCATGGTGCTAAGGTTAATGCGAGGAGCGGACTATCTCCCTCGGTTGTGTACAGGCGTCGAGGTGGCGTTCGTGCATATCTTATGTTCAGCCAGCATTATCTCCAGTCTGTCGCCCTGAAAGGGTGTAGACTGGAAGACGTCGGATATGGTTAGACCTCCTCAGTGAGACCCAGGCATGAACCGTTTGTGATCGTCTTTGACCTGGATGGGAGTTCCTGGCAGCTAAGTCTGGCCAAGTATCAGTCTACCAGTTTCATTTACTATCTAATTCCACTTCGATATCCCTGTACGAGACTTACGCTGGAGGGGCCATCTGCTGGTCCCAGGATTGTTGCTTTGCTGCGGATATCATGCTCTTCACGGCCTCCATGTACAATAGTAGCCCAACACAAGTCAGTACTTGTGCTTGCATATCTAGACATATATGCTGGACCAAAGTTCTCAGTGGTATCCATTTGTTTGAGCCCTCTGTTGAGTATGTTTGCTCTCCATGAATTCTCAGAATTCTCAATACGAATCATAAGACCTTAAATCAAGATCTGTATGTTCGGATTCATTGCATGTGGCCCGAATTGAAGCAACGGGGCACTTTCGACTTCCAGGGATCTCGCCCCCACCAGGTCCTTTGGGCCACGTCTGTGCGTTCTGCTGCATTATCTGACGTTCTTCGGCAACCCTCTCCATACAATACAGTGACTCTATTACATACCGGGCCTTTCTTCGCAAAGGATGCCAGATTTGTCGTGAGCTGGTGCGCACCGCACGGAATTACCTGCAGTATAGCCAATTATAACTGTGTGCACCTACAGGACCTCTTGATATTGCACATACGATGGTTCCCTCAACCACAGTCCGACGCCTCCTGCGCGAAGTCCGAGAACTCTCAGCGGCGTCCTCAAATCCAAATCCATCATTCCATGCACACCCAGTATCCGATGAAGACCTCTTCGAATGGCACTTCACACTGCTGGGCCCACCATCTCCTTCGCCATATGCTGGTGGGCTCTATCACGGTCGCATCTCCTTACCTCTCACCTACCCTCTCAAACCACCCAACTTCCGCTTTCTCACCCCTTCCGGCCGCTTTGAAGTCAATCGCGAGATTTGTCTAAGCATCAGCGGCTTCCACGAGGAGAGCTGGATGCCGGCCTGGGGTATTCGAACAGCCCTGGTTGCATTAAGAACATTCATGGGAGAACAGGGTACAGCTGGTCAAGTAGGAGGCATGGAGGCGAGTGAAAATTTCCGAAATGTGCTAGCGAAGAGTAGCAGGCAATGGAGATGTGATGGCTGTGGCGGCAAGACGAACGAGGAGATTATGCGAGATTGGTGGGATATCTGTAGGGAGAAGGGCATCAATGTCGGGGAAGAGGTTGGGTTGGAGGAGCTGCCTGAGGGTCTGAGACTGGGGTTCAAGGACCAAATTGGCAAGGATGAAAAGAAGAAGTCAACTGAGAGGACAACGCCATCCGAGCTTACAGGCCACTCAGAGTCTGTTGGAAATAGAGACATCTCCGCCAGAAATGGTGGAACAGCACCGGTAGCCTTCAAAGGTACATCTTCAACGAGCGATCCAGCCCGAACGAACGCACTTTCAGAGCCCTTAGCCGAGGCCTCGAATGCAGCATCCGGGGGAGCATCCAGATCTTCAAGCTCTACACCGTCTTCAGACACCCAGAGAACTTCCAACCAGCCTGCTGTGGCTTCATCTCCCGTAGCGAGGCCTATCACAGCTCAATCTACCACAACGATACCCACAAGCCAACCGCCCCGGCCTGCCACACCGATGTTAGACAAAGCCATCTCGGGTCTTGTTCTTGCCCTGCTTTTCATGGTCCTTAAGAAAGTACTATACAATCCGAATGTTATCGGGTACGATTATTGAGTATCAAGTCAGGGATATTCGACGAGGTTCTCCACGCCTTATATTGACGTGGTTAAAGAAGCTCGTTGAAGTATCTCCCGAACATGAGGAGGACGCCCTGGATGTCGTAAGAAAAGGATCACACGGAACACGAAACCATGATTTCGATATCCAGAATCCATACGCTACACCCGGCGGTTTGATCCCATCTACATACCAAGGCACGCCAGCCCCGGTTCTGCAATCAACGCTCTTGGAAACTTGGAAGCTGAGGTCTCACCTTCGAATCTGGGCAGCCCATGCAGTCGGCTGGCAGCCAAGCACTGGGGACGATTGCTCAGCAAGTAGATGCAAAAAGAGGTCTTTGAAATGCTGTCAAGACCCACGCCCGAGACCTGGAAAGGTACACCGTATAGTTTCGTATCAACAGAACGAAACCAGGCGAGGAACCTGTCTTCTCTCCCCCTGCATGCAGAGATGGCCATGCTCTGTCCACCCCGACACCAGCTTGTCCATCCCCCATCTCTCTCTCCTTTCATTACCGGACATACCTGGACTCAACCAACCTGCAGCAGCACCCTGGACGCAGCAAATGGGAAACGCCCACATACACATCAGGACCGAGACTAACTAGACCCCTATCTCCACCGTCACACTGGTGCTGGAACGAGACAGCGTTGGATGACCGTTGCCATGAATCACCAACGACAGGCTGCCAGGACTGCGGATCCTCAGTTTTAGAATGATTAGTAGAAACTTTTCCCATCAAGGCAGACCGTTATTTTGAGACCTTTGTCTTTTTTTTTTCGCTGCAAGATTCCTTCCTCGCTGTACGCCTTGTAGGTATCACGTGGCTTGTTCGTGGTTCCTCTCTGGTCTGCATCGTCCAGACTGCTCCACAAAAGGCTATTGGACAAGGAGTAGATCTTGAGGAGGGTCTGGTCACCTAAAGATATGTCATTGGTTTCTGTCTGGGGATATCGATAGTAGGAAAGGGGTTGCACGATGGCACGGCCCAGACAGCCGAGATGGATAACGCCATCTCATTGACTGAAAACCAGGACAAGACAGATTTGATGAGATGCCCACGCAAGCACTATCTTATTTTGAGCTCAGAGTTCTCTAGCTAGGATGTATCTAATGACGTTGGACCGTGAGAATGAGTCTAACATGATGTTGCTTCCGGGTCCGCCCTCACCAAGTTTACAGCTTTCCGTTTGTAGTTGTTTGCATAGGCTCCCTGACCATGATATCCATTCTGATAGCTTTCTCGGCACGCTTGAGGTAGATCTTCTTGACGAATTTGAAGCCCATTTTGCCGTAGATGACGGGGTTGATATCGTTCGAGCTCTCGAGGTAGCATGCTCGGTTCTCATGATCAGCCTGAATGTGCCTCACCGTGTTAGCGAGGTTTCCCAAGAAAAAAATAGGAATGCTTTTAAGACTGCTCACCTGCGCGGTAACGTGCTCGACCAGTTTCCTCGCATAGCCTCTCCCTCGACTGTCGACCTTGGTCCCGAGATAGACAAGATACCAACAGTCGTCATCACGCTCGCCCATGACTTCTTCCTTGGTCGTGTGCAGCAACGGCAGGAACTCGTCAAAGAACCGCTTCTTCCCCTCCGAGCTCAACTGGAAGTTCAGCCTCCACATCCCACTCCGCAGGATCGTGCACCAATCGTCCATGTTCTTGCCCGGCGGCATCCACAAAGCCACGCAGCCGTAATCGTCTCCGACTGTGGTCACGAGCCCTTTGACACAATGAGCGTAGGTGATGTACTCCAGAGCCTGGCGATGGAGGGTGAAGCGCTGGTCTTCAGTCCAGTGCGCCCGGTCAGGGGTGTCGATAGGATATCGAATCACAAGATCCTCGACGAAGGCCTCGGCAAGACATTGGGCGGCAGCCTTGTATTCAGAGGGCGGCACGACACGGATTTGGGACTCTAGAGGAGTGGCGGCTGAAACGCGGTCGGCTGTAGAGCTGCACTTCTCAAGGGACAATCTTGCATCTAAGATTGGGCCAATAGAGCTCGGAGGAAGTGCCATCCTGCGTTTTGTGCTGGCCTCAGGATGTGAGTGTCAATCTGAATCTGATTGTGGTGAGTTGAAAAAGAACGGCGCCAGATTAAGTGCACCCACAAGCAAGATTTCAGGCAGCGGTTGGCGGAAGTTCAACCTCTATCAATGTGTCTCGTTAAGTCTCCTGTGTGGACTGGGATAGTTCTGACCTCAAGACACTTTCCACTCGAGCAGGAAAGCACAAACATGTACAAGGCAGGCGAAGTTCAACCGACATCCAGGTTGTCTAGAGGTAGAGTCACTGTGATACAACTCACCAGCGTTCGATGAAGAAGCAATGGGTTTCACTTGCGGAGCAAGGCGACAAGATGAATAGCAGGCAGAGCAAGCGCGCTGGAGAGATGGAATAATTTAGTGGCAGGAACGACCTTGAAGCAGGTACCTTTCGCATATACCTCTCTAGATATTGATGTTCCAATCCGAAATGGGTTGTCAGACATCATATTCCTGAGCCGGTTGTTGAAGACTGAGAGAAGCGGAGAGTCACGAGAACACACAAAACAGCCTTTTGTTGAGTGGAGGTTTAGCAATGGAACGCTCTGGCTTATGGTCCGGATTCCATCCCAGACTCCGGCTCACTCTTGGCATTGAGGCTTTTGACCCTGTACGGCCCCAGCTGCATGGTCATTGGCCATGTCAACTTCACACTGAGAATAGCGCGGGACACGAAGGCGAAGTGCTTGCCTTATGCATCGTGGCCGTTGTTTGGTGGATTCAACGTCCGCACAAGTCCTGCAGATCAGAATGTTGACGATCCGCCATGAGATGTAGTCCGTAAATGCCATCTGAGCATCATCGCAGTGTAGGATCCGTGGTGCAAATGGACCAAGATCTGGGGCTTGCTTTTCAACAATGTCCTTAGCATATTGCTCTTCTTAAAAAGCCATCTCCTGCAGTGCATCAGCCACATAATACCTTAGTCATAAGGCCTCCATGGTTGGCCCCTCCATGTCCGATCGTAAAACACCAGAAAATGCTGGAGCCAGGTCGCTAACACTCGAGCAGAGCCCATGTATATTCGTCGACCGTTGTGAAGATCAAACCAAGACTGATGAGCTCTTCCGCCGCCCTCTGCACTTCGTTGGTGTTTGTTCCCATCTGGCCCGCCAGCATTTGCACGTGTAAGCCCTCATTGCTCTGAGGAGTAGCTTTCAACGTCTGGAGCAGCTTCCTTGCTCCAGGACTCATTGATGGTAGTGCTTGACCATTTGACATTTGTTGTGGTGGTGCTCCGGGTGCACCTTCATTCATTCTCATGCCATTCTGACCCTTCCCTGCGTCGACTGGTCCCCTGGTGAAAAATAGATGTATTGCCGTTGCGTCAAGCAAATGGTAATTGATCTCGTTGTAATCCGTAACAGGTCGAACCACGTGTGCGCCGACGTGCTTCTTATTATTGAAGACCTTCAGTTTACCCCATACCCTGCAATAGCCGTCTTCGACTAGTTTAGACTTCGAATCGTTGTCATTGCCCATTGGTTCGGCCATCGACATATCAGGATCATTCCATTGCTTGACCTCGATGACACCAGTCCCATCGTCGACCTTGTAAGTGATATTGGTGGTTTGTGTGCTGATGTTGCGAATTTGTCCCACAAAGGTGATCTGTCACAATTAGCTTCTTGTGGGCAAATGGCGTAGTAAGAACCTTGGCTCTTACGTGACTGATAATGACTCCGTCGACTTGATGACCGGCTTCCGGATATGGCTCTTCTGCATCCAAGATTTGCTTGATCGTGAGTGGTCGCACGGTATCTTTTCCATAATCACCCTAGGTGTAGGAGCAATGAAGTCAGCATCAGGATGTCAGGAGCAGCAGGTGGGGAGCCCACTTTTCCGCCTGCAGGACTGCTTGTGACTTCTCCTTGCATGAAACCACCTCCGTCTGTACCACCCTGAGCTCCATAGCCAGTATTATACGGATTATCGAAGTTGTAACCCGCCATGATTGCAGTATTCGTTCCTATTAGAGGGGTTTGATGGGATGTGATGAGCCAAAGTAAAGTGTAAGATATCGAGCTCTAATTTTGAGAGGAAACTTATGAAGACCGCGTCGCGCGTCTGAGGATGAGGGGATCTGGAAACCACTTCCGTAGTTCTGCCGATGTCCGCCCAAAATTTTGGAGGAGCACTTTCACTGGGACGCAATACTTTTTGTAACACAGAATAATGTGACTTCGGAGCGTACAGAATTTGCATTGGCAGTGTCTGCTACTTGCGATACCGCGGACACAATCTGAAATTGTTATCTGTCCCTGTTCGGCAGAATGGGTCGAGCACTGTCACCAGCCAGATCCGAGAACGAATTCGACATATCCACTGTTCTATTTACGAATGGCCTTGATCATGATGGCAAGAGGCCGTCCGAAGAGATGGATATCACTCTTGATGCTACAGATATCATGGTTGACTTGTCCGAGAACGATGATACAGCCATCATTGCAGAGCAACAAGCTGCGGCAAATCGCAGGGCAAAGAATATGATCGGAAAAACAGTCAAAAAGGGTGGTGGGTTTCAGTCGCTGGGTCTTAATACGACTCTCCTGAAGGCTATTGGACGAAAGGGTTTCTCCGTACCCACGCCCATTCAGCGCAAGACTATTCCACTCCTCCTGCAAGAGAAAGATGTTGTTGGTATGGCAAGGACAGGCTCTGGGAAGACGGCAGCCTTCGTTGTACCAATGATCGAGAAGCTCAAGGCTCACAGTCCTCGTATTGGTGCAAGAGCGCTGATTCTTTCCCCGGCCAGAGAGCTGGCGCTGCAAACGCTTCAAGTCGTCAAAGAGCTTGGAAGAGGCACTGATTTAAGAAGTGTACTTCTGGTAGGCGGCGACAACCTGGAAGAACAATTTACTGCTATGGCTGGTAACCCTGATATTGTAATTGCTACGCCTGGCAGGTTTTTGCATCTAAAGGTCGAAATGGGTCTTGATCTCTCAAGCGTACGTTATGTAGTATTTGACGAAGCTGATCGACTATTCGAAATGGGCTTTGCAGCTCAGTTGACAGAAATCCTGCATGCCCTTCCTGCTTCAAGACAAACCCTGCTCTTCTCCGCCACTTTACCGAAGTCTCTTGTTGAATTTGCACGAGCGGGGCTTCAGGAACCGGCATTGGTTCGCTTAGATGCTGACAGCAAGATCTCGCCTGAGCTGCAGAATGCCTTTTTCACAGTCAAGTCGGCCGAGAGGGAAGGTGCATTGCTCCACATTCTACAGGATATGATCAAAATGCCGTCTGGGTCTTATCAAGATGAGCACTCAGATGCTGCCAATAGCTTAGCGGAGCCGTCAAGGAAACGCAAGCATGATGATCAAGAAAAACCGCCTTCCCGAGGAGTGCCTAGCCCTTTCTCTACCATTATTTTCGTGGCAACGAAACATCATGTTGAATATCTTGCTCATCTCCTGAGGTTGGCCGGCTTTGCTGTGTCACACGTGTACTCCTCTCTCGACCAGGTTGCTCGAAATGCACAGGTAAATGCATTCCGATCTGGGTTGACCAACATCTTAGTGGCGACTGATATTGGTGCTCGTGGCATTGATATACCTATACTTGCAAATGTGATCAATTACAACTTCCCGTCGCAGCCGAAAGTTTTCGTCCACCGTGTCGGTCGGACAGCCCGCGCCGGACAGAAAGGTTGGAGCTACAGCCTGATCAACGAGACAGATGCCGCTTATCTACTCGACTTGCAACTGTTCCTGGGCAAGAAGCTTGTGGTTGGTAGAGCTGGTAATGAGAACGTCAGTTTCACGGATGAAGTCGTTGTAGGGACTCTACAGCGAGACGCCATGCAGCCCAACGGAGAATGGATAACCAAGAATTTAGATGAGAACGCAGACCTTGCCGCTTTACGCTCCGTCGCTGGAAAGGGCGAAAAACATTACCAGCGATCTCGAAACGCTGCGTCCAAAGAAAGCGTCAAGAGAGCAAAGATCTTGGTAGGCTCTGATAGTTGGACGGAAATCCATGCCCTTTTCAAAGATGATTCTAGCATAATGGAAATGGCCCGGGAGAAGATGTTGGCGGCCGTTGGTGGATTCCGACCACAAGAGTCCATCTTTGAGATCGGAGCTCGAAGAGGTGGGCGCAAAGCGAATGAAGAGGCAATTGAAGCCATGCGCAAGATCCGGTCTTCACTAGACGCAAAACGGAGAAGAAGTCAGAATAAGGAATTGGATGTTGCAGGCGGTACTGACATAGCTTCCGAAGATGGTTTGCGAGAAAATGCGGCTAAGAACGCCGAACCATCTGCAGATCTAGCTATTGCATCTGACTCAGAGCTCGAGGTAACATTTTCACACTCCGAACCTTCTACGAAGCGAGCCGAAAAGAGGAAAAGAGAACGAAATCCGGACTCGTACCACGATTCCGAAAATTTCATGTCATACGTACCAACCACGCAAAACTTGGCAGAAGACCGCGCCTATGGTGTCCATTCCGGATCAGCTTCCAATTTCACAGAAGCTGCACGTGGCGCTACGATGGATCTCTCTCTGGACGACGCAGCCAAAGGTTTCGGCGAAGCCAGAGGCATCATGAGATGGGACAAGCGGCAGAAGAGGTACGTTGCCAGAACAAACGACGACGACGGCTCAAAGGGACAACGTCTGGTGCGCGGCGAATCCGGCGCCAAAATCGCCGCCACTTTCCGCAGCGGGAGGTACGATGCTTGGCGCAAGGCGAACAGGATTGATCGTACCCCGCGGGTGGGAGAGGTGGAAGGGAAACTCAGCAGTAATAACCCGACGATGATAGGGAATGGGGGCAAGAAATATAGACATCGAAATGTTCGAGCGCCGAAACAAGCGGATAAATATCGCGATGATTTCGAGAAGAAGAGGAAGAAAGTGGCGGCGGCGAAGGAGAAGGAGCTGAATAAACGGGGCAAGAGGGAGATCAGGTCGGTGGATGATATCCGAATTGCGAGGAAGTTGAAGGAGAAGAGGAGGGAGAAGAATGCCAGGCCTTCGAAGAGGGTCAAGAGGTAGGATCTCCAAATAACCACTCCATCCTGTTGCAGAGCAATGAAGTTTAAAGCTTGCTGAGCGCTTCTGTTCACTGTTACCATCACCATCACCATCACCATAGCCACGCTGGACTCGCATTTCCCGCCTCCCATCTCAACCAGCTCTGCGTGAGCCTCAAGACAAGCCAGGCCTATCTCACACCTCAATCCATCTTACCAAGGTCGAAGATTCTACTCGGCTGGATTCGGTGTTCAGATGCTGGGAGCAAGAGCGAAATGGGAGAAGTAGCAGCAGCAGCAGCAGCAGCAGACCACGAAGTACATTCAGCCTAATGGAAGGTAAAATTGAGTTCCAAGGCCTTAGATGAAGGGGACTCCACACCGAGAGGCATCTATGACCCACCTACTACCTGCTTGCCTTCTTTTCAGGCGAGATATATGGACCTGGGCAGGGTGTAAACCCAGTAATTAATGTTAGGTCAAGCTCTGCTACTGCCACCGTCCGAAAGATGGAGAGGATATACTCTCCTCCCCGTCTCAAAATAGTGGAGATATGTCTGGTAATCTGGTTATTTTCATGAAGAAATGTTGTAAAGGGGCCAATGAGTTGTTTCATAACTGTAGCTATGGTTCTGCGGTGCAGATCAAGGCACTCATTCATTCACAGACACAGCCAACCACGACCCCCCTCTCAGCCTGGATACTCGTGCATCCGATCACCCATTCAGACATTGTAGATCGCCATCTCGGGCGCATAACCCGTCAAGCGCTCTCCACTGCTGGGCCTGAACTTCTTCTCCTTGTACCACTCATGCGCTGTCTGGGACAACTGCTCGACCTCAGAGAACTCGAATTCCTTCTTCGGGAGAGCCGAATACACGCCCTGAGCATAGTCGGTGCCAATATTGTAGATCTGGGCCAGATATCTCTTCTGGATGTCGGGATACTTGACGAACCGCAGGAGCTTGGCCGTGTTGCTGATGGTGTTCTGTCTCTGCGTGTCGGTCATGACGCGGCTCCAGAGCTCCTTGGCTTGGTCGTATTCGTTCTTCTTGCCTTCGTGCCAGTAGTGGCTTTTGCGGGAAACAACGTTGTCGCTGACGAGATAGGGCGCCTCTGCGACGTCCGGACGGAATTTGTGAGCAAAGCTGTTGGGAACGTATTGTTTGTTGCCTGCGTGGTTGGCGTCGACACGCATCTGGCCGTCGAAGTTCAGAGGCGAGTATGATTGTGCCATGAAGGGGCAGTTGACAGGAACCTGATGCAGGTTGATGCCAATCCGGTGGAACTGGGCGTCGCGGTAAAAGAACATACGGAATTGGAGGAGCGGGTCCGGAGAATCTTCGATACCAGGAACCATGCTGCCAGGTGCGAATGCAGCCTGCTCGACATCACGATGGAAGTTTTCTGGATTCTTGTTGAGGACGAGGCGGCCGAATTCTTGCATGGGAAATTTGCCGCGTGGCCAGACTTTGGTTACGTCAAAGGGATCGAAGCCGAGTTTCTCGGGGTCAGCTTCCTCCGGCTGCATGACTTGCACCATGGCAGTCCATTCGATTTCCTCCCCTGCTTCAATGGTGTCCCAGAGGTCGCGTTTCGAGTAATCAGGATCTTCTCCAGAGATGCGTATTGCTTCTGGTTCGGTGAACTGCTTCTGACCATGTTTTGCAATGAAATGGTACTTGATGTAGACAAATTTGCCATCCTTATTCACCCTAAGATAGCCGTCATTGTCACATCGGAGTGCCAGCATATGGCTACAGCGGACTTACCATCTGAAAGTGTGGCAACCATAACCATGATTGAAGCGCCAGCCTTGTGGGGTGCCATGGTCGCTGAAATACATCAAACCCGCATGATTGCCTTCTGGAGTGTTCCCTAGCAGATCAAATAAAGCATCGAAATCAAGAAGAAAATTCTTTGGGTTGCGAGATTGGGAGCGGATCACATCAGGACCTTGGATAGGGTCACGGCAGAAGAAGACAGGCTGTGGTGGTCAGTGATGGGAATGTCTGCTTTGGATAGAGAGTAACCCACAAAGTTCAATCCCACAATATCATAGTTACCCTCCATCGTGTAGAACTTGATGGCAAAGCCACGCGGGTTCCGCGCTTCATCTGGGAACTCGCGCCCTAGAGTCACGGTGGAGAAGCGGACGAAGACAGGAGTTTTCTCTCCCACGCTGGAGAGGAAGTTGGCTTTCTGTAGAACTCAACGTTAAGCAATGCCATCTTTCTATGAAGGGGATGACAGAGGATTATACGGTAAGATCGGAGACATTCTTTGTAGTCTCAAAATAACCGAAAGCACCACTACCACATGGATGTACCTGTTCGCTCGGGACCGGAAGTCAGTTTGAGCTCCTTGTTGATACTCGGGGCCGAGGGCTGACAGCAGGGTGCTGCATGACTAAGGCGTGGGCCAACAGACCATACCTAAGAAAATCGACACGAGTCAACAGAGATCGTTACGTCACCAAACATCACCATCATTGTTAACGTCAGTTGATATCCGCAAATACCGTAGTCCGTGCAGATAATGGAAAGCAGGCATCTTCCACTTACGTTCAAGGTTCTTTGAGCGGTTGAAGTGTTGCTGCTTCCTGTACATGGATTGAGACCAGGACTAATGGACATCTCCTGTAGAAGCGCGCTTACTGGAACAGAAACACGTCGCTGGCAATCGGAATACCGCCAACAGTCTTGCTGTGCGCGCTGCACTGGGCATCAGCAATGAATATTCGAGGCTTAAGCGACGTGAGACTGACGGATCTGGGAAGGGAATGCCTTCGTTGGAGGTGAAATACGCTCCATCGTCCTCCCTCGTTCCACCTTGAACAGCCCCAGATACTTTTGCAATGATATCCGCAGGGCCCTCATTCGCGCTGGCCATATGGCTCATTCGGTTGCTGCGTCTCTCTCCAGTGGCACCGCCAATAGCCATAGCGGTGGCCTGGAGAGGATGCTGGAGCGGGTCAGTCTGGTTAGTATTCGCGCTGGTGCTGCTTGGTGCCATTGTGGGTAATTTGGAAGCAAGGTTGAACGGAATGTCCATTGAGAGACAGAAGGACTTTGGGGTGAATCAAATTTATGAACATATTCCACACTACTGCTCCCTCTTAGGCGTTACTTCTTATGGGCATAGTGATGACGTGACGTACTCAGTATTGGTGATACTACGTAGATTGCGCTCCTGCTGAGGTATTGTAAGCCATGGCGCCAATGATAATGGAAGGACCCAGTCGCCAAGCTGAGATGCATGTGGGAGATCCTACTCTTTCGGACGATGATTGGGTTCGCAGTCGGAAATGTGCTCCGAGCCAGGCGGTAGTTACTGCTAGTACTACGTATGCTATCCATGGTTGTCCAGAGTAACGAAGTCTTCATACTGTTGCTGCCCTCAGCTTCTTCATGCATGTGGCAGCCATTTCTGCTTTTGAAGTCAAAGAAATGTTGTCGACTCCTCCTCGATACCTTCATCTCGTCGACGAGACATCGAAATCTCACCTATAGCAACATGGCATACGTGCTCCATTGCATCCGACATTAGCCAATGAGGAGATCAGTGATCTCGACGGTATAACAGCATTGGTGACTGCGCTGCGTTTGGCATGGGGATTGCTCGATCTAGTGCCCTTGGTATCCACTTTGTTAGGCGTAATCTTACTATAAATACTAATCTTCCTGTTGAGTCCAGCTATACTTAATACATCTCGTGCCTTCGTATTACTGGAGGCTCACGTGCTGATATTTGAACGGCAAAGAAGAGCAGCGTTTGAAATTCATCTGTGATGTGCAGGTAGAGACTCGTAGAACTGAGAGGCCTGAATCATGGCTAAGAAAACGATACTGCCCCAAGGGCAAACTTAAATGAGGTGGGGAGGTCTTCCCTATAGTTAGTCAAGGGCGATGAAAGATCGCCTAATCATAGATCTCCTCGATCAAGTTATGATTGTTGTCACAGCGCACCTCAATAATAATGCTCTTTGAAGCTACTTGAATAACTAATATAGCTGATCCTCTCTGTCAGCATCACCACCGCAAGACAAACTATCCCAGGGAGATCCCTACTTGTTCGACATTCCCGCAGCCATTTATCAACCGGAGCTATATACTCGCCCACGATGCGAACATGATTCCTCCATAGAATAAGCATAGCCATAGTAGATTCCGCCTCGACACACACTCTGCCTCAATCTTACCGCAGCATAAACAAGGCGTCAATGGTGGGCGGCCTTGTCGATGAAAGAAGGTCAGCTTACGTAGTATGGTGTACTCCACTTCGAGGTGCCATGACTTGCTTACGAGGTGAGGCTGCGAGACCTCTGCATTATTGGTTATTCCAGGCGCGGATCGATTCAGGAACCAGGCCAACTTACTTATAGTTAGCTACGTCTTCCAGGTCGCCTCAGTCCGTGTCCGACAACTCCACATTATTATCCCTCGACGCCTCTTCCTTGAACAAGTGAAACATTCACGGCATCTTTCCAAGAGCAGTCCCGCCTAAGTCAATTGAGTGACTGACCCTTCTTCTTTTCGCGACCGTTACTCAGTAGGTATATCATATCACGAGCCGGCCGGTTGGGAACAGAAGGACGATCTTCCAACCTATACTCGCATACCACTGTGTCAAAACAACACGCCGAGGAGGTCTGCTGCCTGATCCACTATTCCAGGTCGATCATGGCAGCGAATGAATACTACAATGCTGCCACTCCGTACAACCATACCGCTCATCAACACCTCGATCATTCCCCACCGTCACCTCCGCCGTCCTCTGCAAAACCGCCTACATCTTTATACACCAACTATCCGCCTTCTAGGGCCTCTTACATCCAGTCACCGTACAGCGCCTCGGGGGCGATAGATAGCCCTTACGATAACCCACATCACTCACGAGATTCCTATTACTCAGGCGTTGTTGGTGGCGCATTGAACGACGATCGCCAATACGCAGATAACATCCCCTTGAAATCACCTCAGTCGAGACCTTACTCCGGGGATCCTCTTGCTGGCCAAAACACACAATATCCTCCGTCACCTGAATCGCAACGTCCGCCAAAGTCGAGTCGCAGGCGAGAGAAGAAGCAGGGATGGTTTTCTGGGAAGATAACATGGGTAGTCTTTGCGGCCACACTGGTGCAGATTGGTGTTTTCATTGCCGAGATCGCAATAAATGGTGAGTTCATGCTTCTTCTAGCTTTCCATCTCACTAATCGACTTCGAAAGCGACGAAAACAGGTTCCCCGATCATGACCCGTCCCAGTTTTAATCCCATGATCGGCCCTTCTCCATACGTTCTCATAAACATGGGTGCTCGATTTGTACCATGCATGCGCCTGACCGATGGAACCGACGGCCTCCTCTTCCCTTGTCCCGAAACGACGAGTTCTGATCCAAACGATGCTGTCAATAAGTGCACTCTACCAAGACTCTGCGGATTTGGTGCAGCCGAGAACTCTCAACCAACTCAGTGGTTTCGCTTTATCATCCCCATGTTCTTGCATGCTGGGATCATTCACATCGGCTTCAACATGTTGCTTCAACTCACGATGGGGCGCGAGATGGAGCTCGCGATCGGATCGCTACGATTTGCTCTGGTGTATCTCAGTTCTGGCATATTCGGCTTTGTCCTTGGTGGAAACTTTGCACCACCAGCCATTGCATCGACAGGGGCCTCTGGATGTTTGTTCGGGGTTTTGGCGCTTGTTTTGCTAGACTTGATCTATAGCTGGAATGAGCGTTCGAAGCCCGGCCGGGAACTTCTCATCATCCTGCTCGACATTGTCATATCATTCGTGCTTGGACTTCTCCCAGGTCTGGATAACTTCTCACACATTGGAGGCTTCTTGATGGGGCTGGTTCTCGGGATTTGCATTCTACACTCCCCCAATGCCCTGCGACAACGTATCGGTATGTCCACGCCATACGAGCCAATGGCATCTGGAGGGGCCACGGGAAATGGGGTCATGGGCACATTTGTCAAACGCCCGGTTGGCTTTTTCAAGGGCCGAAAGCCTGCCTGGTGGGCGTGGTGGTTGCTGAGAGCTGGTGCTCTGATGGGAGTGCTTGTCTCATTCATCGTTCTTCTGAACAACTTCTACAGGTACAAGACCGGATGCAGTTGGTGCAAGTATCTGAGCTGCTTACCGGTCAGCAATTGGTGTGAGCTTGGCAATATTGAACCAGCGAATGCAAATGGCAGCCAGGTGCGAAGGGATTTGATGACGAGTGTGTCACAGATCGGTAGTAATCTTTTCCCAAGAGCGAGGAGTTGATCTGAGCCTGTTCAAATTATTCTCAAGCGCATGTTTACAGGCTTGCTCGTGATACGTCTCAGAGCTACGAGGACATAGGTGCACTTCAGCATAGCGACGGTTGTTGATGATTTTGCCTCTTTCACTGAAGAATGGCGTTGGCCGGAAAGTCGCTGAATAGAATTGGAACCAGTCGAGTTGTACAACTCGTCCCTTAGCACATCACATATATTAGTAAATACATACGGAATAGGTGTGACCCATATGAGGAACTTCTTCGTCAGCTGACTTGGTTAAGTCGAATGACTGGCGGTTGACTTTGTGGATCGTCAGTGTTGCCGCATGGTGCCTATGTGTGGCTATGTATGTAACACTGTAGAGGATCCCTATGATCTTCCACTCTTTACAGACCACTAAGTCAAGTATTGTCGCTCACTCTGCTTTGCATGTCCCTCACAAGAATACTTTGCTCATTCGACTCATCGGCCTCGCAACTAGTAGTGGCAGCGACGATTTGTCTTCCCTCTCGAGCGATGATGGCCTGCAGAGTCGTCTAGCATCAACCCGCATGACTGCGCGAAAGAAACATGTCACCTCTCGACTCACCCTCATCGACATCCTCGTCCCCTGCCTTCGGGCGCAAGACGCGTTCCTTTGCACGTAGATGCGAACGTCGCTGCTGCACCATCGCGACCTATTTTCCTCTTGTGTTCGTTTACAGTCTCACCACCTGGGCCGCCTATGTGGAAGCCAGCATCGGCCTTCCAACCCTGGCTTTTGGAAATACAAAATCATGGACTTCAAAGCCCTCCTCTATCATTGGAGTCTGCCTCTACATCCTCCTTAATGTTTCCTATACCACCGCGGTCTTCACAGACCCTGGATCACCCTCCAGTCCCCGCAGCTCACCGCGCAAAGACCACAAAGGCTACTCTCATCTGCCTACCAGTGAAGCCTCCTCACAGTTCACGCTCGCTCAGCCTATCACTGTATCATCTACCGGCGCTCCTCGTTATTGCAAAAAATGCACCCATCCTAAGCCCGACCGGACTCATCACTGCTCCACCTGCCACCGATGTGTCCTGAAAATGGACCACCACTGTCCGTGGCTTGCGACCTGTGTCGGTCTACACAACTATAAGCCTTTCGTCCTTTTCCTCGTCTACACTAGCTTGTTCTGTTGGGTATGCTTTGGCAGTACAGCGTATTGGGTATGGACCGAGCTGCTGAACGCAGAGAGATATCAGGAAAATCTGATGCCAATCAATGTGGTTTTACTGGCGGTCATTAGTGGTATAATCGGATTGGTGTTGACTGGCTTCACCGCTTGGCACTTGTATCTGTGTGTAAGGGGAATGACGACGATTGAGTGTTTAGAAAAGACAAGATATCTGAGAGGCGTGAGGAGCAGGATTGAGAGGCAAAGGATCGAGGCATTGCATCATCCCTACGATGCGAGCGAGCCACATGGGGTGCAGGAAAGGCTACAGAGGGCAGGGGAGATGGTGCTTGAATTCCATGCAAATGCTGTTCCGGGTGCCACACGCCTAGAGGAGGGAGAAGAGAGACTCAGTCCAACAACAATCCAGCCGGGTCCTGTGCCTGCCCACAAATCTCCTTATCACCAATCCGGGTCAGATAACATGACCCCCGCCCAATCATCACTTGCACGGACCTACGCGTTGCAGGAAGCCGACCGCGAACGCTCACGATATGAAGACTATCTTGCCGATCAGGAATCCTCCAAATTGCCCAACGCATTTGACCTTGGCTGGCGACGGAACCTACTCCATCTCTTCGGGGCCAAGTGGTATCTGTGGGCTTTGCCCATTACTAATACCACTGGGGATGGGTGGAAGTGGGAGGTGAGTCAGCAATGGATTGATGCTGTCGAGGAGCAAGCAGAAAGGAGAGAGAGAGATGGAACGGGACAAGCACTTTTTGGCAGTGGACTGAGGGGTGGGGATGGTTATGCAGGCGCCAACGACCTGGAGAATGGGTATCCTCACTCTCAATCCGGCAGGCCAAGTAGCCAAGGGGCAATGTCGATGCAGACGCTCAAGCGGCCGGGTCGTACACTGGCAAAGGCCAAGCAGAGAAGAGACCTTGACCATGGAGATGGCGGAGAAGTTGACTCCTTTGAAGTCAGCAGTAGTGATGCCCGCTCGTCCTCTGACAGTGGCCCACGATCAGGCAGTCGATATAATGACAGATGGCGAGATTGGGATTGATTCGATGATTTATGTCTGGATTGGGCCAATTACATTTCAACAAACTTTTCTCACGCTATTGCTCAATGCTCTTCCATTACATTTCCAGCCAGAGAAGCGCCGCTCTGCCTGTCATACTATTGAGACGAGCAAGTTTCCATGCTGTCATCTCGTGGCAACTATCTCAATCCTCGATCCCTGACATTAGCTCCTTAGCATGGATTCCTTATCCTGCAGTGTCACTCCGCCATCGTTATCTCCCCACCCCTGAACTGTTGACGCCGTACAGTAGCTTGACCTCCCGCTTCGTCGGCTTCTCATTGACTCAAGTGACAGTACACTAGGTGCTTTCCCTGCATTGATGTCAAAATCGGGGTGGAAGCTTAGTTAGCAAGAAGCTAGGTCTCTTATCAATGCTGGAGCAACCTTTCGCTGCAACATGCCGATCGCCGTCAATTGAACAGCCTATCGAGCTTCTGCAGCATCTGCAGCATATCTCAACGACAGTTGAACGTTCTTCGGCTCGGTTTGGAGGACTGGAGTGTTGAAGCGAGCATCTTCCATCGCTTGCTCAATAAACATGTGTTCTCCCGTCTGTCTTTCTTTCTAATGTCTGTTCCAACTCCTATACTATCTTCATGTTAGCAATTCCTTACAGATCTACTGCGCGATTTTATTTTACTCCTTCCCTGTTGACGATGGCAACCCCTTCCCCCAACAACACCATAGAAACCAAAACGTCTCTCACGATAACCAACTCAAACCACCTCTGAATACAAAATGTCGAACAAGGCCTCCTCGTCTCCCCCAACCAACCCCACCGCAACCCCTCCGCCACATTCAGTCCCGACCCAGCAACGGAGCGCGAAGTCCTGCGCAGATTCGACTTGCGCATCCTACCCATCCTCGCGATCATGTACCTCTTCAACTCGCTCGACAAGTCCAACCTGGGCAACGCCAAAACCGGCGGCCTGGAAAAAAAACACTCAATCTCGGATCTCCAACCAATACAACATCGTGCTCTCGGTCTTCTTCGTCCCCTACGTCCTCACCGCCCCCTTCTTGGGGATCCTAGGCAAGAAAGACGGGCCCCTCACGCGTCCTGGCGATCATGATGTTCTGTTTTCGGCTTCGTCACGCTGATGGTGGTGGCGGTCAAGAACTTTCGCCGGCCTGATGGCGATCCGCTGGGTTCCTCGGGATGAGCGAGTCGGCTTTCTTCCCCGCTCGTCATCTATTATCAGACGACCTTCTATCGACGGGGGGGAGCTGGCGAGGCGGCTGGCCATCTTCTATGCCGCGCAGTCGATCGCGTCGGCATTTTGGAGGCTTGTTGGCCTTTGGCGTGTTTCAGATCGGGTCCGCGACGATGGCGAATTGGAGATATCTATTTGTGATCGAGGGCTGTTGTACCGTGGCCCTTTTCCTTTTTTGCGTGCTGGTACCTGCCCTACAGCGCGGCAGAGGCGAAGTTTCTGAGCGAGGAGGAGAAGAAGATTGTGCGTTCTATAGGATGCAGGTTGACTCTAGCTCGGTGGTGAATGAGAAGTTCAACTTCAAGCAAGCGGTCACGATCTTCAAACATCCTACCAGCTGGGTGATTCTCGGTGTGTCATCTTCTTCTCCCTTCTTCTCACAAACCCCTTTCCCGCTCAGTTTCTCCTCTGCCCATCAACTCCCTCAAACACCCACTGGAAGCTTCATCCACTGACCAGAGCATCAACGTGTAAAACTCAGCCATCGAGATCGGCCTCGGCGTCCCCCTCCAATCCACCCAACTCTTCCTCCCCGTCATCATAGCCCGGCTAGGCTACTCCACCGTCAAAACGAACCTCCACGCCGTTGCGCCCAACATCTCCGGCGCCATCATTGCTGCTCCTCCTCGCCTACGCCTCCGACCTACACGCGCCTCCGCTTCCCCTTTCGTCGCCCTGGGCTTCTTCTTCACCTTCACGGGCTTCGTCATCTACTCCGCCATCGACGTCGAGAGTCAGCTGCGTCTGGCCTACTTCAGGAGCTTCATGATGTGTTGGGGGCACCAGCGCACCCAGCGTCATCCTGGATGTCTGGTATAATAACAACATCGCGGATGAGAACAAAGCGGGTCATGTTGACGAGCGTGGGGGGTCCCTGTGGCGAATCTGATGGGCGTGGTGGGTTCGAATATCTTTCGGCCGCAGGATGCGCCCAAGTATATCCTTGCGTTGGCGACGACGGCGGCATTTGGGGCGCTGGGTGGGGTTTTGACGCTGGCTTTAGGGGCTTGGATGGTGATGGATGATCGAAGGAGGGATCAGAAGCAGGGTGGTAGCAAGGTCAGGGCTAGAGATGTAAAGACGAAGTTGTTGAGGAATAGACTAAAGGTGGAAGAGTATTAATAGTTTTTGTAATAGAACTAATGTCGAATAAAGGATTAAGATAGATGAAAGTAAAATATTCTTATTATCAGCTTATATTTGTTATATCTTTTATGAAAGAAGAATATTCTTGAAATAACAAAAACTCCGGCTAGGGTACCCCTAACCAGGGGCCCTACTAGCTTAGGAGAAACCTAATTGAATAGGTTTTTTATTATTGTTGAATCCACTCGCCGGTGGTATCAGCGGTATACCTAAGAAGTTGAATGTTGAGGTAGCGGTGCTGATGTCGACAGGTACCAAACGACCTGTGGTCCGCCGGATCTGGTGAGTCAGTAAGTTAGTTAGAAAGCCCCCAGAACCCGCATCCTTCATTATCTACCTCCCCCATTCTCTCCAGGGGAGGGAATGACTGAAAGGCGTTTATTTCTCTTATAGCCACAAGTGCCTAAGCCTTTGTGTGTCAGTATCTTTCTCCTTGCCCTCTCTGCCTCTTGTTAGTTGGTTTTTTGTGTGGTGGTTGCCGGAATCGAACAGGAGATGTGCTGCAAATTTCCCCCCGATGGGGAATCGACCAGGGCAACATCTGTAATTTTGTTAGCATAAGAGAGTGTTTTTACCATTCGACTAGGGAGACTTTAGATACCTGGCTGTTAGAGAATTTCTGCAGAATAATAATATATATGCTAATTCTTTGTTCCTGCTGGCATGCGGTGTTTGTGGAACATTTTGGCAGAACACCACATGATAATCGGTGGTCTGATAAGTCTTTCTCTTCTATACATCGGTTTTTGGTAGAGTCGCCACACGGAGGTGTTGGATTTCGGGTGATCATGTCACCATCACTTGATGATCCCCATCAAGAAGGCAGTTATGTACCCGACGATCATGATGCGCCGGCATCAGGAGGAAGTGCGACTGATTGCATTGCGGATCCTCCTGTTGACTCCTCGGATCACCAGGAGCTGGTCAGGTACGGCATACTTGACTAATCGTGTCAGAGCAATGATGATCTTTCTCAGGTATCGAAAGCTATACTCTATGGTTCTCCGCTCTGGAACGTTACTATGGCCCTATGGTACGCGAGGCTGTCGAGGCGCTCCCGGGTGAACATCTCCCTCGTGGCCTGGCAGAGTACCACAGAATACGATGTCCAGGAATCTTGTCGGTCATCTTTCTACCCTTCTAGCCGCCTCGATACCCAAGAACAAGAGACAGGTGGCGACGATGGCACCTGAAACAACGCCGAAAATGACCTGGGTCTTGATACCAGTCTGCACCAGGGCGTCTCTCCGAGCGTACTTGGCCACTGTCCTGACGTAGTTGGCGAATCCACTGACCAAGGAGGTCAAGGCCAGAAACCAAAAGATTATACCCAGAGGCATCGAGATTTTCTTTTCCAGTGTCGACGGTTCATGCTTGAGATGGAAATTGATAAGGATGGCAATCGAGACAACGGCGAGATATATGCCCAGCCGCAGCCAAGAAAGGAAGGTTCGCTCATTGGCCAAATGGTCACGAACATCGGAGGAGCTGTTCGGGATAAGAAGAGGAGCAGTGTAGGGTGTGGAGAAGAACAGCTTCCAAGGCTGTGGTGGTGATCTACGATCGCTACAAGTACGTCAGACGCGGCCTGGCAGCAAAGGCATTGGGATGACTCACTCTTTCACCAGAATTGGCTTCGATCTCATGAGGTTGCACACGGGGTCGTAAGCATGGGCCAATTCAGCCTCAGCTCCCAAATCGGCAGACATGTTCGAGTGGTGGCCTTGCAGCAGCACTGGCCTCTGCAGGACTCGATCATCCGTCGAGATCTGTGGTCGTTTGACGTTGTCGTCGAGCACCACAGGTGAGAGTTTCTTAGTGATGCAGTCATAACAAGCTATCTAATCCCCGACGTCCCGTCGGGGGGCGCATTAACCCCTACCATTTGCAGCGTAGTACAGATCGATCGACAGATGTGCAGGGGAGGAAACAGGCTATTACTCACTGACTGCCCGGGTTGATCAACGGCAGCTCGGAGAATGATTGATCGATGTATCATCAATATGTACCCTGCATGTACCGATTTGCATACATTGGCTGAGACGATTAGTGCAATCTCAACTTTATCTACTTCCTGCTGTCATGGACCGATCATTATGCTTTATGCTTTCCAGCTCCCGAGCACCTCTTGCCACTTGGATCCCACTTGGATCCTTGGTCGAAGACTTTTAGCTCCCACCCAGCCAACATTTTCTTCTCCCAAACCCTTTCTCTTATTTCGTACCTGGACTAACTCACTTATTTGCCTGGAACGTAATGTCCGCTGATTCTGTGTGCGTTGCCAACCGCCAGCTAGCAAAAAGGTGAGATCATGCCCACTCTACCCAAGCCCATCGCCAAAGTTGGCGACCGAGTTACTTTTCTGAGTCGCTCACTGCCCGCCGGCTCCCCAATTGCCCAAGCCTCACTTGCTCGAGATCTCGACGAAGCTTCTGATGAGGCCACTGCATCAGGGTCGAGCTCGGACACAGAGACCTCATCTCTGCGACCGACCACCTCTGGCCCCGGTGCAGCCGTTGATCATTCCTTTACCGGCTCGTATCGACGACCAAGCTTTGCAGCCGCCGGCAACAGGGCGACCATCGTTCCACATCCACACCGAGAGCATGAGCGACTTTTCAGGCAGGAAAGAGAGGAGGTGATCGAGCAAGAGCGTAGTCTCCTGCGTGACAACAATATCATCCCTCCTAAGCACCCTCAAGAAGATCAGCAACATCATAACATCATCAGCAAGCACTTGACCATCCCAAGCATTATTCCCGGAGGGGATAGAAAAGTACTTCGAGATGAAGAAGCTGCGGGCCAACCGCTCGATGGGGCGAGGGCTCTGCCATCGGAGTCAACGCCTTTGCTAGGGGATCCCTCGTTACCGTATGGTGGCCAGGATGACCCTGTGAACATCAAGGCAAGATGGGAGGAGGCAGTCTCCGCAGGCAAGATCCAAACAACATGGCAACGAGAAGCAAAAGTCTTAGTGCAGTACTCTGCCCCCTTGATGGTCACATTTATGCTGCAATACTCATTGACAGTGGCTTCTATTTTTGCCGTAGGCCACATCGGTACTGTCGAGCTGGGTGCTGTCAGTCTGGCCTCAATGACAGCAAACATTACCGGGTTTGCCATCTATCAAGGTCTCGCGACCAGTTTAGACACCCTCTGTGCACAAGCCTATGGCTCCGGCCGGAAAAAACTCGTTGGACTGCAAATGCAGCGCATGATATACTTCCTGTGGGCAATTACCATCCCCATAGGCATTGTGTGGCTCCTCGCCGACAAGATCCTCAAATGCATTGTCCCCGAGCCCGAAGTCGCCGCTCTTGCCGGCCTATATCTTAAAGTTCTCCTCCTCGGGGCACCCGGATTCGCTGCCTTCGAAGCCGCAAAACGCTTTGTGCAGGCCCAGGGCCTCTTCTCCGCCTCTCTCTATGTCCTATGTTTCTGCGCCCCGTTCAACGCCTTCATGAACTGGCTCTTCGTCTGGAAGTTTCGCTGGGGATTTGTGGGCGCCCCTATCGCCGTCGCCATTACCGACAATCTCCTTCCTCTAGGGCTCTTCATATACGTCCGTTTCTTCAGCCAAAAGGGTATGTCCTGCTGGAACGGCTTCACACGAAAAGCTTTTCACAACTGGATCCCCATGATCAAACTTGCGCTCCCAGGCCTCTTGATGGTCGAAGCCGAAGTGCTGGCGTTCGAACTCCTCACCTTTGCCTCCTCCTACTTTGGCGTCAGGGCCCTCGCCGCGCAATCTGTCCTCGTGACCATTACATCGATCGCCTTCCAGATCCCCTTCCCCCTATCTATTGCGAACGCCGCGAAGACCTCCGCCAAAGTGGCCGGCTGCGGATCTATCATCACTGGTCTTTTCAACCTCACCATTCTCTTCAGCCTCCGCAACGTTATTCCCAGACTCTTCACGGACAACGAAGATGTCACCCAGCTCGCCAGCGCCGTCTTACCTGTCTGCGCGGCATTCCAGCTCATTGACGCTCTGGCCACGATCTGCAATGGCATCTTGCGGGGTCTTGGGCGGCAGGAAGTGGGGGGCTATGTGCAGGTCTTCTGCTACTATGCCGTCGCCATGCCTATTAGCATGGGCACCGCGTTTGGACTGGGTTGGGGCCTTTGGGGTTTGTGGTCAGGAGTAGCGGTTGCGTTGGGGTTGGTGTTTGGAATTGAGGGAATCTTTTTGGTCAGAACGAGTTGGGAGAACAGTGTCGAGGAGGCGAGGAGGAGAAATGAGGGCGCTTGAACTGTATATCATGTAACATTCGAGCGTTATTGGGACATTCTTTCCAGCGGGATGGATGAAGGGATGGGACCTGTAAAATCTCTAGTCTTTGTATACATAGGGAATGCCTCTGGATTCGAGTTTGATCTTCCAGACTCTTAGTGTAGAAAAGATAGAGCATCGTCATCAAGAGAAGTGAGGAACAATGTCTAGTCCAAGATGAAGCTACCCTCCAAGACTATGTTTGAGCTTATCATTGTATTGCATCCGGTGGTCTTTGTACTGCGTACCCAACAACAGGACAAGCATGGCATATATAAGTTATGGTCGTAGAACTTTGGGATGTGTTGACTTTGTTGCATGGTGCCTTTGATGCTGATATCATAGTTTCCATCCTGCCAATGACGGAGGACCGAAGGACCGGAGGACCCCGGACCGAAAAATCGCAAGCTCCGAGCACAGATTTGAGCAACATTGTTTTCTGGCCAGTTGTGAAACAAGATAATAGTAGTCCCATCGGGGTGTGTGCATTGAGACTGCTTATATCAACTCTGTTGCTTGCTCTGGGAGACTCTGGCTACGCCGGGCATGCCAACGCCTGCCTGAACCCTCTCCACTTCTTCCTTCACGACCTGCAGCTTACATGCAATGCTATGAGGACTCCTGTTGCTCGAAACACAAACAAAACTTACAGGATTGACGTTTTAGTTTCAGATCCTTGGGAAACATATAGTATTGTGATGAAGCATCATTCATGAAACCCACCACTCAAGCACGAGGCTCACGAAAATGCGGTCTTGACTTGACAAGCAATTACTGGCGTTGTTATGATGTCGATGAACAACGAGGGGATTATGGCTTCCAATTGACCGTCCGCCGCTAACCTTTAACACGGATCTGGATGTAAAGGTCGCAGGCTGTCGCAGCTCCTCAGCTGCTGGAATCTCCGCGACCATTATTGCTACACCCAGCTGATAAGACTTCCTTTGTAGCATGTTTCTGGGCAAGATAAGGCCTCCGCGATCCTTCTGTGGAGGAATATTTGGCAAGGCTATCATTCCCCATTACCATACTCTTGCACGTCCTGTTCGAAGATGAGGGGGCCGGTGGGCGAGTATAAACCAAGGTCCTCTTCCTAGATTTACCTCTTTATATACTCACTTCCTCAATTCCACGTCGAGATCATACATTCACTCTCACAGCAAGCATACCCAACATTGAAACATCGCAAAGAAAACATTTTACTATTCCATATTCCTCTCAACATACCTTTACTCATCTCAACATAATGAAGTCTACTCTCATTTTCTCCTTAGTCACCCTCCTTTCCACCACTTCTCTTGCCCAAAAATTCACAGGCGGTCGAGCAACCTTCTATTCTCCATCAGTGGGCCTAGGATCGTGTGGCGAAACGCATGCCGATTCAGATCTCGTCGTCGCGGGCCCCTCTAGTATGATGCCGGGAGCCTGTGGTAAAACCGTCATGATCACCAACACGGGAACTGGAAACGGCGCCGGCAACACCATCAGCGCCGAGGTGGTCGACACGTGTGCTGGGTGTGGTGAATCCGATCTCGGTACGCTTTGCTTCTGATGTGCCTTGCATTTGTATCAGCAAGACTGACGTGGAAACCATAGATCTATCCATAGGTGCTTTCGATCAGTTGACAAATGGCGATCTGGCGGCAGGGGTTGCAACTATTGATTCGTATGGCTCCATCAACGAGAGAATCTCAGGGTCCACAGTGAAGAGCTAACAAATACTAGGCAAGTTGTCTAAATCGGCACATAGTCACGCGAAGGATACTTCACTCCCGAAGTATGCTGTTAGAGGCATGCTTCGGCTCTGGCTGGTGCTTCTGGTGCATAACTGTTATTTAGAATAGAGCTTTGCTATTCAACTTTCTCTCTCGGTCCTACAATCTTCGTATCTGCTTTGCATATTTATGACCCTGGCTTCCCAATTTTCATACCTCTCTCAGCCTCTTAACACGTCGTGGTTGCACTCTCCAGAAGCTAAGCCCAAAACAGATGCTGGCATCAATTCAAGAATGCGATCTATCGGTAAGCGTGTGGCCGAGACTGAAACACAGGACCCAATTCAACTCGACTGCGAAACGGAAATCGGAGACATCAGCCATCATCGAAGCATCATCGTTTCTATCATTTGACCATTTTCGGCGGCCTGGGATTTGGGCAGAGTTTTAAGGCCTCCGCCGCATCCCACTATCAGCTGAGCCAGTCTTATGCAGTCCTCTATGATGTTCAGGAAGAGGTGCGCTGCCGAAATGCCAATACAGAACTCTCATCAGGTGCGGCCTCTCTTTGATGCTTACCTCCTCGCTTTAACATCGACCTCCTTCAGGCTGAAGTTGCCCATTGACGCATTTCATTCCACGGCGTCCTGTGTCTTCGATTGTCATAACCCGCAATCCTAGCTATCTGAAAGGGGGTTCCCCGACGACTTTCTCCATTTGGACGACACAGAGTATGCGTCCAGATATCACAGTATTCGAATATCGAACCTAAAACAGGGGAAATCCAAGAGATGCGGATTTTCCTCGCAGGGTCCATCACCTTTGGCTCTGGTTTGGGAGCTATTCCACTTACAGCCGGTCTCAGTCTGATTTTGGCCTCATATGGCGCTCGGCGAATGAATGTGGCCAAGCGGAAGGTGGAAGTCGTCCGAGGAGAGTTAACAAGCCACAATATAGCACCCCATACCTTGACAACCCGCGAAAAGGTAATTGTAGTTACGGCTGGGTTGATCAGTCTTGGAGCTGGCACGGCCATTGGTGTCGAGCTTTTCCCGCCTGTCGGTGTAGAGGTGACTAACATGGAGCTCAGTCATGCTGTGGCTCCTGGAGGCGATGTCACTATTCAACCGGGTGGGGGGTGTCCAATACACGACTTCCTAAGTGGCAATGTCTAACAATGCACTAGACAGCGTGCAACACGCGACACCTGCAGATGCAGGTAACGTTCAATCTTTTGCTGCGCAGACTGCCGTAGCTGGTCTAGCATCTAATACGTCACGATGGGTTATGGAAAGGTTTGACGACGCCTTCTGGAAGGAAAAGATCAGGATGGCGGCCGGCTGCCCGCTGCGCTCCATTCGCCGGCTGCTTTAATTTATCCTGCAAGAGGTGCAAAAGGGTGGTGACTGAAGGCAACTACGCCCGTGAGTCTCACCTGGAGAGCTCTCATGTATTTGCATCTCTGCCATCTGGGGGCTCAGATTGTTGTGAATGCGATGACGATTATGACCCGCGTCTCAGCTGTTACCAGTCTGGAACGAAATGTCCAGTGCCAGCTCACACCATTACAGTCCGCCAACTGGCGGGTGGAATGGTGATGTCTGTAAACCCAGACAAGTTTCAGGCACTTGAGCTCCAAGAATGCAGGGGAGGATATGTGGTGCGACCGGTGTAATGCAAGCATCCTGCAGGGAAGGTTCTTCAGCATGTTGCTATTTTTTCAGCCCCTGGTCATCTCACATTCCCTTTGCAGGGTGTATTGCGTACAACAAGCATGACGGAGGTCTTGGACCCCATCTGTCAGCTGCTAAGTACCATGAAGGCAAGCTCTGCGATCAGTCAAACTTCCAGCGCCTGTATTACCGTCTTAAGAGCTTTTTCTATCCAGGGAATATAGATCCCTACAACTACCTTGGTGGAGAAGGAAGTGCGAGTTGTAACAGGTGCGGAAAAGGAGATCTTTATACCAAGGGGAGTATTATTATCGTAGGAGATTCTACAATCCCAAATACTGGCGGTTTCACAAGACAGTCCAAAAACTAACATGATGAAAGACTGCTGTGACCAATATTCGACCGGAAATTTCGACCTTTTTGCCATCGCTGCTGCTACGAGCTTGGAGAATTACAGGAGTTGTGTCACGTGCACGTTCCGTTCGCTCTGCCTTGGCGCTGCTGCTTCTTAGATTAGCTCTTGCTGCTCTTCAGCTTCTATCCTCCATCCACTCTAGAATCCATCGAATTGCCCATAACCATTGCAAGTTGCTCAGCGCTACAGATGGTCACTCGGCCTCTGACTCGGGTCAAAGCGGCGCCTGCTATGGAGGCCGTAATTGGACCCGGGTAAATATACTCATATCCGTATATAGGTTAATTCCTTTTCCTTTTCCATTTTCTTACGCGGAGAAGATAACGTAGGTCCCGTCTCATCACCACCACCATCCGGCGGCGTTCATTATTCGTGGGGTATATGACAACACATCTTTGAGATGGAGTATCTAGAGAGAGATCCTGCTTTGCGAAGCGGAGCGAAGCCACGCCAAGCCTAGCATGAGATATTACGGGCCTGATGATTGGTGGTAGAGAAGAGTGAGTGTATATACATGGGCTGAGGAGCAGATTGGCCAGTATCCACTAAGAGCTATGCATAGGGAACAGAAGCACATAGGGGTAAGGATAAAGGCTTAGACTGCCGCAGATTTGTTGAGTCGGTTCGGTTCAACAGAAACTGCCACTGAAAGCTCACACTAAGCTATCAAATTATCTCGTTCGCTCGTCCACTCGTCCCCTCGTCCACACTGCCATCAATCTCTCAATCCTTCCCACGTCCCATCCATTCTTCCTTCACTTCTTTCTTCCTCTTTCTTTAGTTTGCCGCGAGGCGAAGCTTCTATTTCAAAGCTTTTGTAGTAGTTTTATTAATTTGCAAGAACATCCAGCCGGCAGCAAGCAAGCATATATGTTCTTACAGAGCTAGCTATATACCTTCGAGACATATAATGGACAATGACTTGTATAACCGAGACAGAGAGAAAGAAAAAAGCGTTCAGGTAATATGCCGTGTCAAGGATTGTGGCGAAGTGAAAACGTAAGCGTTCGGCCCAAGTACCGTAGACTGTCGATTTGAGAGGAAGGGTATCGTTTATTTCATTGCTGCAAAAGGAGAAGAACAGAATACGAAAAGCAAACTCCATAACATGGCAAGATGGAGGAAGATGGCTTCGTCGACATCAAGCCACACTAAAGTCCACATGCACAGGTACACTTTCATATGGACTTGGTGTCTGAGCTTCAGCGGGCGGGCTCTTGGTATTCCTCCCACGGCTTGTCGACCTCAATCTTGTGGTGATGGATCGGATCTTCCCTGCAAAATTCTCGTTGACGCTTCTTCCACGTCGATGACCCCCTTGGGGATTTTCCGCATAATTTGTGGGAACGGGCGGCGCTGTCTTTGGGCCAGGCACTTCGACCAAACTCGATGGATCAGGCCAGCCAACGGTCACAACGTCTCCATTGTGGCTGATAGGCGAGTGGTGAGCCATTGCAGGTGGTGGCGGTGGAGGAGGCGGAGTGGCCAGGTGTTGTAATTCTGGAAGCATGGGTGGGACCTCAACGTTGGTTGTGATTGTTCTCCCGTTGGAAAGAGCTTCACGAGGAGAGACTCGTAATCGTTCTTTGGAAGAATCAGGCTGTCTTGCGCCGGGCGGCGAAAAGGCAATCTCCCTATTCTTGCTGCTTGATCTGCTGGTTGGAAGGCGTCTGTCAAATGCTGGATGGGAAGGCAAGTCGGAAGGAATGGGAGGGGAGCCATAGTCTGGAATCGGAGCTGACATAGATCGTGGGAAGTCTGGAAGCATGTCGGCTTGATAGGCATCATTGGAGAGCACCGTCGGATTCTGATGCATGTTTGAAATGGTATCCTCACCAGAGGACGGGCTTAATGCGGGATACCGCATTGCTCGTGGAGTTGCTGGAAGACCCATGCGAGGCATGAGCGAGGACTTTGACGGCGAATGCGCGTCAGCGCTGAAAGGATCATTGGGAGAATGCTTCGCGTGAATTCTCCCAGCCAAGTTGTGCAGCTGTACAGTAGCACTGTTGTCGGTGTGGAACCGCATCAGCGCGGGTGCGCCACCCATAGAGCGAGATTTGGAGTGATTGGGCGACATGTTCTGACCAGGAAAAGGAATAGGCGGAGCTGATGGTCTTCTTGCCAAAGACAACCGACGTGCCTCAAGCTCAGCCGCCGCTAACTCTTTCCTCCTTTTATCCGCTACGAATTGTGGATTACTGTTTGCACTCGCTTCCAAGTTGAGCTCCGATAGTTGAGCTGAACGGCCTAAGAGCATAGGGGCCACTGGCAGGGCTTCGTGGTGTCGCCGATCGGCAGATGGGTCTCGGTGTCGACTATGGATGCCAGCCTCATTCCGATGGGAAAGGCTGCCTTTTCTGGTCATCCCAGGCTCACGTTCATGAGGTTGACGACTGCTAGATCTTGTCCTGGATGCCTTTCTGCGGTCCGGAGATGCATCACGTCTAGCACTGGAGCCGCGGTCAGGTCTCCGGCTCAGGCTTCGGCTTGTGCTCCGATGTTGAGCATGCAGCCGTTGTCTATCGCTTGCAACGAAGCGAAGGACTTGTTCAGCATCAGAATGCTTTGGTCGGTCGGAACCAGAAGGCGACATAGGTAGAGGAGATGTAGGTGAGTCCAAGCCAGCTTGGTCTCGCTTAGATTTACTCCTTGTGCGGCCACGATGTTCATGGGCTGGGTCAGGACTATGGCGGCGGCTCACTGTTCTACTCGAGTGTCGGCTCTTGTGGCCTTCCTTGTGACGAGAGGCCGATCGATGTCGATGACGATCACCGGTCTTGGAACCAGAGCGCAATTTCCCGTTGGAAGACTTGCCCCGGTTGCGCTCGGGCTTGACCGACCCGGCTTCTGACCTAGACTGCAGGACCGAATCAAAACTTTCCACACTGGCGTTGTACAAGTTCAGCTCGTCAGGAGACATTGAGACAGGAGAGGAGGGCGACCTTTTGGCGGGCGGAATCATTCGACCTCTTCCACGATCTTCCTCTGAGGGTGCTCGGAGGCGGTGCTTGCTTCTTTTCCTCTCCCCAGCCTGCCCATGGCTACGATCTCGACTACCGGTGCGGTAGCTTTGCTGGTGCTTGGTGTAATAGTGTGCTTCTTCGAGGCTGCTGATGTATTGATCAATGCTCCGTCCACTGACGCTTGGGCTTTTCAACGTTCGAAAGCTATCGCCCGTGGTTGGCGGGCTTGCCAGATCGCTGTGAGTGTCTATGTAAGTGCCTGTAGTGTCCGATCTCGGCATCTCTGCGGCCAAGGTTGCCAACAGGTCTGTCTCGGCTTCATTCATCGTCACTTCAACAGGCGGCCACTGTATCGACAGCCCATCCGGCTTCCGGTCTCGTGAACCATTTCGAGTACGCGAGTCTTTCTTTAATGAATCAAAAATGCCCTGAGATGGAGACGGCGGCCCGTGAACGGGTTGCAATTCGATCGCGGTCGTGGGACCTACGGCGGTGAGCGGAGTTTCTTTGGATGGAGTCTGGTGCTTCGGCTCATATCTTGCTGATGTCAGCAGGAGTGGTAGATCTGTTGCAGGTTTAGAGCCCGGCTGAACCTCATTCTGAGCCAGGGCTGACTCTTTCTCCTTATCAGAGCCCGAGTCCACAGGGGTCGGCAGGGGTTTCGGTGCGCTGGATACGGGAAATGCAGGAGGATGAATGTCAATCGGAGTCTCGCCAATAGACGGCAGTCGCTGTCGAGAATATCCTCCAGGTGTTGCAGTGCGTGCAGAGAGCGCGCTGTTGATGCTGCGAACATTGTTCAAACGATAGGAGCCGAGGCCTCCTGGAGTCATCGCAGATTCGCCGATGGCCGACTCTGCAATTGGTGTGATCCCAGGAGCGTTGGTTGGGGTTCGATCATCAGATTTCAGACCTGGGAATTTATAGTGCCCTTGGCTGTGTGGACCGAAGGAGGTGATCAGCTTCAGAGCCTGGGTCTTGGCTGTCAGCCGGCCAGGAAGTGAAGACTTCACAGGAGCTTGAGGAGGTCCCATGGCGACAGGGGTGGGCGCATTGAGGAAGTCACGACGTGCGCCAGAAGCTTGTCCAGGCTCTGAGTATTGACTGGTATAAGCTTGTTCGGTGAATTTGGCTGCCATTTGGGCAGTGGGAGAAGTCCACGGCTCGGATGGCTCAACAGCGGTACAGGAGAAGCATCTGATTGCCAAGTGTTGCTCCGAGTTCTCCACCACATGCTTACCCCATTCACGAACGAGGTACGACTGTCTCTGCCAATTCTGAGGCATCAACAGACAAGCCAAGAGGATCGCCTCCATGTAGTGGCGTCTTGTTACATAGACCTCAATTGCATCATTGTAGTCGCCAAGGCTGAGGAGGATTGTTGCTGCAGCGTGGATATCGCCTTTGGCCAGCATTTTTTCCACAAATGCTTCACCTATCTTCTTGGATTGAACCTGGTTGCCTAGCCCACTCAAAGCAAGCATCATCCAGTCCAGACTTGAGGTGGCGCCACCAGCGCCCATCATGGAAGCCATATGGTCGGGATCGTCATCGAGCCATTTGGAAAGAAGGACAGCACTTTGGCTGCCGACTGGATGTCGGCTTAGTTCATCACGAATAAGATCTTCGATGTCCTCCTCCCACCCAAATACGGTACTCAACATCTGGCGCCGAAGGTCGTCTGGTGTGAGACTTAATTCGTCAAACGCCCGAGGAGGTTTGTAAGGAATGTCGCTCAGCCGAGAGCGGGTATACGGGAACAACTCCTTGATAGGTCTTTCTTCTGGACTAGGAAGTACCTCTTGCTTCAGCCTTGAACCTTTCCTAGCTGATTTGATCGAAGCTGGTGATTGCATTGACGAGGGGTAAGTCATCGAGCTGCTAGTAGGTGGTGGGTCTCTCGCGATTTGCGATTGTGTGCCAAACGAGAAGACTGTGCTGTTGTTATCGGTGCGTCCCAACGCAGCGCTTTTCTCATGTCGTTCTTGTGTGCTTGAGGCTTGGGAGCTTCGGGACTCTGTGCGGCTGCGGGTGGAGCGAGGACTTCCGGTCTGGGCCCTTTCAATACGGGCTGCTTCCAATGCCGTTACTTGGCGGTTCGCCCTTGTGATGGGCGAGCTGACGTCTTCTTCGCTCTCGGACGCTGATAAGCCTAGTTGTCGGTTATATTCCTCCGGTGGCGTGGGTGGCACCGCCATGGGAGGATGTTGGACGTGGGCAACCATCTGAGGCCGATCTAGATCATATTGTTGTACGGTATGGTTGGGACCAAGAGTGAACAGGGTAGCTGTAGGCCCGTATCCTGACAAGCCTCTGACATCGTCTACCGTAGGCACGATTTCGTAGGTGACGTGCTTTGTCCGTACGTCCCATGACCATGTCTGTCGCTCTGAGTACTGAACAATGCGCCCGTTCTTGGACCAGGAAATCCAGTTGCGGCCTGGTGAAAAGTTCTCAGACTTGCTTAGTGTTCGAATTACTCGAGGGGCATCTCCAGTCGGCGGCTTGGACACACTCCACACGCGCAGGTCTCCATCCGACGTATGCGTAGCCAACATGTCTGACTTTTGCTTGGAGGACGAAGCATGCCAGGCAAGTGCAGCGATCGGCGAGGGCGCCCGCTGTGTCGTCAGCGTATGCAGGATAGTGAATGTAGGTTGTAGCGTTGCCAAAAGAATCGAACCGTTGTTGTATCCAATGGCATATGCTTTGCAGTCGGCAGATGGCGCCAGTGCCGTGATTGGGTCATATATTGTTCTGGCCGATATATGCTCCGAAGTCGAAGGCTCGAAGAGGATGACTTCTCCCTTGCTGTTTCCAAACGCCACATTCCCATTGCGCATCCATGCAGCAACCGTGATATGCTCGAATGAGGCAAAGCGAGCAATTTCCTGACCACTGAACAAATCCCACACAATGGCTGTCTGTCCAACATCATAGCTCACCACGAGTCGTCCTGCACCTCTTTCGCTCACATTGTCGACGCAGATAAGTTGTATGTTATCGGCATGCTTTTCAAATCTTCTTTCAAGCGCCAGCGTATCGTGATGGAGGCACAGGATCGAAGTACCCTGGGCATAGAGGAACAAGGAGGCCGTGGCAGCGCATGGCTCAAATGGCGGTGTGACAATTGGGCCCTTGCCCTTCTGTTGGGAAGGCTGTATAGATCTCGAACTCGATGAGAGTGACTTCTGCCTCGCCAGTTGACTGGCGGACATGTTCAGATGTTCCGCGCTCCCTTGCGGAGCTTCTGGTAGGGGTCAGCGACTTCAACAAAGGCGGATGGGAACATTGACGAGTATTCGGGGGCGAAGGAAGTTTTAGGAGAGCAATTTGAGAGAGCGGGCAGAAGTTGCACAAACCGTATCGATTGTGTGTCTCAGAGTCACAGCCACATGGATAGACAGACGTTTCTCCCGATTAATGGTGTGTATCCTGGTCTTCAGGCATAGACGCTTTGGCCGGGGTGCGGAGTATGCACGGTAGGTCAGAAGGGGGGCGAGCGGGTATACGCAGGTCGCTTTTTCGAGCTCACGAACAGGAGCTAATCGCGCTTAGAGGTACTTGAAACTCAACAAAATCGCAACAATGGCGCAGTCATAGGGCTTCCGAGAGACAATGAAAACATTCTATGGTAAAGAAAAAGGTGTGGTAGGACAAGGGAAAAGGGTGGAGTGGAAATATGAGAGACCAGGGCAGTCTTGGACCAAGCCCATAGTAAGAATGCCATTCAACGCTCAGCATCAGCACGATAGACTTTGGGCGCTTGGGAAGAGAGAAGACATTGGCTGCATCATACAACCCCGGCCCCAGTGGAGAATGTGCTCGCCTTGGAGTGAGTCTGACTATTTAGTCCAAGTCACGACCACAGTTGCATTGTGGGACATTTGAAGGGCTTTGAGGGGTCTACTCTGGGCCCGTTGGGAACCAGTGACAGCTCTGCCGAGTAGGGGAGCGTTTTCGAGCTCGACGGGATGGCTCGTCGGACCCTGAATGGCAGGTTCAGTTGGCTGCGAGTGATGCTGCTATTGTGCTGGTAGTTAGTGCTGTTGCTGCTGGAGTGTTGGAATGCAGTGGGTGAATTGGCTCCAGGAACAAGCTGTAGCTCGAGCATTAGCCTGATGTCTCTTGGAGGCTGCGATGATGGCGATTGGCTTGCGCTACCTTTCAATGCAAAACCCGTCACACGCAGAACACATCCAATCACACAATAAGGTTCATCATTCTCCAGGCAGTCAAGGGCTGGACTGTCCCGGGATCAGCACAATAGCTGCTCAACTAACATTCCCGCACGATTCGAGATGACCCTCCTCTCCGATCGCCTCCCTACTAAGGTTTCCGGCGGCTATGAGGTCACGGGCATTGGGGAGTGTCTTTCAGAGAATCAAAAGGCTTCCAAAGCTCATCTATGCCGCGTTCAAGGAGTACCTATGAAAGGGCTGACCAGATGACACGCATGCGTCACTTGTCTTACCAGTGCCAATGGGGCTGCACAGAATCATAATCGCTGCCCGCTAGTCCTTTGGTACCACAGTCCGGTGCCGCGCCGTGGTCATCCGATCTATCTAGGCTGGCATTCTGGGCAAAGCAAACCCCCATCGTCATCCGCTACCTGCAGTAATCTCGCCAACTCTCGGCTACGGTGACGAGGTTCCTCGTGAGGAGTGCGAGTGGTTGAGGTAAGAGAGAGATATCAATGACTGACTGCTGCCAGGGCACATCAACCCTGCTCTCCAATTCATGTTGTGTACCCGGATTCCAGGACCTGGGAGTACCATGTTACGCTGATCATCAGCAACGGTCTTGATTCGAACTGAGTCTGCATAAAGTTGCATGGGTCTAATATATCGATAACCAGCAGCATGTTCTTGGTTTGGTGCGGAAATGCTTGCAGTGGTGCCCGTGGAGGCCGAGAAAGCCCGCCGTAATATTGCGGCACGGTTTGTCTCTTCAGCATCATTATCCTGTTATTTGCTGTCTTACCGTGCATAAAGTTCATGTATCTGCTCAGTAAATGATGATCAACATGTTCCATTGTCAAGATTACATTGCGAACCTCTTTGCATCGGATCGGATCTGGCCTCATGAACGGCACAGCGGAGCGGCCTAAGCCTTGAAGGCTCGAATTCGGAACAGGATCACACTGGTCTTCCCTCGTTGCCCATCGTCGTCACAGAAGTATCACAGCAATTTCCTGGATCACGATTCTTTCATTGGCCACTTTCAGAATAGACGGGGATGGAATTCTTTCGAATTTAATCACCAAAGCAAGCGTGCATCAGCTTGTCCTATGCGCTCACGCTATGCCCACTCTGACATTCCATTGGCGAGTTGACTCCAGCCACCTGCACTACGGGATCGGAGGGTAAGAAAGTCCGGGTTGCTGTTGACTTCGCGAATCATCTCAATCATCAAGATGACTCGCAGCGATATGATGGCTTATGCTCCATAATATCTCATCCAACCTGGCGCTTATATCTCGAACATTCCATAATGCCTCTTCTCTTCCCGGTTCTGTCACAGCAGACCATTTTGACTGGGACCTGCATTTGCTGTATCATGTCTGTTGCCTTTTCTCGAGGCAGGGAAATTCCACCCAATCAAGGAGTGGCTGCACAGCTAGGGAGATGTGCAGCATCGAGCTGTCAGCGTTTCTACCACGTACCAGTATCGAAAAGAGTGATGCATTCTTCTAATGCATGCACGTCGCCGATGATTGATGACTGTGGGAAAGACACTATCGACCAAGGCCTTCCCCGTCGCTTGGATCGCTTTCGTTGCTGCATAAGTTCTTACTACGTAGTACAACTCCTACCCTTGGCCGTGGTCTTGGCACATTGGGCACGCATGAGTGCTACGTGGAGACACGGTAACAACAAAAGTCACTGAAAGGAACTTCCATCTGAGTGCTCCCTTCACGAGATTCGTTGTCTCGGTCGCTAGGCCTCGGCGCCTTTTCGGCAACGGATAACTCATCCATCTCGTGTATGACTACTGCCAAAATGCCTGAATCCGGCTATCTATGCGTTTACTAACAGTAAGTGAAGCGGATGAGGATACAATGTCTGGATATTGGTTAAAAGCCATGCAACACCCGCTGCCCATGGCCATGTGGCACCAGTTGCGCCAGTTTTGAACCTCGATGAAGAAAACGGAAACCTGTACTCTCACCTCACAGCTCGCGGACTAACGGAGCGGACGCACTCAAGGGACAGCAACGGGCAAGGAACATCGCTGGGTAAAGTGACCCCACCAAAAAATTCCTTGACTATATCTGGGTCAAATTTTGCTGGCTATCTCGCAAGCTGGTTCGTCCCCCCATGTTCGTCCCCCCATGTTCGTCCGCCGCGTGAACCGCCAGTTTGAGCGCGGGGCCCGTCTGAGTAAAGGGTGTGGAGTCCAATGAAGGTTGTGTATCCTCTATCTAGGTCTGAGATATCATGCATACGCGAGAGGAGAACATGAAGGTAAGTTAGGCAAGATAAGTTCTGCTCTAAAACAACTCACTCCAGCGGCATCCCAGCTAGGGAAAGTCAGTGCAAAGCAAGGAAGCTAGAGGCAAGAAGAGAGAAGAAGAATGGAGCTAAAAATGAAAGAGGAAATAAATCAAGGTAGGTAAAATAAATTCAATTGTCGATATCTCAATCCAACGGCATCAAGCCAGGAGAGCAGGTAGGGGGTATCATATGCAAACGCCCTGCTTGACCTTCCAATGCTGTTCCACTGTATAACCAAATACATGCCGCTTCCTCGCTTAGTTCATCAAATGCATCGCTCCAAAATGCCGGAAGACAATCAAAAACCCATCAACAGCCCAAAGTGGCAGGTGGGCATAAGTAAAAGACGTCAAACTCCAAACTCAGTCTCTTCGACTCGAGCCCTTGCCACCAACGACAACACTCCTCCTCTTCCCATGCCCAGAAGTCTTCCTCGTCTCACCGGCAAACCTCACAACCCGACTCCTCTTCTCCATACCCATCACGGGGGCTTGCTGGGCAGGAACGCCCTGCAACCACCAAGCGTCGTTCTTGCCCGCTTCCCTCTCCCGCTCAACTTGCTCTCTCACAGCCGCGACCTGTTCTTCGGTCGTCATTTCGCGCTTTCTGTTTGGCACTGTGGACGTGCCATCAAGATGCACGGACTCAAGGTTCAAGGAGAGTAACTCGTCGTCTGAGAAGTAGGAGGATGGCTCGCTATGCGGGTTGTGTGATGATGATGATGATGATGCGACGGACGAAGAGTGGAGGAGAGCTGAGCGGAAGGGTGTTGGGAGATAGGACGTCCCATTACTATTGTGGCGAGAATGGCTGTGTCGGTTGGCGTATGAGGATGGAGAGGAGCATGTGGTTGAGGATGAGGAAGGCCAGTAGGAGGAGGAGAAACTGGCTGAACTTGAGCCTGGTTGCGACGATGAGTTGTATGGTGACGGAATGGAGATTGAGGAGGAATTTGAAGCGGTTGATGTAGTTGACGAGGAGGAGCCGGTACGCGTCATTCTGATTGCGGACCGGTGAGGTTGAGGTGGGATGTTGGAGGTTGGTGAGGTGTAGAAATAAGACATATCTGCTGCTGCTGAATTTCGGACAGAATTATTGATCAAAGACTTTGAGGTAGACTTTCAGTGTTTGAAATTCCGTTCAGTCCGGTTGTTTGTCGATAGTGGTGACTATTTAAAATGTGCTTCGTGGATTTGGCTGTGCTTTATCATTTGCGTAGATGTGATGAGTCAATCCGATTGAGTTGCGCGTTGTGACTGATCAACTTCCAAGGGTGATGCATGTGCTCATTCTTGGCGCGATGTGTGGATGATAAATCCGTTGATGTGATGTAGAATAGAATAGAATTAGAGGGAATCCAGTTCTCCTCTTTATTATGCTTGGAGGCTGTGTCGAAGGGAATCAAATGTAACAATCAGCCGAAGTTTGGTGACGACAGTAGCAAATAATTCGTGCTACTCTGTATTATGGTCGTGGCAAACGACAAAAAGTGATGACCCGGGCTCAGTAGTGTATTTGTGGGGTTTGAGTTATTCGCGAGTGACAGAGCACGAGGTGGCAGAGGGCGGCACAGGCGCGCGTAGGTGGGTACGGAGCTGCTTGTCACAATAATAATAAATCCTTGGTGCGGATCCAAGAGTCTGGAGACCCTGAAGGAGGTACCGTGGGGGCGAGAATAGGGGCCGGAACACCGAAACCGAAACACGGAGGCGCGGTCTCAAGGGGGATCGAAGAATGTCGCGGCTGTGCTGATGGCTGCTTTGAGTTTCAGATCGATATTGTCTGGAACACCAACACACAACAAGAATGGGTTTGGGTTTTGAATAATGTCTGAGGAGCAGAATGTGTCGACAGCGAGGCCGTGAAGGAAGGTAGGAATTTATTAATGTTTCCGGGTGGACTCCTGATCCTGGGCTGGGGTTGTGTCGGTCTGTTGACCGCCTTGTTGTGCGCGAGGCCTGGTCACGCCGATTTGCTGTGTGCGGCAGTCGGTCTGTGGTCGGGCAGGAAAAAGGTTGCACTCAGGATTCCACACAGGGTCGCTGGACCAGGTTTAAGATTGCACGCGTGGGAATCTGGAGTAGCTTCCGGCTGCGGGCGGGAGAATCTAGCAGAGCCTGTGGTCTGTGTTGATGCCTTTGTCTGTGTCCTCTTGCCGGATAGGGTAGTGTAACGATTTCTTATTTGGTGGGGCACAGGGTGGGAATGTCAAGCCCTTTGCTAACGGATCAAGCCTGACTATCGATTAGGGGCTTATCGATTGCGGTTGTTTTGTTGTGCCACCCGCGGGTATGACTCGATCTGCAAGGGTAGTTGGTGGCTTGTTGGGCTTGCCTCACTGTATCGATCTAGGCTGCAAACAATGATAGCAAGGCAAACAGCGTTGAAGGCCATGTATAAAGCCTGCTTGCATCCACTGGTCATCATATAGCCATGGAGTTGCGGAGATGGAAGCGGATCCGAAGCGGCGAAGAAGAAACGGAACTCTCGATGTCTATCAATTCTACATATCCGTCCTAAATCCATCGCCAAGCCAGGACATGCTCTGGAGATACACCGTCTTCCCAACCGTTGGCATCAAGTGTGCCCAAATAAAACGCCATGCTACTGAAGTTGGGTTGGAGTGCGAAAACCGGAAAGATCGTGGTGGAGACTTGCCCAATCTTCGGCGGGAACCCAGAAAAGTTGCAACGGTCCTGACTAACTCATGACAGCCGGGATAGGTAGCCTTACCTAGCTTTTGACAGTACTACGTACGTGGGCGGCCAGACACTAGAATAACCCCGTATGTCCCTTGATTTATCGGGGACTTTCTGCTTCGGAGTCTGCCTCCTGCGCATGATATACGTAGTATCTGACGATATTGAGATCTACACCCTTGATTTCCACATGGGGTTTGCCAGATCGGTGAAAGTAGCTGGACAATGATCATGTCTCTTGCGTTCGTCGGATATGACGTGGTGCATTAAATTTGGCTGAGTATTCCGTGCCATCCTTCACACCGCACGGTGTCATCAGGAGTCCTCGAAATGTTCCTTCCAAGTTTGATTGCTCGGTCAGCTTTTTGGGGTTGGTTCAGCCCTGGGAGCTTGTGTCACCATCGCATTGTTGCAACCTTATCCATCCATGGAAGTCTTTGTCGGTCTGAAATTAGCCGACTGAACATGTGCGAAGCCGCTATTTATGGCCATGTTTGAACAAGTGGATGAAAACAATTAAATAGAGAGCACTTCGGCATCTTCAATTTAAAAAAATCCCCGGGCAACAGTCAGGATGATTAACTGGATGATGCCTTATCCAATTGAATGGCACGCAATTGTCATGTCGTAACTGGAGGAGACTGTAGGCTCCGACTTTCGGCTACGTTAATCTTTAAGGCGTCCATCAGATGGTAAGTCATCACCCTGACTGGACGCTTGTAAAATCCCAATCAATGTCAACAATAGCAGTCTACGACTTTTTCCAACAAGCATCCAAGTTTGGGCCAGCCTTTGCACCAGGCTACCTCGTGTCATGTAATGTGCTGTTGTAGCACCTTATGCCTCCTCCACACTGGAGGGTATTGATGCACTTGTCACTAGTTAGGCAAATGTGGAGAGGACTACTTCTCCACAAAGCTGATATCACGCGCAGATTGGAGCAGGGTTCCTCATAGTTGACTCTTCTGTTTCCAGTCGGGATTGTTCCCTTGAGATACCTTCATGTGATATGCTTCTTGTGACACATGGGGAAAGCCCCCTGGTGTTCGAGATGCTCTGTGCGCCGGTTTCACGAAGATTCACGGCGTGCAAGTCGCGAACAGCTACCCAATAAAGGATAACAAAGGCAATTTAGGAACTTTGACCAGCTGTACCAATAAAAGTAGAAGAAGCTTTGTCACATCGCTTTCGTATCATCAAATGCGGATTGATAGGTTGTTGTTTGCCCTGCATATGACAGAGCAGAAAGGGCCTTCCAGATCCAATGCAAGCGGTACAGTTGGGCCATTGAATGAACCCTGCACGGTTCAGAAATAATATCGGCAGCCGTGGATGACCTTGCGAAAATCGCTTTTTCTGGAACCCGTCCTCAATGACTTTCTGTATTCGCAATGCACTACATTCAGTTCTTTGTAGACCGAGGGTGGTGCTGCAGAGTAAGTCTTTGAAACTCAAGGAGGTCTTGGACCGCTATACACTTTTCAGCTGTGCTCCGAGGCTAGATAAAATGCCCACGGCGCAATACTTCTCTTTCCAGCGCACTTAAATTCTCTTGCTTCTGAGCAGATTCTCGATGTATTCCTTGGTGACATTTGATTAGTCGATCCACCACCATAGGTCGCTGTTAAGAACTGACATTGAGCTACCGAAATAATTTCCATTTCGGCTGATAGATCCAGTATGGGCTCGGTGTTCGCCCACATCTTCGTTCCAATCCTAGCATCCTCCAATAAAAATCGCTCGATATGTTGACCAATGATTGCTGCGGAAGGATTCGTGGTGTGGTCCACCATGATTGCTGGATGTTGGAACTGCCAGCTGCTGCCAGTTGGGACATGAGTCGAGCAGAGACTTCACCCCAGATTTCAGCCAGCTAACGGATTGGCATGAATCCGCACGCTTTCAATGGCTATCTTCTCGCCCTTGGGCCTACCCTTCCTGTCTACTTCCACTGCTTCCATCTGGTCGAGTGTACCTCCATCTTCAGCGCCAGAGATGACTCTGCCAAACACAGTGTTCTTGCCATCAAGATGTCCAGCTTCTTTGAAAGTGATGAAAAATTGGCTACCATTCGTGCCGGGACCTTTATTTGCCATGGACACGATACCTCTTGTATTGTGTCGTAGAGCTGGTATCTTGATCTCATCTTCAAAATATTGCCCCCAGATCGAAGTACCACCTTTTGGGATTGAGCTGTCGGATGGTTGGTTTGAGGACTGAGATGTGTCTCCTCCTTGTATCATGAAACCGGGTATGATGCGATGGAATGGTGTGCCATTATATGCGCCCGACGCGCAAAGTGCGAGGAAGTTTTCAGTGGTCCGAGGAACTGATTCACAAAAGAGCTCGAGCTTCAGAACACCATGACTTGTGTGCAGCTAGAACAGTCAGCAAACAACTCAATCAGAAATAAAAAGATGACGACTTATACCGAAACTGCCATGACACTTTCACGATTGAAATAGAAGAGTTTTGGAAGCGAGGACTAATAATAGTAGGCAAGCGATCGGCCTTGATGGCATACTAGTGACTTTACCGGTTGCCTAGGTACCTTACTCTGTAGTAAGTACGGGCGCCTCAGGGTATGGGAAACATCCCAACACCTAAGCTCCCACTGCAACGTACTTACCACACCGAATTTGCGGGATGCGTTCGGGGAGTCGAGTTAAATAGGCGTTCGGGACTTGGCATGTCAATACGATGATCTACCCACCATAAGTACTAATTTGTGTGAGGATCTCCATCCTTCGTCCCCTGCATGGTTTTTGCGGATTGACGCTCGAAGTCGACTCTCCGGACGCATCCCACTGAATTTGTCCCCATCCACCAAAATCTCTTTCTGTTCCCAATTGGTTTCTGTCCCAACCGACCTTGGGAACTTGTTGCCACTAGTTTCTGAGCTCATCCCTCCTCTAAACGTTCATACGGAAGTTCATAACTTACAGCTCTACGTCCTTGACCCCTCTCCACGTTCCTCCCACCACAATGTCTACCACCACCACCACCACCACCACTACTCCTGCTCAAACCATCACAGCCGAGAACATCCTCCACCTCTTCCCCGAAGTGAGCACAACCCTCAGCGCCGCCACCCCCTCTCGCCTCGACTCTCCCCACCAAGACGACGACCTCAGCGGCTACGATGCCGAACAAATCCGCCTCATGGATGAAGTATGCATCGTCCTTGACAAAGACGACAACCCCCTTGGTTCGGCGTCAAAAAAGATCTGCCACCTCATGACCAACATCAACAAAGGCCTCCTTCACCGCGCATTTAGCGTCTTTCTCTTCCACCCAACCACCCACAAGCTCTTACTTCAACAACGCGCAAGCGAGAAAATCACATTCCCGAATATGTGGACCAATACCTGCTGTTCGCACCCGTTGGCCCATCCCACAGAGACAGGCCACGGCGATCTAGCATCGAATGTCGAGGGCGCAAAACGTGCAGGGCAGAGGAAGTTGGGCCACGAACTCGGAATCAAAGCCGAGCAGGTTCCCGTATCGGAATTCGAGTTTCTGACTCGGATACACTACCTCGCGCCCTCAGATGGCAAGTGGGGCGAGCACGAGATCGACTACATACTCTTCATCGAGGCGGACCCAGAGCTGGATATCAATGTGAATGAGGTGCAGGACACGGCGTGGGTTAGCCAGGAGGAATTGAAGCAGCTGTTCAGGGATGCGGAAAGGAGGATCGGGAAGGGCAGGGACTTCAAGTTCACGCCATGGTTTAGGCTAATCTGTGAGAGTATGCTTTTTGAGTGGTGGGATGCGATGCTTAAGGGTGATTTGGGGAGGTACATCGGGGAGAGTGAGATTAGGAGGATGTGAGGAAATGATTTGAAAGATACAGAAGCATTTGCAGGTGTTTTGTCCAGCATCTCAAAAAGGACTAAACCTTAGCGTTAGAGGCGGATTATCTTAAGCAATTCATTGGTCAGGTAGTCTTAACGCAATACTGAGTTGGAGCACCTCAGCTGGAAAGTCGTTGAATGGCAGTTTATTTCTATTCTTCCAGGTGATCTATCTAAACCTATACTCTAGACTCTGTATCTGATTCGACTCCTGCGCTCTCATAGATCGCGCTAAAACACGCCGCAAGGTAGCAAATTCGGAAAGCTTTCGTGAAGCAAGATAACAAAAATCATGCTCTAACAGCGGCCACAGGGGCAATTGCGCTCGCCTCCTTGATAGCTGGAGCAGCAGGACTCTTTAGTCCAGGCGTGCGCGGCATGAAAGTCTCCGGCCAAATAAACATCTTCTCCTCCCGCGGGCTAAGCGCAGCAAAGATCGAAGCAGCAGCTTTACTGCTAGCCTTCCGCCATATATCGGCACGAGGGTTGAAGTTGTTCGGCGAACCGAGACCATGGGTCTTCTCCTCGTCATACCGAGCGATCTTGGTGACTTCTTTTTGGATGTCGGCGAAAGTGTCGAATGGAATGTGGGCGAGCTTGTTCTCGATGCAGTATTCTTCGAGGCGAAGACCGCGACGGGCGAAGAGGACGTCGGCTTCGCGGGCTGCGGGGAGGTCCGAGACGCCGTCGCCAATGAAGACGATCATAGGGATCGTGCCGTTCTCGCTCTGCATTTTTGCTTCTTCACGGTACTCAGTGATTGAGAGGGCTTTGTCGTGGCCAAGGTCACTGTCGTGCTTCCAGACTGCTTTCCATTCACTTCCGTCAGCGGAGATATCGGCATCGTTGGCAACGATTTCAATGTGCTTGCTTGCTTCCTCGCCTAGAAAGTGGTTGAGCACCCGCCGGAGTATTGGTTTCAGACCAGCAGAAATGACATTGAAGGGTATATTGTTGTTAATGCAGAATTCGTGAAAGACCTTGAAGTCAGGATCGATGTCAAGGGCTGTCTTCATCACTTCGAAGCCGTCCTCGAAAGGGACATCCAATGAAGCATAGAGATCATTGGAGACCTCCCTGAAGCTTCTTTCGCCAGACTCGAGCTCAGCAGCCAGAACAGCACGGCGTTCCGGACCGCATCCGAAGTTGTCGAATAAAGTATGGCCAGTGTCCTGGAGGAAAATTGTTCCGTCGAAGTCTGGACAGAAAAAGGTCAGCAGACCGACACCCTGCTTCGGTGGATTCTGTTATGTCGCCCAGTTATACGCACCTGAGAAGCAGATGATCTTGCGTTTTGTACCAAGACTCGAAGTGTCGACCTGTTCCACTCCAGACCGACCACTTTCATTGATCGACTTCACCACAATGGGTGGAGGGCTGATAGCAATTGGTGCCATAGTCGATGATAGGGTTGTAGAGGAGAGCTAGATTAGATGAAGCTACAAAGGAAAGCAGGTATTCAGATAAGAAAATTGCAAAAGAACGCGATACTTGGGTCTAAGTCAAAGATGAGCCGAGAGACCTCCAGAACATTGTTAAAGGATTTCCAGCACCTGCAGGCTTGCAGAGATGCGACGCTGCGGAAAAGTAAACCTGTGGTGTCAAGGTACTACTGAGCCACGGTGTCTGGCGGGAAGGCATACGAGGCTGTAAAAGACCTGTTAAGAGGCACATCGTGTTTTGCATGTTTGGGCCTCTACTGGAGTACGCCAGTGGCCTCATCCATACACAAAACAGTTGCCGACACAAAAAACTTGATCGAGTGAAGGGCGAAGAAGCAAAGGAGTGGAGTCCAGGGTGAACCAAAAGCGTGGGATTGAGGATTGCCAGTTGCCGTCTCTGGGTCTCAGACATTGTAACAGAAGCATCCTGATGCTTTGCCGGAGTTTGAAAGCTCGATTATTCTAAAATAAATGGCAAAGGTGAAGCAGAAGCTGTCGTGACGTTCAATCACTGAGTACTCGGCTGCTTGGCTTGGTGGGGTCGGAAAATCCTATTGCTCCGGAAATGGCAATTCGGACTAGTCAAGCCTTCAGATGAATCATCTTATGTTTGAGCTTTGGTCTCAAGATCTCCAGGCGTATTACAGGTAGGTTTAAGTAGGTAATTGATGTGGAGGCTTGCATGAAACTCTGCTCAATAACCGCGGATAATGACGGTTATCCCTCCATGTCCCGGCATTGTAGTATCAGCTTCCGAGAGCTCTCGTTCTTCCCATGATCCCGTAGGGAAGGTTGCGCCTCAACACCATGCAGAGCCTCTCATTCCTTCGTACAACAACCTATGCCGTGCTTAATCATCCCGCGCTCCACCACACCATGCTCAATCAACAATATAACGACTACCCATCAGTTCATCCAAGTATGCCCGCTGGCCAAGCCATTCTTTTCCCTTAGCTTTCTCTTTCTCTCTAATCAACACGGCTAGAACCTCAATGGGAGGATCAAGGCCTAAGGAGTTTGCTCGCTTCCACCTCTTCGCTCGAGCAATACCAATGCACGGTCCGAACTGTGAGCAGAGGTCGAAATGCCGAAGGATCTTCTCATGAATGGTGAGATCTTGCTGGTGCACTGTCATCACAACCGGTCAGCATGCACCTTCAACTAGTAGATATGCCTCAGTAATACCTCTCGGCGCCTTCCGTACTTCTTCTTCTTTCCTCCAGTACTTTTTAATTTGTGCGTCTGTAACCTTTTCAGCTCGTAAATCTGCCTCGTCCTTTGGTTTGGCTGCTTCTGTCTTTATCTGCTGTCTTAGAGCGACTTCCGAGGTCGGCGCATCTTCTGTTATAGCTTCAATGAGTGCTGACCCAACCTTGGACGACTTCTTGTTTGAAGGTGCCGATCCTGTTGGTTTCAAAACTTTGGTAGGCTTGGAGTGGAAAGAGAGGGTAGGCTGGGCATGGCCGGAGCTTTGGGCACTCTTGCGCCGGGTCGGAGGCATCTTGGACTGCTGAATCGGATCGGTTTCTGCACTGATATTGTTTGATGGTCGTCTTTGGTTTACGATGTGGGTGCAATACTACTACTATTGCTGTAGGAGATCACATCCGCTGGTGACAGCATTTACTACTTACTGTGGTAAAGCGCCCCCCAGTGTCCCGGCAACGCTAGCTCCTTGGCACGACGTCTTCGCCAAGTCGTGGTTTTCTTCCAGATGGAATGCAGAGTCAAAGGCCCTCCATACGAACGTTTGGCATGAATATCTCTCTCTCTATCTCAATAGGTCCGCTACGACTTCTACCGTTTCGAATATTTTCTCTTCCTCCAATCGCCTGCTTACCAACTGTAGCGACCCAGGCGTGCCATGATAAAAAGCTAGATCATAATCCCCTAGATCTTTCCATCGAGCTCACTCAGCTCTGAAAGTCTTCATGTCTCGCGCTTTATCAACATTCTTATCAGCAAGTGTGACAAGAAAAGTACACAATGCAAAATCTATGATTGGCTGATTTAGCTGTAACGAGAACAGGCAATAACCATAAATGTCTTTTGTATCTGTCCGAGTCTTGCGGCCTCCTATGCTGTTACTGCTACGATGATTCCAGCCATCGGCTGCTTTCCGTCCACCTCAGTTGCCATCCAGCAGCCAAGATATCCCTTCGCAGTGCTTTTCTTTTCAAGTTCACTATCCGCATCTTTGTTGGTCCAAGATCTGCCTCCCCTGCTCTGGCTGCCTGTGCTTATCCCTTCGTAGACTCCAACACAGGCTCTCCATGTGGCTCTGGAAAAGACATGATAGCAGCTCCTCCAAGGTCAAAGAATGCCGCAATCAAGTTCTTCACAGTTTTAGGATGGTCCGTGGTGGCCCATGAATGGTTGCGTGGCCCGCATCTTCAAGCACCTTTTTGACGGTCCTAAGTGCTCTTTCCACTGGCGGATGGCAAGTCACCAACACATCATCAATACCTACCAGGCCAAATCGGAGCCTCCGGCCTTTTGATTGAATTACCTCTTTCCCCATGGTATTGGAAGATATTTGCGATCCAAATTCCACGGCGCTACTTGCTTAGAAAGCACAGCTTCACTATGAAGCTGGATCGACCTTATCGATCGGGCCATTGGACCATTAACGGCAAGAATGAATCTTGTCTTGAGATGCCTGACTTTTCCACCATGCTCAGGAATCTTCCGAAACTTGGCTTCAGTCCATAGCGATGGCTAACACGCACTGGGAAAATGGATACTGCCACCAATATCAGTGCCTACACGCAGTGGCGAAACCTTCGCGGCTATCAAAGCTGATTCGTCTCCACTAGAACCACCAGGACTAAGGTGCTTGTGCAGAGGGTTCCTGGTCTCCTCCACACCTCGTTATTGGTCTCCATCATCATCATACTATGGGAATACTGGTTTTGACATAGAAGACGGCCCCAACATCTCGCAAGATGGTCACTAGGAGGGTTTCGGATGCCAGTGGTTCGTTCGCCAGGGCGGCCATTCCCATTGGCGAGAGATGTGGCGGATTAACGAAGCAGTCTTTCAGCGAGATTGGCAGGTCATACAGTGGTCCAGTAGGCTTGAATCTGACATGCAATGATGATCTGTGATTATAATTTGATCTGGTAGAAGCCGAGATGCCGCCTAATCTGTGGAGTCCACTTCCAGGTCAATGGAAGAGTTGTGACCGACTTCGTAGTCTTGCAAAGTCAGAGAGTCCTTAAATGGTCTCTGCCCCTGCCTTTTCAAGAGGATTTCATCTGGGCGAACAACAAGCCGGTGGGCCACCAACTTGAAATCTTTAATGCTATCCGTGGGAGAAGATGGAATGGTGCTCTTGATACCAAGTCGATTGTTGACATGAACCAGGATTAAGCCGCCAAACGACATATTCTGATTCTCCATTTTTGGGGGTTCTTTAGACTGCTTCTTTTCTACACGAGAAGCTTTAACGTGGGTATTCATTGGTTTCCCACTGGATTTATCTCGTCTGTGGACTGTTTCTCTGCTTCGAAAATCGCGTGCCGTATTTCGAAAGAGGCTGGTCGGCGTGAATTTGATAAAGGAGGGATCGGTGGGGCCATTTGGACTGCGAACTTGATTGAGCACTCGAATGCTTGAACTCGGATTGATTGCGTAGGTGGCCTAGTCCGTGCGACCACTGAGGCTGAATTCTGAGCTGGCGATGTTGGAGGATGGTAAGTAGGTATTCTGAAGAAATTGAGACTCCAAGTTTTAGTTGAGCAAGCGAGGCGTGTTCTACCCTCAAACAGTGGTAAATAGATCCATTTTATGATTGGCCTGCTAAGTACACAAATAGTCAATGGCGGCCTCTTTCTGTGGCCAGCGTACAGAGTATTGTACTGTAATAATAATACATCGGCGTGGGGTAAATATGTGCCTGGCCGCATCAAACAGCTGGCCTTCAGGTTGGTGATTCCTAACAACTTCATCACCCTGCTATCTTAAGTGTTTCTATTAGAATGCGTGTAAATACGATTTAGATATGTCTCAGCAAACTGCTCGTTAATCAAGGGCGCGGGATAATCATCGTCCCCAAAGACGTGCTCTCCAACAGATGCACCCTTGAACATACCAGCCGCGGTTTTGTCTGTGTAGCTGTCGAAAACAGCAGTGATGCGGGCCAGAGGGCTTGTCGGATGTGCGGCAGCATAGTCCAGTGCCTGTTGCTTCCACGAACCGAAGGTTACGATCTCCTTCCCACCACCAACGGCACCTATCAGCTTGAAGAAGTCATTGCAGGTCGGTGCACGTGTGTTCAAAAAGTCCCAGTCCCGGCCCATTCGATGCAAATCTTGTGTCATTACGGCTACGATGGTTTTACTTAGGTAGTCGATGGGTAGCACAGCGGACATATCAGCATCCAATGACGGGAACGCTCCCATTTCAAGGCTTCCGACAATCAAGTTGTGTAAGAAGTCGCCGCGATCGAGCCGGAAGTGACCAGTCGCAGTCGAGGCAGTGACATAGGGTAAACGGTAGACGCATGCCCTGGCGCCGCGCCAACGAGCCGCTGCCACCAGCCTCTCTGCAATGTATTTGGAGGTCCCATAGCCGTATTCTTGGTCTGCCGCGCTAAGGTCGAGGCCCATATGCTTGGGTAATGTCGAGATCGTGGACACAAGATGGACTGCTTTGGCACAGCCGCGTGAGGCCAGGCGCAGAATCTCGTGGGTGCTGACGATATTGGGACCGACGTAGTCTTCCAGCGGCCGCATCCAATCGACGAGAGCGCCCGAGTGACAAATGGCATCAACTCGATCTGCCAAGTCGTCGAATACTTCCTCGGTCAAGCCGAGCAAGGGTTGAGCCATGTCACCGACTGTCGGGTTGATCAGTGACGCAAAGTTGGCTTGCCAGAGACCATAGTCTTCCAGAGTGCCCACCACCCGCTGCCGTGCCTTATCGACGCCGTCGGCGCGCACGAGGCAGTGCGTAGTGATGCCCTGCTTGAGCAGCTCGTACAGGATAGAGGCACCGACAAAACCTGTAGCGCCTGTGAGAAAGACGGAGTCGGGACGTGTGGTACATTTAGCTGGATCCCGAGTTACGTTGTCGAACCTGAAGCTGCTGTCGAGACAGCCTTTGCGGACTGCCTCCATATTCAAATGAGGAGAGTCAAATGCCGTGGTGGCAGAAGTCGCACTGCTCGATGCCTTTGTGGTGGACGACGTATCCATGTCCTGCAGCTGGGACAACAGGGACTGGCTGAGCGCCTTTAGGTTTGGATAAAGGAAAGCAATATTGACGGAGAGCGTCAGGCCCGTCAGTGTCGCCAGATGATTGCGCATCTGGACCGCGGTCAAGGAGTCAATTCCAATGTCTTGCAAAGGACGGTCAACATCCACATCAAGCGGGTGCGTATAACCCAATGCCTTGGCAACGACTTCTCGGATCATGTTCAGCACAATACCGGCGTGCTGCCCAGGGTCAGCTTCGCTCAACACCTTGCCCAGATCCCAGCCTCGGGAGGCAAGGGTGCTGTCCTGAGTTAGAAGCGAATGAAGCAATGGCGGTATACCGCCCTGTTCCTCAAAGAAGCCCTGAAGCCGTCCCAAATCGAGCGCGGCTGCCACGGTCAGCGCACGAGTGCTGACCACAGCTTGTTTAAATAGCGCCAGCCCCTCATCGGGTGTGAGAGGGTCAAGGCCAAAGTGAGTGAGGTGAGCTCGGGTGGTTTCGCTAAGTCTGGACGCCATGCCGTCGCCTGCCCAGGTGCCGTATGCCACTGAGGTGGCCGGCAAGTGCTGGGCGCGACGCAGGTATGCCAGCGCATCAAGAAAGGCGTTGGCTGCAGCATAATTCGCAAGACCCGGCATGCCCATAACGCCAGAGATGGAAGAGAACATCAGAAAGAGGTCCAGATCCATATTGTGAGTTGATTGGTGCAGGAGCCAAGCGCCGTACACCTTGGGCGCAAGCGTCGTTGCGCACCGCTCCGGCGTCATGGCTGAGAGGACACCGGAGTCAACCACACCGGCCGCGTGGACTACGCCTCGCAGCGGCCGGTCTTTGCTGAACATTGCCATGATTGAATTGACGCTGTCTGGATCGGCTATGTTGCTGGCAGTCACCGTAACTCTGACGCCGATTCTAGAGAGTTCGAGTACCAATGCATCCGCGCCGGAAGCTTCCATGCCATGGCGTGAGGTCAGTACCAGGTCGCGGATGTCATGGTCACTCGCCAGCCATCGTGCTACGCGCGCTCCAAGATGGCCGAGGCCGCCTGTTATCAGCACTGCACCGTCCGGTCGGATAAGTCGTTGCTCGGCTAGTGGCTTCGGTACCCAATTAACGCGCTGCATCCGTGGGACAAGCACTCGGCCCTGGCGCACAGCGCATTCCGGCTCGGTGTTTAGCGTCAACGCTGATGCGATACAGGTGCCTGTTTCCTCAGCCAGGTCGACCAGGCGCAAGTGCAATTCCGGATGCTCGTTCCTGGCAGTCCGCATAAGACCCCATAACGGAGCCGTTCCAAGTCTCATGGCCTGGTCGTCGGACTCGGTACCAGTACCGACCGCCTGGTGAGTGACCCATACAAGCGGCGGCATAAAATGAGTCTGGGCTGCTGTCTGCAGCTGTGTCAGCGCCTCTGCAATGACATCTCGCGTCTGAGATATAACGTCGGTATCCGAGTCCCACAGGCACATCAGACCATCCAGCTTCCCAGCATGCTTGAGATGCTCGACTTCGACCAGTCGTATACCAGCTCGCGACAGACTGGCTGTCACACGCCCTGCCCACGTCACATTGTCAGCTCGAAGCAAAAGACCCCAGGTCCCGCTTGAATGGACATTGTGCGTCTTCACTGGATGCCACACTATCCCGAACTGGAAGCGCCCTTGACGGCCTTTGCGAGCACGGCTGGTGGTATTGCTGATATCATTAGCAGCAGCACCTGGCTGCGTGTCGAGACGGACATGGTATTCCCGCTGGAAGGCGTATGTTGGTATTTCTACGCGCTGACAGCCAAAAGGCTTAAAATAGACTGGCCAGTCGATAGGCACGTGCCGCATATGTAGAGTGGCAACACTTTGTTGAAGGATCAAGGCGCTTTCTTTGCGACCGTTGAGAGATGGCAACCAGGCAATGGACTTGCTTTTGTCATCGTCTGCAAGACACGCTACACCCATGCCACAAAGCACTTGCTGCGGTCCTAGCTCAAGGAAGACATTGACACCGTGACGGGCCAAAGTCTGGATGCCGTCACTAAAGCGAACTGGCTCACGCGCCTGCTTCACCCAATAGTCCGCTTGTTCGAGCTGACCGGCCTCAACCAGCCTGCCGTCTAGACTGCTGATGATGCTTAGCTGGGGAGGATTAAACCGTACAGTCTCGGCTAGGGCTCGGAAGTCTGGTAGCATACCGTCCATATGCCGGGAATGGAAGGCATGTCCAACGACCAGCGTCTTGGTCTTGCGGCCTTGGCCAGCAAAATGGCGCGTTATGCTTTCAACGGCATCTGTGTCGCCAGATATCACTGTCTGCATTGGTGCGTTATAGAGAGCGATATCAACCTGATCACCGTGGCCCAATTGCTCAATTGCTATTGCTACCTCGGCAGCGCTGGCGCCGAGCGATACCATCCTGCCATTACCGGATTGAGCCTGCATTAATCGTCCACGCGCCGCAACTAATCGACAGGCATCAGGCAGATCCAAGATGCCCGCTACATGAGCAGCCACAAGCTCGCCTAAGCTATGGCCGAGGACAAACTCCGGCACTACGCCCCAGCTCTGCCACAGCCGCCATAACGCGACCTCCAAAGCAAATAGAGCAGGCTGGGCAAAGTCAGTACGGTTTAACCATGTGGCGGCTGTGCTGCCCGGTTCCGCCCACATGACATCGAGCAGCGGCAATTCCAATTCCGTGAACTCGGCCGCGATCTCGCTTATCGTTTCGCGAAAGATGGGGTAGACCTCGCACAGGTCCTTGCCCATGCCTGGCCACTGGCTGCCTTGGCCGGTGAAGAGGATGGCTAGCCTTGGCGCCTCCGCAGCGTCGCTAGCAGGCAATGCGAAAGAGTCCGGATGGATGATCGAGTCCAGCTTCTCCAGCAGCTCAGCCTTGCCTTCGGCCAACAATACTATCCGCCTTCGAAAATGACTGCGAGTGGTCGCCAGGGAGTAGGCTACATCACCAAGGCCATCCTGGTCAATGGTGCTGCTGATGTGTCTATGAAATTTCTCGGCCTGCATGCGCAGGGCTGCGTCGGTGTCGCCCGAGAGGAGGAACGGCATAATAGAAGGCAGTCGAACTACCGTCCTCGCACTATCAGCAACCATCATCCGCCTCGGTGGTTCTTCGACAATGATATGAGCATTTGTGCCACCGATGCCGAATGCACTAACACCAGCCCGGCGCACCCGGCTCCCTTGTGATAGCCACGGGCGCTTTTTCAGCACCGGGGTCATCTTGGCACGCTGCCAGTCCACCGCCAGGGTAGGCTTGGCGACGTGCAAAGTCTGCGGTAGGGTGCTATGCTGGATGGCCAACGTCACTTTCAGCAGACCTACCAGACCAGCAGCGGCTTGAGTGTGGCCGATATTAGACTTGGCCGAACCGATCAATAGAGGTTCTACATTGGTGCGGCTGGGGCTAAACACCTCCATCAACGCTGTAGCTTCGATTGGATCGCCCAGTTTAGTACCGGTGCCATGAGCCTCAACATAGTCGATGTCATCAGGCTGCAGTCTAGCCGCAGTTAAGGCCGTACGAATGAGTCGTTGCTGGGCAGATCCGCTGGGCGTTGCCAAGCTGGCACTGCGGCCGTTGTGGTTGACGGCGGTGCCACGTATCACGGCGTGGATCGGATCACCATCGCGTTGAGCATCGGATAAGCGCTTCAGGATGACGACGACAGAGCCCTCGGACCACCCTGTGCCTTGGGTGTCGGCAGCAAACGACCGACAACGGCCATCCGGCGACATGCCCTGTAGCCGGCTGAATTCCACATGCAGGGCGGGATTGAGTATCAGGCTTACGCCACCAGACACGGCCATGTCGCATTCACCCTGACGCAGCGCAGTACAGGCCAAGTGAGTCGTGGCCAGCGAGGAGGAGCACGCAGTGTCTATCGTCATTGCTGGGCCCTCTAGGCCCAGTTGGTAGGAGATGCGGCCGGACAGAGTGCCTCCAGCCGAGCCTGTCACCGTGTACCCGTCAAGATCTGCCAAGTCATTAATGGCGGTTAGGTTGAAACGCTGATGGGCTGAAATATTGCTGATGCCGATGAAGACGCCAGTCTGGCTACCGCGTAACTGTTCTATAGTATAACCCACACGCTCAAATCCTTCCCAACAGGTCTCCAGCATCATGTAATGTGAAGGGTCCAGTGTGCGTGCCTCTCGTGGTGAGATGCCGAAGAATGATATATCAAACGAGTTGATTGAAGGAATGAATCCACCACGGCGGCAATACGATTTGCCGTGAGCGTCTGAGCTCACATCGTATAAGGCATCAGCATCCCAACGGTCCTCAGGCACGTCGGTAATGGCGTCACCACCGCGCTCAAGTAGCTTCCAAAAGTCCTCTGGGGTGGTAATGCCACCGGGTAGCCGACATGCCATGGAGACAATCGCGATTTCTTCGGTATCATACACATGACGTTGCTTGGTATCAAGTTTCAGGCCAGCCATATCAGACGAGCTTGTCAGATGCGCCGCCAATGTCTTGATGGTATAGTGTTCAAACAGTGTGGGTGACGAAACCGTCCGGCCTAGCAGTCTCTCGAGCTCTTTTTGGACGCGGACGACACGTGCAGAGTCCCCTCCAACCTCAAAGAAATTGTCATTGACGCCGACGCGGTCGTGGCCAAGGACTCTCGACCAAATCGTGAGTATCTGATTCTCCAACTCAGTGACGGGCTTCATGTCGGACGTCGTCTGCATTGCCGCTACTGGATCCGGGAGGGCGTTGCGGTCAATTTTGCCATTCATCGTCACCGGGAAAGCTTTCATTTCAACGAAGAATGCTGGCACCATGTAAGATGGCAGCCGCTCAGCCAGCCAAGGGCGTATCACACGGTCAAGCGCTGCCTTGGCTTCAACTCCACTCCTGAGCGGCCTCACCTTTTGCACGCAATAGGCTATCAGTCGGTCATCGCGACAGACTACAACTGCGCCGGAGATGTTCTGACACTCAGTAATAGCCGCTTCGATGTCGCCCAGCTCAATTCTGTGGCCTCGGATCTTAACCTGCCCATCCATACGGCCCATGACGCTCAATTTTCCGGGCGCCAGAAAGCGAGCGAGATCACCAGTTCGGTACATCCGGCCATCGTGAAAGGGGTTGTCAAGAAATCGAGAGCGGGTAAGTTCGCTGTTGTTGCGATAACCGCGTGCCACGCCAGCTCCTCCAATATATAGCTCACCAGTACAACCGGGCGGTACTGGCGACAGGTTCGGATCGAGCACGTAAAGGCGGCCGTTGATGATGGGACTTCCGATAATCACATCATGGCCTTGGCATACCCTCCAAATGCTCGCATACACAGTCGCCTCAGTTGGACCATACATATTCCACATCATGTCGCTACACGCCAGCAAGCGATCTGCTAGTGGTCGAGGCAGCGCTTCGCCGCCGCATAAGAGCTTCATCAGCCGAGGCTGGCCTCGCCAGCCTGAATCCAGTAGCATTTGCCAGATTGCGGGTGTCCCCTGCATTATGGTGATTTCATGGCGCTCCATAAGTCTGATCAGGGCAGCGGTGTCTTTTACTTCGTGTCTTTGTGCGATGAGCTCGACAACGGCCATATCGAAAGATACCGTGGTGAGAGCAAGCAGCCGATCCGTTTCGCTACACCCTGGTTCCTTCTGCATCGACAATAGTAGATTTGAGATATTCCCGTGGCTGACCTCGACGCCCTTGGGCCGACCAGTCGAGCCGGAGGTGTACATGACATAGGCAAGATCATCGCTCCCTACTACCACACCGAGGTTGCTGCCACCACAGTCTGGATTTATCATGCGCAGCACCTCGTAGACGCTCAGGTACACGCTTCCCCTGGAAGTGAAGGCCTCGAGTGTGTTATCACCGGTAATGAGGAGCTTCGGACAGGCATCTTCCATCATTTGTTTGATGCGTTCTGCGGGAAAGGCCGGGTCAATAGGCACGTACGTGGCGCCGGTCTTCAAGACCGCTAGCAACACCGCGACGAGGTTGACGGAGCGATCCAGGGCCACACCGACGAGGTCGCCATTCCTGATACCTTGCTGAATAAGGACTCTGGCAAAACGATTCGCAGCCGCATTGAGTTCTCCAAAGGTGAGTGTCCTGTTGGCACAAATTAGGGCGATCTTGCCGCTGTACTTCTCCGCGGCGTGCTCGAAAAGTTGGTGTAAACACAGTTGCAGTGTTGTGGAATCATCAGTGTTGTTGAACTCCTTGGCCGTTGTCTGGTAGTCTTCTGCTGAGACACAAGCCATCTTTTCTGGTAATGGTTTCTTGGTGCAGGGTAGATTACAAGTACCACACTATAGGCAGAATGTGGTTTTTTGTGAAGTATATTTTGGCAGAAAGGTAAGAAGGTAAGGGAGGCACAGGTGTTACAGTTGTGCAATCCAAAGTGCACAATTGATATATATTTTCATGCTAATTCTTACCAGACTTCCTTCAACAAGTGGATAACCTTTAACAATTAGAAATCTTTCCACAACGGGAAGGCCTTCCACAAGTGTGCATCCCTCAGAATTACAAGCGAGAATCCTTCCACAAGTGCAAATCCTCCAACAAGTGTGAATCCTGTTAAAAACACAAGCCAGTATTTTACTAAGATCTCCGTCCCGTCTGACACTAGAGAAGAGATTAGAAGACATATCCCACCGGTCGCTTCGAGTAGACCAGCTACCAATCTTTCTAAAGCTTGACGGACAGCTTGGTCTACTGCAATTCAAAACTGCTACGCACTATGGCCGTTGTTGCAGTTGCTGGTGGCCTTGGTGACCTGGGTCGCCTCATCACGGATGCCCTGTTCGAGACTGGCAAGTATGAGGTATACATCATGTCGAGAAAGGTAGTAAATACGTTCCGTGAGCTATTCCACGTCATTGACCGCGGAGTTACAGGTTGTGCAAGATCAACCCGGCCACATATCGCCATTGACTGGCAAAAGCTACCTCCCTAGCATTCAGACCGACTACTCCTCCCAGGATTCTCTGGTTGAGAAACTCACAGAAAAACATGTCAAGGTTGTTATCTGTGCCTTCATCATGGATTGTGAATCCGCGTCCGAGGCTCAGCTACGCCTGATCCGCGCTGCCAACCAGTGCCCCAGCGTTCAGCGCTTCATTCCCTCGGAATTTAATGTTGAGTACGATGTCGGCGACGACATCCTCCCCTATCCGGAAAAGAGGTTCCATCTTGCCGCCCGGCGAGAGCTGGAGAAGACAAGCACGCTCGAGTACGCATACATCTACCCGGGCATGTTCATGGACTATTTTGGCCAGCCGCCGGTGATGGGCAAGCTCCGTCCGCTGTGCTTCTTCGTCGACCCGGCCAACGGACAGGCGGTGCTGCCGGGGGACGGAGAAGCGAAGATGAGCATGACCTTCACCACAGATGCTGCGCGGTACGTTGCGCTGGCGCTCGAGCTGGACCGGTGGCCGGCGATCCTGACGACAGCGGCAAGCACCGTCTCGTTGAATGAGCTCGTCAGGCTCGTGGAGGTGAACCTGGGTCGGAAGCTCGAGGTGCGCTATCAACCGGTCGACAAATTGCTCAGGCATGAGACACTCGACCTCCCGACGAATGTGGACATTGCCAAGCGGTTTCCTCAGCGGTTTCCTCATGGATTGCCTCAGCTGCGAGCGCTAGTCGCCGATCTCGAAGCCGGTGTTGCCCTCGGCGCATTTGATTTTGGGAAGTTGGATGGGCATCTCGACCTCGTCAAGGCGTTTGAGGGAAAGGTCGCCAAGCCAAAGCGCATCGAGGACGTGATAGAGGAGGCTTGGAAGACAGATTTCAGCCAGTGAGTTAGGGGTAATATGCTGATCTGACGCGCTGCACAGTTTAAGTGAGTGATGCAAGGGCGTGTTTAACGAGGGAAGCATATCTGCTGCTGCTGCCATACTGCCCTTGCTGTTACATTGCGCCGCTGACGCACGCGTGCGTGTACAGAATCGCCTACAGCTTAGGCTTCTTACAAGTACCCCATTGCACGCTCGACAATTGCTTAGGCCGTTGCCCTGTGAGAAAATTAGGTTGGAAACGATGTGCCAGTATTGACTTTTACCAGCACCACCTATTCTCATCTAATGAAATGAAAGCCTATCACCAAAAACGTCTCTGTCGCTTATGAATCCCTGTATATTATACCCCGTTAGTTTTAGCTAGGCCGCGGACTTAATTGATCCAACCATAGTTGACTATCAGGGTTGGTTGCTTTTTTTTCTTGAAGCTGCCCAACTAGTCCAAACAAGGTGAAGATATACATGCCACGGCCCGACCGGGTACATACTGCCCCTCTTATAGCCATCCAGTATTCTGTACCCCATACTTAGTCACACACCCACATTGTGACTAAGTTATAACGTGAGCAGACCCTTATGTGTGCAGCGCATCTTTATCCGCAACCGGAATAGAGCTGATGCTGTATCTCCGTCCCGCCCCTCCTAAAATCTCTACGTAGTACGTAGTACAGTAAGCCCTAAGTTTTAGCTTGGAATCATTTGCCAAGTATTTACCGAAACCAATTTAGAGACGAGTCAAATGCCTGAAACCAAGCGATTTTGGATTGGAAAATGCCTTATTTTGAGCTACTTGGATCAATGCTACATCTCACAGAACGCCAGCAACGTGTGAATAACAGAAATATGCTCAGAGACTCACGACGCCAAGCATTCCCCGTTGCGGATAGGGATCCGTTGTACTATGGTACATGGGGCCCGCTTGCGTTAGGGCTCTAACGAGTAGATCAGGATGCTGATCATACCAGAAATGTAAGCCTGTTAACGCCGAGCTAATTCTGCATGAGAGATCCATCACCTTGGTGCGCGGCACCGACGCTAGCAGTCACTGTCCTGGCGATGGGGAAACCATATTACCTGCACCCATTGTCCGTAGGATTCGTCTAACAGATGGGTTCGGAACCCATTGGCGCTGTCCATTCGGCGGAATGGTAGTTGGAATCCTTCTCTCCCACCAGCCATACCTACCTGGGCAGGTAACTGTTGCATCTGAAAATTTCTCGCTTATAGGCCCCCCCCCCTCGAGCACAAGAGACACACCGTCCTGTTTCCTGAAGCGAGATGTCGAGTGTGCTTGACTTTCCAGTCGGTAAAAACTTCTGAGGTTGGGTCAGTCTTTTTTGGGGAAATTCTCATGTCTCTCAATAATGATATCAATTTCTTTTTAATGGCACCAACGGTTGGAGCTCACATAATCAGCACATATCTCCTTTCGGCGTTATCAAACAATTCGTGACATGAACTCGCTTTACCATCCTAAAGGTAATATGTCCCCAACTCCAACCAAGCTACAGCAAGTCAAGGCTTTCGACGGCCGTGACGCCGTCCTCAGAGCCCTCCGTGAGGACGGGGCTGTCATCATCAAGGGCCTATTCACCAATGACCAAGTTCGTCGTCTAAATGAAGATGTGCAGCCCGCTATCGACAAGCTCGGGGTGGGCTCTAAGCGCTCAGACGAATGGCTCCAGGACTTTCACGGTGACAACACCAAGCGATTAAACAACGTGGTCACGCTGAGCAAGACTTTTCGTCACGAGATGCTGGAGAACGACTTGATCCACCAACTGTGCGAGGCCATCTATCTGAAAGACGCCGGTGGATACTGGATGAACTCAGCCCAAGTCATCGACATCGGCCCGGCCAGCAAGGCCCAGCCCTTACACCGCGACCAATGGCAGTTCCCCATCTTCACGCACTGCGGGCCCGACGCGCCCGAGGCGAGCATCAACTTCGTCGTAGCGCTGACCGAGTTCCGCGACGAGAACGGCGCCACCCGCGTGATCCCCGGCAGCCACCGGTGGAGTGATCTGCGAGACAACGGAACCCCCGAAGACACCATCCCCGCCGAGATGGAGGCCGGCGACGCCTGCTTCATCACCGGGAAGGTGGTGCACGGCGGTGGTGCCAACCGCACCACCGACGTCACGAGGAGGGGCATCACCCTCGTTTTTCAGTGCTCATACCTCACGCCAGAAGAGGCATACCCGTTTCTGGTCGACAGCGAGCTGGCCAGAACACTCACCCCCCGCGCTCAGCGCATGATTGGTTTCCGATCCCAGTTCCTCAAGGACAGCCCGGGAGTGTGGAAGCGTGATTACAGCCAAGTGGATGAAGTTTATTGTTAGAAGAGACCTTATAAGTCTCACGATCTTGCTGCCTTTGATCTTTTCTTTCCGTTCGCCAGTGTGTCGACATGGGCAAGTCAAAATAGAGTGGCTGGTCCGCGGTGAGAGCTTCTGCCCCGGCAGGAAGGCCAGCTTACACCCGCTCATCCATCAGCTCACAGCAGCTCATGAGGAACAGGCATGGCTCTGGCCGCTCACAGCTCCAACATGTACTAGTATAGTTTAACCTCCCTAGCCAAAGGAGTCTTGACTCCCCTAAAAATTCCTGTTCGAATTTTCCTGTGTTCTGACTACTCTTCTCCATCACTTTTGACAGTTTAATGTTTATTTCCTGGAAAATTACATAAAGACCATCAGTTTCCTAAGAAAATTCAACAACGATAATATTGATTAGAATACTAAAAAGGTAGAAGTTTTAAAAGGTGATAAAAGAGATGCACTTATGAAACTCAGAGAAAAATATCGGAAATTTATTCATATAAGTAGGAGAAAAAGGTTTTGGATGTGTAATTCTACTTGATAGTCCGACTCAGTAGAGCCGCTATGAAAAGCCTGTTAGCTACTCCTCGTTCAAAGCTTCCAACAAGGCCCCTGGCCCACGATGCTCATCCCATCCAGCATCTTCTCCAGCACCAGCTGATGGAACTCATCCACCTCGGCGTGCGTGTAGTAGGCTGGGTTATAGCATGAATTCAAAGACAGCCGCCCCTGCCACGCCCACATGAAACACTCCAGCCACGGCCCCGTCACGGTATCGCCAAACCACACTTCCTCAACCCGCCAACCGCCCTGTCCCCCAGCATCGGCATACCAGGAACCGATAAAGTGATCCACAACCCCCAAACTCGACAACGCCGGCGTCGTCTCCTCGAGCGGCGTCCGAGTGAACCCGGGCAACAGCATGCGGATCATGGGCTCCATCGCACTCCATACCTCGGCATCCGCCTTGGGCAGGTCCTGTTGGTAGAAGGAGGCGAGCTCTCGCGCGACTTGCGAGAAGGTCTTGCCATCCGGCGTGACAACATACGGGAGCACGCAGTGGTGGTTGCTCAGGGCGTAGGCGTCGGGTAGGGTTGTTGCGTCTGGGGCAGGGAAGTAGCGGCGGAGATCGAAGTTGCCAAAGCAGGCAAACTGCGTACCTCCTCCTGCGCCCGGCACCGAGTTACGCTTCGCTTGGATGGACCGGGTGGCGAGGACCACGGCTGCGTGCCAGACGGCTGTGACGCTCAGGCGCTGAGCTTTGCACGCGGCGGTAATAGATTCTGTGGTGCGAGTGCTGAGTCGAAGCTCGAGCGCGGCGTTCCGTGGAGAGCAGGGAGGTAGAGGATGGGGCACGGGCAAGCAGATCGGCGCGTTCATGGTGCCGAGCGGTGCGAGGATTTCCAAAGCGCGCTGCTCGCCGCGCCCGGGTTTCTTTTCTGCCATGTCGAGGAGGTCGTCGGATCGGGGAGGGAGACGTGATACTTCGGATCCTTCTGTCTTCATTATATCTTCCTTGGCCGGCGATGCAAGAGCCCTGAAGAACCGATCCCAGAAATTCATGAGCCCCCTCCCGTCGAGGATGTGGTGCTCCCCTTGCAGGAACAGCTGGCGCTCCTCGGGAAAAAAGTACATCGTCATTTGCCTTGTCTTGATCATGGTTCTCCAGTGCTCGGCGGATGTCTTTCCTGGGGTTACGATGAAGGTGGCGGCAAGCCATTCTTCTAGCTCGGCGGAGGACGATGGGGAGGTGTATATTTTCCCCTCGGGATGGGTCTCTGCTGCCAACGTTGGGTATTGCTGGCGCATCTGTAGCCAGGCATTACGGAGCAGAGGGGCTAGGTCGTGAGCAGAGAGTCTACCGGCTGGAGAGGAAGGGTTGTAGCTGAAGGTGATAGATGAGCCTATCAGAAAGAGGCCGGGGGATCCGGGCGGGACGGAGATGGCGTTGTAGAGGACTTCTTGAAAGCCATACGGTTGGGAGTATGTGTTTGGGCCGGTTTGGGCCCATGACGGGTGGCATTTCACTCTCTCTGTGGATATCATTTTTGGGTTGTCGTCAGAACCGTGATGACTTCGGTGAGATGCATACAGTAGTAGCTTGGCCGTAGGTGGGAGATTGTCATTGTTAAATCGACACGGCACATAGATTTCTATATCTAATAGTTGGTTCGTCTAATCTTTCCAGCCATTCACCGGGGCCGATGGGGCCGCTGTATCAGTGGAAGGGGTAACTAGTGTACAGGATTGCTTTCCGTAAGCCGTACTACGTAGTTACCGTCAGCTGGGATTTATCTAGCAGATAGGTTCGAGACCCGTTAGCGCTGTCCTGTTGGCGGAATGGTAGATGAATCCTTCTTTGGTACCATACTATGATAGGAGCAAGCGAGGCCAAAATGGTTCCATCTGAGGCCGAATCCCTGATACTTGTACTAATGTCTTGCTGCTGCCAGGCCGTGACGCTTGTGTTGCGTAGGGCCTGCAGCTTCGTATGTTGGTAATATAGTAACGGGCCAGATGAAGCTTTGGACAGAGACATCGGATACAACCAGACTGATCGAAGACCTTGAAAGAACATGACAGATTAGAGGCACGTGGTACTGGGCACGGGGATGTGAAAGCTGGCGATTAGTGTAGGGAGAGGTGGGCAGAGCGAAATAGCGCGAAACGCAGATATCAAAAATACACACGGAGCTTAGGCGAGACGCGTAATAGATCTGTAACAAAACGTATGGGAAACGCGTAAAATTATCACCGTTTGGTTGTATGGTTTGCCCGCTAGTGTGTACTGCGAATGCTGGTTTCAGGCAACCTTCAAGCATCCTTCAGACTACTTTAAGGCTAATTGTGACGTGGCAGAGGGAAAAACAATGGGTTTGCCTTTTTATTCCAAATATTCTGGGGGCAGCAATTTCCGTTTCCATTCCAAAGGCACTTTCCCCGTCATTTCGTCTAAGCTCCATTGAGTAGGTCATTTCTCGTCATTATCATGAGTGCTTGTTGAGTCACGTAATCCGTACAAATCGAGGAAAGGCTACTACACTACACGTTCCAAAAAAGAACAGGATGGGTATGCATTATTTACCATGTGGATTTACAGCGACTAATAAGCAATATTCTTCTAGAAATTGACTCGGGTCATGTGTACGAACATGAGTTAGGCTGGACACATGGTGGTCACATCCCGCTCGATGTCATCACACCGGACGTCTTCAAAGATATAACGACCGTACCACAAGCTCCGGAGGTCGAGAGGGCGAAGAGAACAATCGGTCAAGTAGCCGAGGTCCAGAACTTATACGAAGGCCCGAGGAAATGCAAATGCTGCGTTAACTGGGTGGAGAAACCACCTACACAAGTACTTACCGGATGAATCAGCGGAGAAATACAGCCGAGCCGCCATTGCTATATACCGATCCAAAGACCACCAAGCTAACGAGAAGACGGTAGGCGGCCTGCCAGCCCTTACCATTGACTCCATCAAAATCCAGAGCCCTTACCTTATTGCGGCGATCGCACCGTTGATGGAAGACATCGGAATGCCGATAGCGAACAAAGAAGTCCTAGGGTATAGAGCACCTTTCAAGGAGTTGTACTTCATGCACCCAAAGATCTTGGACCTCGCCAGACAAGTAGAGAATGACAGCGATGAGGGACAACACTTAAATGTGCTAATCAACGTTTTGAATGAGGTTTTCGGGGAAATAGGCCCTGAGATTGCGCAGCTTCATGCCGACAAAACGATTACATGCGTTCTACCTTTGAACTCTTTTCCCAAAAGGCATATTGGTATACGCCCGAATTAATGATCAAGACAGGATTTTTGAGGTTGTTTCCGTCGTTCACTACTCTGTTTGTCGGCATTGGACAATGAGACTTCGATATGTGCAGTTCAATGGGATAGAATTCGGCTTCACAATAACCAAACTGGAAATTCATGATTTCCCCGGCACGCAAAAGATAACTGATTTACCAGTTTATCCTCTCGGCTTTCATGCTGATACGCATCTGAAAACAAGACTTGCGCAACGAGGAGAACAAGTATTAGCCTTTCAGGACACAAGCAACCATGAATACGACGGCGTTGCAGGCGGCGTGAGGTACGCTGACGACTGGGAGGACGATGAAGATGATGAGAGAACATATCAAAGTCAACAAAAATATCATGTACGTCACTATTTCTTCTCTTACAACTATTTCCTAATGACATACAGGTTAGCGGCAGAATCGTCATTGACGTCTTTGGTTTCCGAAAAATTCAACCCTAGCTCTGCTGCACCAGTGGCACCACTGGAGCAAGACAAAGGCGGGGCTTCTGGACGCAAGGAACCGACAACCCAGCTCTTCTTTGAAGACGCTCATCGAGAGGAACGTCCTTCGGTCGAAAAACAGAAGAGCAATAGGGAAACAGTCCAAGGGAACCCAAAGTATCTGCTCATGCTATCGCCGCTACTTGCTGGGTATGCTTTGAACAACCGGAAATGGCGTCAGTAAACTTCTCTTCAATCGAGGCAATGGATAACGGCCGTGTAGTTCTGTTCTCCATTGATGATGTGCGGCCACTCCATTGGAACGATGAAGCCATCGATCACCTTGTTCTTCACGACGAATATAAGGATATCTTGTTGACTCTTGTCAACAACCACAAAATAATCAAATCACAAAACCATGATGTGATTCCAGGTAAAGGTGAGGATGCTCTTGGCCAGAAAGCTACGATAGCATTCTGTTGACGTTAATTGTTTTGCTCTGTCGAGCCAGGTGAAGGAGTTGTTGTCCTCTTGAGCGGACCACCAGAGACAGGGAAAACACTGACAGCGGAAGCTGGTGTGTCGCTTTTGGTCCCAGAAATGTCAATAGCCACTGAAAAAAAACCCTAGTTGCGGAGAGTGTTCGACGACCGTTGTATCATTTGCAAGCTGAGGATCTCGGATCGACAACTCATTCCGTTCGGTATGAACTTGATAATGTCTTGGATCTCGCAACCGAGTGGAACGCCATTGTGCTTCTAAATGGTTTGCGGTTGCAATTCTCTCTCACTGATATTCGTTGACGTTTGTCTCAGAGTGTGATGCTTTATTCGCTAGCCGATCCAATGCTAGCACCTCTCGCAATGGTGTGACTTCCGGTAAGTGCACTCCACTCCGTCTGCCCGAAACTTATGGTATTGTCAGTTGTACTTGATAGATTAGAGTACTACTGCGGTACTATTTTTCTTACAACAAACCTTTTGGAACATATCAACGATGCTTTTCGATCCCGTGCTCAGATCCACCTCTGCTACCCTGAACTCTCAGTCGCAAACCGCAGACAGCTGTGGGAGCGCTTCATAGTTCGTCTACGAAAGGCGCCCATTCGGTTCCCAAGCAATGACTTCGCGTCGTCTGAATCAGAAGCGTTCGGCGGAGCGATCGAAATCGAGCTCTTGATCGAAGATTATAGCGAGCTCTCGGAGTAGAATTTAAACGGGTGCCAGATCAAGAATGCAATCAAGAACGCACACGCTTGGTGCTTACTGAAACAACAGAGCTTGACACGAACTCGCCTGGAAACCTTTATCAAACTCGCCGTGCCATTTGCAGAAAAGGGACAAGCCGCAAGTCCGAACAGCCCTAGGGTTCAGCATCTCAGAGGGGGAAAGATGCCGCGCTTTAGGATATAATTAGTTGTGGTCCGAGGAACGATGTGACATTTGCAATCCATGTCTGTGCAGGAAGCCGGTTTGGCTTCAGCATTATGAAGGACAGGCAGTATCAGAACTCGCTTGACATAATATTCTGGAGGCTGTCCCCGAGACAAAAGCCAGTGGTAACCGTCCCACACACTGTTAGTAGCTCTCCGAGTCTCCCTTCCTTACACTCCACAGCGCCTTGCGTCAACACGGCGTTCTGCGTGAATGCATTTTATCAAGTGCAACATAGGTAGAACGCATTGATTATTTGGAACTTAAATCTTGTCGTTCTATATGCGCATATAAGTCCCCGACTTCCACAGAGACGAAGACATGAACAATTACCCAGCGAGTAAATAAAAAGATAAACTTCCGTAAAGGAGGGCATAGAATTGGCACGTAGAAACAAATACTCATTTGGCACATCCGATTGGTTGTCCATCGCGTGCTATCGATAAGATGACAACCCAAGCCTGACATGACGTGCAACAACGCTGAAAACGCTGATGAAGATTATCTGTTATCTAATAACATGTATCCGCCAGCACTGCTTTCCTCAGATGTACTCTAGTATGAATCATTGTCGCCTGATGGTGACGGATCAATATACTCAACTCCTCTGCCATCCTTCAGCCAAGCGTCAAAGTCTGTGTCGTCAAAGTCTGTGTCGTCAAAGTCTGTGTCGTCAAAGTCTGTGTCGTCAAAGTCCAAAGTCTGTGTGTGTCGTCAAAGTCTGTGTCGTCAAAGTCTGTGTCGTCAAAGTCTGTGTCGTCAAAGTCTGTGTCGTCAAAGTCTGTGTCGTCCTCGAATTCTTTTGGATCCGCAATCCAGATCGCCAGCCTCGAAATCTGGCCCTCTATCCCTTGTGAGCCGCATTCAGGCTCACAAGGGATAAAAGACTTTTTCGACGCCCCAAAAGCTATCAGCAGGATATGGCATAAATTGTGTATTCTGGTGGGCATCCGCGTTTAGATCCCATTCGTCCGGTTCTCCCAGCAGCGATGAACAACAGTCCTTAGAGTGAGGCTTGTACTCACATCTACCACAAGCATAGAACGACGACCACCCTTGGTGAAGGTAGGTTAGATCCGACCATTGAGCCCTTTTGGTCATGGTATTGACGTTGAAGATCTTCAGGTATTCTTTGCTACTTGAGAACATGCGCCGGAAGGGCGAGGACGCCAGTGAGACATTTAATTTGACCGCGCCAGTTCGATCCACAAAATCTAGGAGCATGAAAGCGCTATGACAGTAGTTACAGTCCCTAGTTCTCTGCTCGAGATCGTTGCCTAGCGAAAGTCTCAGAAGCATGGGATGGTCCTGCTTTGACGTCGCCTTGAACTTGATCCATAGAGTGAAGAAACGTGCTCCACGGTAGGGTATGGACGGATCTCCGAATAAGCTAGTCGCTAGCTTCGCGACTTTCAGTCCATCGACATCTGGCATTTGCTGCCAGTTTTTCACCCAGTCTAAGCGATCTTGAGGACTGTGTGCGAGGAGCTCACGGCAGATATGTGAATGCTTCAGTTGACCAGTCAAATGCTGAAGCTTGGCATTAGAGGCGGCGTGTAGATGTGGCCACTCAACCCAGAAAAGGGGAGCACGGGAGGTATCCGAGGAGGCAGGGGTTTCAGGCCAAAGTGCTGTCGAACGAGGGTCCTCAAGGAGGTTATGCAGGACGACGCCCAGGTTGTGAGAGTGTCTTAATATCTCCTGCGCTCTTTGTGTATTCGAGAAGCTGCCACTATACACAACGGCTTGATCTGCTCTTTGATGGACTTGGCAAGCAGTCCCGGCCGGCAAGCTCAGTGGCTGAGATATATTCTCTGCGTGTACTCTGAGGCTTGTGATGAGCGAGACCCCTGTGTAATGATGCAAGAACTCTGATGCAAGGGTGTCGTTGATACCGTCGCAAAATGATTCAGGACTCACGATATTTTGCGGTGTATGGTATGTCACGCCAAAAGGTGTTGCTGCCAGAAATAGTCAGCAAATGATGGCGCTTAGTTTTGGCTAAACATACGAACAGAAGGGGATGGGTAATCCGTCCTATCCGCCTGTCTCTTAATGAATCGCTCAAGTCTCTCATTTTCTATCTCATTGTCGTGGAAGTAGAACACTGTGTCCTTGGGCACGACTATTACGTTTCGCGACGAGGGTTTTCATGTCCGAGGCGCTTAGGTTCTTTTCGAGGCCCCATTCCCGGACCTTGTCCTTCCACAATCGCACGCTGTAAAGGAGACAATAATCAGCAAATGTTAGACACCAATCCCGATGGCAGCACGTTATGCAGCGATGGTGCCTGGACCCACCTCGCCTTGAAGCCACATCTTTCCTCGATAACCTTTGTTGCTTCTCCCAGCGACTTGCCTTGAGTACAGTCAGCTCGATGAAGAGGGCTTTTCGGTCCTCCCAATCTCTTGGGAGATGGCGTTTCGACTTTTCTTGGTGCTCTGCTGGAGTTCAGGCGTGATACTGGGGTTCCTTGTGGGTGGAAAAGGTTGTGCCTGAGTGGTAGGCCTACTCAGCAGAGGTCTGAATTGGCACGACATCGTGCGGCTGTGACTAATGAGCAGCGGAATGAGCGAAGAATAGCCGGACTAGGACGTATGCTCCAGAAAGCATGCCGCAATGTTTCAGAAGAGTCCCTGCTTACCCAGTGCCAAGGTGTGGACAGCTCTGATTCAAGTTGCCAATTGGCCGACCATCCTCTCGGGCACACCTCCCATCTCCTCAATTGGCTACATTTATGTCGCCACTTCTTATGTGCGAAACACCACCTTGAAGGCAAACGCGGTAGGCGCATCCATCGTCAATATAACGGTAGCTGGCATGCTGCATGCGTCTTTCGTGGAACCATGGGAAAGCTTGTTCTGACCAATGAGCAAAAGTGCAAGTGAAGCTAGCGCAATCATTGATAACACCTACTGACAAACCTCAGATACCTTTCCTACATCCGATCATTACGCAGAACCCTAGGCCCAAGCCCAGCCTCAAGTGACGTACGCACAGTCCAATAAACAGGAAGTGCACACCGCACATTTGTTGTTCAACAGATCCTACGATGTCCCCCCGGTGGCCATTAACCGAGCGTGCTTCTTCCAATGCTGGGAAGGCATAGCATCAGTGGTGGCGGAAGCTGTCAGTTGAGACTTAGAAGCCTAGGGGTCTAGTCTCTCCGGCCTGGAGCCGCTGTTTCGAGTGGGTGATCTATGGCCATCCGGACGATACATATGACCCAGCTTAGTCATATCATACTTCATGAAGCTGCCGACAGTGGTGGTAACACGACTAGGAGTGGTAGTTACATTGAATCTGGCCGGACAAGCTATTAAAAGTGTGCTCACGCATGCTGAGGGAACAGGGTTTTGCTGATCTTTCTCGATACGGTGCCGGTGGTTTCCTCCTCAGTACGAGAGCAAACCTCCGTGGTGGTCTCAGGAAGACATAAATAGATGCCTTCTTCCCGTACTGACCTCTTCTACGGGGCTCCACCATACCGCCCACCATTCAAGTAACACATCCATCATTTCAGACAGCTGCAGCGGTCCTCGGTTTCCTCAAACCACAATGCCTAGCCAGTCTCCACAGAACCCTTCCTGTACGCCCGAGGGTTCCTCTTCTCCATTATCAAGCTAATTCATGCCGCAGATGTCAAAGCCAACGCACCGCAGCCTAAGACAGGTGATACGGGGGTAAAGGCGGCATCTTCTGGGTAAGTTTTCTCTGCCTTGTGTTTATGCACTTATGGAAGAAATCTGCGAAACTGACACATACAGACCACAACAAGGCCTGCATGGTAGCCTCAGTTCTTTTGAGACCTTGCAGGGGCTTTCGTCAATGCAGGATGAACGTACTGCCGGTAGCCAATCCATGCAGAGATGGATTGAAGAAACTGCACAGGAACAAGCATGGAACAGTGTTATCTATCACGCCAAACGTGATACATGAGGGATAACATTGCAGAGGTTGCTCCTTGGGGATCACGGCAGACATGGTCGTTGTGAACCTAAACAGCTCAATATCAAGGAACTCATTGTTGACGGTTTGGCTTGCAATGTGCTACGAAGTGTCTCGAATCAGAAATTTCCCGTGTGCCCCAAGTATGCTCGATCCGTACGGAGTAGATATCTCCCAGCCATAGCATTTTGATTCAAAATAGAGCGATGAAACAGAAGCAGCTGATTTGTGAGTCTAAAGTTTTGTGATATCCAGAGTGGCTAGCAGCCAGCAGAGGTGGACAGAACTGAGCTGGTGGGAAAAAAGTAAGGTTACAAAATATCTAGCCATGAAGGACCAATGACGGCAAAGGTGAATGGGAGGATCAGATTGATTAGAGTGGTTAGAGTACTAAAATGCTACAGCGTTGAGTTCAAAAGCACTGATAATGATTCAGGTGCGGAATACCAAATGAATCCATTACTACGCAACGGTACAGAGGCGTGCATTAAAAGTAATTGACCAGTGCTATTTTGGAGTCAGAGACTAGCTGTTCTAGCGCTCCTACCAAAATGTATGTAACAGGGATCTCTCCTCCCACGATTCTTTGCAGTCAGGGTTAATGAATGTTTCATTTTCGCTGTTTTCGTCAATTCTATGTTCATTATCACTATTATCGTAAGTCGAAACTTGATGTTAAGCTTCTCCTTTGATGAGTTGTAGCGTAGAGAGCTTGTTCTTGATTGAACAGATTACTAGAAATGTTCATGTTTTGTTCCATAATAGTTTTCCACCTGATTTGCTCAGTCATGATTGTACGGAGTCAGAATTTCCAGACTCTATGGGCTTAAGGGTCCGGATGGCTTGCTGAATAAAGAAAGGATCTGGAAACTCAACATACCATAGATTTGAGAGACCAGATGTTTTACAGTTGCAAGTAATACTATGTATGTTCAAGCAGATATGTGTTACAGTAGGAGGCATAAGTGTCGTTAGCATGAGCTAGTGGTAGCTAGTTTTCGATACAAGTGTCCAGCGTCCTCTAGAGGCAGCGTAAGTCTCGACCCCTCACTAATCATGATGATTGGCTCTGTTCTAAGAACCATACAGACTAACGTTGTTTCAGTGGAGCGCAAACTCGTTAGGGCTGTGTTAAATACAAAATCGATAGCTTGAAGTTAACAATACTTATGCATCCTACCGTAGTATTATGTTGCAGCAATCACAAAGTGTTTCCAACTTACATCTCCTTCAAAACGCTTGCGAATTCACACTGCGTTGTCCGAACCCTTTCAACAGCCTTCCTTGAGTCTCAATTACGTCGCCAGAGTGATCGCTGAAGGAACTGGCTGTGTGGACCCCTGGCTTACCTCTCATCCCACAGCAGATTGCGCGCACAACATCCTTCCTCTTTCAAGATTGAACGACCCTTCAATCGGCAATTGAGACCGCCTTCCACAGCTCCAGTCCCGCGACTTTACTCCCACTCCTCCATCTCCCACCCTTCCTCCTCTACGACCCACCCAAGTTTCTTCCCCAAACTCGAAATAGCACGAAAACATCAGCCCACGACCTTCGAGTCCCCCAACCCTCCTAGGACTCAAACCAAAATTACCACAACCCCCGGACACACCCACATCTCCTCGAAACCCCAAACCGGCCAACCAATCAATCAAAATGATATCCGACGCAACGCTCTACTCCCACATATGGGAAATGGCTTAGGTTTCTTTGACATGTTTCGTTGCTCAAGATCGCACGACAGACCGTATCGCTCATTCACGAAACTTGTGCAGAGGCTCTGACTCCACTTTGCACGATGGTGGACCAGACGACTTCGGTACCACCACCACAGTCGAGGAACACGGGTGCGGGTTTCGACAAGGACAAAGGTACGATGAATAATAAGGGTGGTGGCAGTTCGTGACGTTCCTCTCTCCCCTCTCCTGTGCCTGTTTTGGGGGGGAATTTCGGGTTCGGTTTATATAGAGTAGATGGGAAGAAGGATGGGGGGATGGTTATAAAACACCGCGGTTGTGCTTTCAGGTCAGAGGCTGATCTGAGGGCGCTTTTGAGTTAGTAGGCAAAAAGAACGCGGAGAGAAAGGATCGAGTATGGGTTTTGCAGCCGGGGAGGTTTTGAGACTTGGGAGGAGGGGGGATGATGAAGTGGTAGAGTGATATGGTATACGAATGGCAACGCTACGGGTCTCGTGGGGATTCTATGGGGAAGCGCAGTACAAGACGATGTTGCTGCGATGGCGGACGAGTGGCAAGAGATTTTGTTTCAACCCACGCTTAGGAGCATAATGAGTGGGCCCACTGAGAAGCATAATCCAACTCGTTCGAGCACCCATCTTTGTAGCTCCGACCATCGTCTCCTGCAAGTTTGTTCCGCAATCACTCTCCTATTTCCTTGGTAGCTTCCCTCACTTCCTGCTGAGCACAATGCCCACGAAGCCCAACCCTCAGTAATCCGCATCCACCACCCTCATCATTCCCTCTGTATCCATCAACGTCTTCCTCCTCTCTTCATTAACCAACGTGCACCCACCCCGATCCAGGCCAGGACCTACCCTCTCCTTGTGCCTCTGCAACGCCAACAGCGTCTCAATCGCGCTCAGTCGAGGCTCCATCTTCTCGTTTCCATGCGCCTTCGAGAACGCGCGGTTGGGGATATTCGACTCGGGGTTCATGGTCACGGACGACAGAACCAGGGTATCGGAGGGATAATCCAGGATGGTGCTTTTGGTCGAGGGGGCGGTGACGGCGCGGCCGTGTTTGTCGGACAGGTAAATTTGACGGTTACGGGCCAGTGTCTGTGGGTCTGTATGAGAACATGTTCTAGCTTGACTTGTACAAATGGAATTCACGGTGGTACGGGGATAATAGAAATATTTTTCAACCTCAAAAGGTTTGGGCTTACCGGTCTGCTTAGAGGATGGGCCGTCGCCCAATTTCATTCCAATGGGGTGCAGGTGATCACTTTCGACGTGGTCAAGCCAAGCTGAGGTGGAAGTGAAGGTGACCTCAGGAGAGATCTCTGCATCCTTGATTCGGAGCGTGCGGCAGTTTTTCCACCAACACGGCTGGCCTTCACCTTTGGCCTCGTCGTCTGGAACCTTGTGGACTCTAGCTATGTGCTTTCGGAGAGTAGAGAGATTATGGAGTTTGACGTCGCATTTGCGCCATTGACAAGCGTAGATATTGTATTGGGGAGGCGATGTAGATCGTCTGGGAGTGGAGACAGACACCTGAAGCCCAGAAGATTTGGCAGCTTTCTTCAACAAGTACGCCGAAGTTGCCTTGTTCTTGGAGCCAGGAGGGCGGCCGCGACGCTTCGCAGGCTCAGATGACGGCTGAGCCATGGTGGTTGACGATTTACGTGGTCGACCAGGCCCTCGCTTGATGGAATTCTGCGAAGTGGGTGAAGTGAAGATGATGGGAGTAGTACTAGTAGTAGATGGTGCGCTGTGCGGGGTAGTTTCTTGGAGGCTCACAGGGCGCGGAGGCGTCTTTGCCAGCGCTTTCTTCGCTGGAGGCGTCTTGGAATCTTTATCGACGTTTTGCGATGGGCGCGCTCGTGCAGGTTGCGGAGTAGACTTTGGAGGCTTGACTGAGTCTTCGACAGCGGATTTGCCCTGGGTACTCGGGCGTGCAAGGGGTGACCCAGCACCTGGAACGTGGCCCTGGTCTGGCTTCTCCTTGCTCGACTGCTTGCTCGACTCCTTGCTCAACTCCTTGCTCGACTCCTTGCTCGACTCCTTACCCGCCTCCTTACTAATATGGCCTACTCGTACAGCGGTTCCGTTGCTCGTTGTCGCTCGCTGCTCCCATGATTTGGCTTTGTCGTCGGTCCTGACCCTGGGCGGGGCGCCAACCGTGCCGGGTGTAGGGCCCCGGGCCTTTGCCCTTTCACCCACTTTCCATCTTGGTGGACCAGCCGGAATATCAACCACTTGAACGACAGGCATTGGTGGTCCGCCAGGATCCACGCTGTCCCAGTCGAATGTGCTCAAGTCTGAGTCAATATCGATGTGCTTGCCTAACAGCCGAGCAAGATGTGCATTGAGCGGGTGTTCTCCAGGATGTCGTCCAGCAGCAATCAAAATGTCTCTGGCCACCGTCTTTGGATCGTAGTATGATTTGCGCAAAGCCTCTGTTTTGTTCAACGGCTTTGCCAGAAGATGACGACTTTTCTGCGGTACGGCTTGAGGAGACGGGGCGCGAGCTTGGGATGGAAGCCGCGATGCCAATGTTTGAGCTTGGGGACCAAATTTAAGCGGTGCTGCGCCTCCTGGCGGCCTGTATGAGCTCTGAAAAGATGGACCAGGAGACTGTCTTTGCATACTGGACATTTGCATTGCAGCATTAGGCATGGCTATGTCAGATTTGACGTGAAATACGTCTTTCTCGGGACTCTCTTCGTGCCTCACCTGCTTTCTCGGCATAGAATAGTCTTCGTCATCGCTCAGCTGCGTCAGATCCACCAGCTCAGAGAAGTCTCTCTTTCTCGCGTTTGCCTCCTTCGAGCCAGGCACTGGCGTGGGAATCCTAGGAGATGGAACACCAAGACGTGGCTTTGTAACACGATTGGGCGTGGGCTTCGATGGTGGAGCAGGCATAAGACGGTAATTGATGTATGCTGACGAGTGACCTGGTAGATGACTATGCTGTAAAGCGCCGTTCCCAGCGGCCGGCGAGGCAGCTTTACCGTTAGAGATGGCTTGCTGCGGAGGAGGGATGGGCGATGAGCGGGCGCGAGCAGGTTGCGGAGCTATTTTCGGCCGGGGTTGAGATGGTGATGACAGATCCGGAACGTTGTTCAAAATGAATCGAGCGAACTGTCCACGATGAAAGGCAAACCCTCGTGCCTCCAGCTCTGTGCACAACTCAATGTAGGATGGATTTTGTTCTACCAAGGCGTGGATCTCAGCCGCCGTTATTGACTTGCCCTTGTTGGCTGGCAGTCCCATGAGAGCCTTTTGAGCAGCTTCTGCCAAAGCTTTCCGTTTCGCCTCTGGCCAGATGGTGCCGCCATTTGCGTTGATAGGTGGAAGTGCCTGTGTTGGAGCTGTTTGTGACATCGTGTTCGTGGTCGTGGTCGTGGTCGTGGGAGGCTGTGGTGTTGGTTGTGTTTGCCGCATCAGCTTGTCGTCTTGCTTTGCCTGTGCTGCACTTGGAGGTGGAACTGTCGAAGGTGTCTCGTTTGCACTCTGAGGCCGGACAGACGAAAGCGTCTGTGTCGCACTTGGCTGTGGGGTTGTAGAAGATGCCTTGGTCATATCAGGGTGTGCAATGGTAGAAGATGCTTGTGTTGCACTTGTGGTGGGGATTGCCGAAGGCGCCTGTGCAGATTGCTTTGCTTTTACTTTCCTTGCTTTCGCTCCGGCAATTTCCTGATTCGTTCGTCGATCTCTTCGCTCAGCAGGGAAACGACCAAGATCTGGCAGACCGCCTTCGTTGTCCTCAACGACCATTGTAAGATCCCAGTGGCGCTTCGGTGTCGAAGATGTTGTGGAAGCACTAGGAGGTGGGGCTTTTTGAATTTGTGCCTGCGTCTGAGGAGCTGTTGAGGCTTGAGATTGCACCGGCTGCGAGCTATGTGTCAGAGGCGATTGTTGAGGTGCGACCTGAGCAAGCTGAGGAGATTTGCTCGGTGTTTGACCTTTGGTTACTTGGGTACTACTACCACCTTTTTTCATGTCATCCCAGAGCTTCTGGAACAATGAGGGATCCTTTGACTTCCATTCACGCATGCGATGCATCATAGCCTTCATCTCGGTGGCCATATCGACATCTACGGAGTCCTTCGATTCCGCCGTCATGGAGCTCGAGCGAGAAGATTGCCTGCCACCTGCATCCGTGCTAGGAGGTAGTGCTTGCTGCTTACTGCCAGACGCTGTGGTTGTGGGTGCCCCTTTGTCTTGTGGACTGGTGCCTGCTTCCGGGGCATTGAGAGCCACACTCGATTCCAATGCTTCTATGGATGCTCGTTTGGCACGTTCCTCTTCCTCTCGTTTTTGGCGCTCATGCTCTTTATGATAAGGATTGAAGACCTGACTAGGATCAATAAATGTTGGCATGGAGGCAGCTGGCACAGCATTCTGTTGCAGTGGCGTTGCGCCAGAGGTATCTACTCTACTGCTCAAAGTCGTGTCCAAATCGCCACCATCAGGCTCCTTTGGCGGCAGACCTTCAACACCGTTTCGCTGACCATGTCCCTGGGTGGGCCCGTAGGATGGTTTCGGCTGAAGCGTTCTTGTGGCTGATGGAAGGGGAAGAGTGACGTTTGAACTACTCGAATGGGCATATCGATGAGTTTCGCTTGTCCCGTATCTGTTTAGATTATGACTGGACGGCGGCGCACGTACTGTAGGGGGAGGCTGAGATTGTGCTTGAGGCCCGCTGCGGACATTGGTATCCTGAGAAGAACCCATCCATTGACGTTGCTGATTGTTTGCCGTATTCGCAGGAATCTGGTATCCTGGGTTCGCGGCTGCCGGCGTAGGGGATGTATATTGCTGTGTGGATACACTCAACTGCTGAGGGGAGCTGTTGTATCTGTGATTGACTGCTCCTGCAAGTGCAGCAGCCGCCGAAACTGCAAGGTCTTGATGCGAAGAGGTAGGACTTTGCTGGCTCTGCGTGGTTTGAGCAATCCTGCTGATAGGCGACGTATGCCCTCGATCATGTGAAGGAGAGTTAACGCGTTCTGAACCATGTGTTTCGCGTGGAGCCGCCTTGAGATGTTGAAGGCCCGGATGGCTGTGTCCAGCTGTATGGTCATCTTCAGCTTGCTGTTCCTGCAAGTTCAGGCCAGAGGCATATGCTAGTTTGCTCAGCGCTTGAGTGCTGGGCTGGGCTTGTGGTTGCGTGTTGCCACCATACCAATGATGAGGGTTATGACTCGTTATCGGTGAGACCGCATGATTCGTTTGTGGTCGTGGATATTCATAGACAGACCGCTGACCCTGCCCATCCCTCCATTCAGTGTTGCCGTAGTGCTGCACGTTGCCATTGATGTTTCCATAACTCGATTGACTCAGGTCTGGCCAAGCATATGCCGTTGAAGCATACTGCTGCTGACTAGTCGACACTGGATATGCTGGACTCTTCGATACTGGGGCAGCTGCGGAAGAAGCTCTGCCAGCGCCATATGCGCCACTCCGGTCGTTAGAGGAGGAGCCATAGTTCCCACTGTAACCTTGGAAGCCAGGGTATGACATCGTCGTCTGGAATAAAGTGGTTGCTGATGCTAAAATCAAGAGGCGTGGCCCAGCTCAACCTCTTGCTTGACTCCTCGTCTCTAGTTTCTTGAGAAGACCAGCTTATTTGATCGAGGTGTGAACTGGAACTTTCTGTTGCGCACATTCGCGTTCGAGACAATTGATGTCCCTATGCCTTCGCCATGACTCCTTCATGTCAACGATCTAATGGAAATCATTTCCGTGCTATTGCACGGCTTATGGTAACTGCCTCTCCGAAAGCCGAGGCGCGCGACTGAAGTCAAGGCGCGGATATGGTCTTGGCAAAAAGGATGATGACTAATCCAATCATTGCTGCCAAATGCCTAACCCCTTTCAGCTAAGTAATTTCATCGCACATTCAACACCAAAAGCAAAATTTAAGGTCGACGACGATAACCACAAATCAGAATCGAAAAATTGCTGCGCAATATCAGTCAAGATGGCGAAGCATCTTGGAGGCTCAGGCAGTAAGTGCAGCCTTCACGAGTCAGATGCTCGTCGTGTTGGAAGTCGAGCAAGTTGAGACTAACTGTATCAGCACTGCTTGCGTCCTCACGAAGGAAGTCACGCAAAGCTCATTTCGGAGCCCCCTCGAGTGTCCGAAGAACTATTATGAGTGCGCCTCTCAGTAAGGAATTACGGGAAAAGCACAATGTAAGACTACAGCCTGTCAACAGCCCGAACCCCTCGAATACGATAACTCGACACATACTTCTTACCACCCAGTCATGAGATAAGTCTGACAGGCGTATCATCTACAGGTTCGCAGCATACCAATTCGAAAAGACGACGAAGTCATCATCATGCGAGGTACCAACAAAGGACGAGAAGGCAAAGTCACCTCGGTGTACAGATTGAAATATGTCATTCATGTCGAGCGAGTGTCGAGAGAAAAGTCAAATGGTCAAAGTGTTCCGATCGGCGTTCACCCTAGCAAGTGCACCATCACCAAGCTAAAGATGGACAAAGATCGCGAGAGTATCCTCGAGAGAGTGGGTAAGGGTAGGGAGGCCATCAAGGAGCAGCGACAGATTGGGAAAAAGGATTGAGGACTCGAACAGGTCAGAGCTTACGCTACCGGTGAGATGGGAAATCAGGTCTGTGTAGGGCCAGAGCTTGAGACGGTCTCGATGAACGAAGACCAATTCCCAAGACTCATCAAGTGCGGATTCAGTTTTGCTATTGAGCCCACCGCACAGCTGTTCTCCTCCGCATTTGATCAATATTGAGGGCCTCTAGCCACGTGCACACCAAATGTCCAGTGCTGGTCACCTGTCTACCACGCTTTATACCCCTTCCCCCTTCTTACCCCTTCGTCTCTTTCTCTCCTTACATCCACGCGCCAGTATTATCTCCTTGCCAACCTCTTCTCTCCTCTCCTTGGACTGAACATTTGGTGGTTGATCAAGGTATACGGCTGGCGCAGATTGAACCACCATGCAATCGTCTCTCTCTTCTCTTCTATCAGGTTCAGATGAAACATTATTGCAGGCTTACCGGCAGACTGTCTACGAGGATTTGCGTCCGAGGAGTTGCAGGATTTGATGGTGAGGTACATTTTCAAATCTAAATCATGTAAAGACGGTGTGAATGCGGCCAGATAGCAAACTTGGGACAGTTTGCCATTATGGAAAGGTACAAGTCAGACATACCGGCACAACATAGTGTATCCGCCAAGCATGACATCCTTCCCAAAGATTTCTGCACGCTTCTGTATCCCCCCTTCCCATTTATCAAACATGAAACGTATTGGTTGGTTCATCAAGGAGACTTCGGCCAGAGCATCGATAACTGCAGAACACACGAAAATGTCCACTTGCAATCTCCGCTTTTTCCTTATGGTTGCGGTGTCTTACGAGTGATATGCCATCGTGGTTGGTTCAAGCGATTGGTACATTGTGCAATGCTAGCAAGAATTGCATCGAAGGGCCTTCGAACTCGACTTCCGGGACAGAGTGAAGGACGATGATGGCAAGTAGGTAGAGGATAAACACAAAGGTAATGAGACCAGGCAGTACCAAGAGGATCATGGGGATGTTGTTGAGTTTTTCTGATAACAACGAGAGCAAGACGGAGAGAGTGGAAACATTTGAGAGCAGATATGCGATGATAGCTGATATATGACGGAATATGTTTAGAAGGTCCTCTTCACCCGACGGCCTCAAGGAGATAACAGGGTTCCCAAAAGGTCTGGCGTTGGAAATCCTGTTGGTGCGCAGACGCTTTAAAGGCCTTCGATCCTACGAGTATTGAAGAAGACTCCGTGCGAGATAAGCTGGGGTCCCTCGCCAGTGATCCATGACGCAAAAGCTGGTGCTTGACGTCGCATGCTGTTGCGATATCTCCCTATCAAGCGTGAGCACATCTGTATATGCACACACGACCAAAATCATGCTTGAAAGTTTTCGGAGGGAGAAAGGCCGACACCGTGGTGGAGGTGTCGAAGATATCTAAATCAACTTGGTGAAAGGTTTGAGTGACCAGTACGAACAATAACAAACACATGCCTTCATTCTACCTCCGGTTTGAAGACATGGACCACCGAGAATGTCCTGGGCTTCTGCGGCATATACTAGATCAAAAAGACTGTTTCAGGGATCTCGAAACATCACAATGAAGAAACTGAAACGGCAGTGAGTACGGTTGGAATCAGGCAACGTACGCTTGGTCACTGCGCCTAATATTTGCAGAAATCTGGTTTCAATATCTGATCTTACCACTTCTCCACATAAGGCCTGATATCGATCTCATTCGTAAAGCACGACCTATGCTGGGTATGTAGGAACCAATAAGAATCCGCAATCTGGACCACGTCAGCTCTATATCAATCTATGTATGTTATTCAGGGGTAGAGGGGGAAATCAACTCACTGCATGTGGACTGATTTTGGCATCAGGCGCATCCGAAACTTTCCATGCTTTTGTCCTCTCGATGTCGATGACTCCGTCAATGATTGCATGTGCTACATGAACACCCTGTGGGCCAAACTCCCTAGCCAGGGACTGAGCCAGTGATCTCATAGCGAACTTGCCGGTCGAGAAGGATGCGCAATATGCGGAGCCTTTCATAGCTGCAGTGGCAGATGTGAAGATCAAGGTGGGGGGATATTCGAGGTTGGTCGCTTTCAAGAGAAGTGGTAAAGCGGCTCGGGAAAAGAGAAAACCACCTTTGCTATATTGGAATTGGTCGTTAGCTTTTTCTAAAGAGAGGCACCCATAGTGGTGCGATCTTTCTTACCCATTAGCATCCATACCGCTCAAAAACTCCTCTTCGGTTAGTTCGAGGAAGGGCTTCTTGATGAAGCTTCCTCCTACATTGAACACAGCAGCTGCCAACTGAGCATCGCCCATCTCTTTATCTAGCTTCTCAAAAGCATTCTTGACGCTCGCCGAGTCTGATACATCCGTGCTGATGCCAATTGCCTTTCCGCCCGCTGCTTCAATTTCTTGGACGATGGGTTCGTAGTTCGCCGGCTTCCGGGCAAGCAGAGCGACAGGGTAGGCTTGTGCAAACTTCCGGGCGACACAAGCACCTCTGGTAGCTTCAGTAAGCCAGAAAATTTCCCAAGGACCAGTGGCCTAGACTGGAGTCAGTAGACTATTGGAGGAGCTTACGTTCCAGGTCCCACACCAGCAACTACAGCCCACGCTTTGGATGCTGCCATTGTTAGGGTTTCGAGATATATTTTAGTTAAACGAGTCTTTCTAGATCTCTATGCGGGACACTGGATACAAATCAAAATTGACAAAGCTACCAGACATTGCATAACCTATATATTCACCAGATGACGCTCGTAATGACATTCTCCATAGGCCAATTACTAAGCAGGTCCGATGAGACCCTTTCAAGCACGGACCATATCCGCTCTCATTAGATCATATTCTACCAGCAGAATAACAATGAAGGGCCAGCCATGGTCGCCCCTGGCTGCTCTGCTTGGAGAACATTGAGATAAGATTTGATGGCGTCAAAATCAGAGTACGAGACACCGTATCCTGTACCCAAGCTACTCGTCGAGTATAAGTCAAAATCCCTGGCGAAAAGTCGCGAACTCATGACTCGAGTTGTGTCACCTTGCACAACCATGGGTAGCGCTGGTAGAGCATAGTGGCTGGGAACATATCAGGAGGTCAGAACAGTAACAGCAACACACCCCGAGCTCTAGAGAATAGTACTTTCTCGTGATTATACCTGGATGTTGCGGGTATCATTGCGCTGAGTTACCCCCCCCCAAAAGAAACCGCATGTCTGATAACATCTACTATGTCTCGTTAGTGTAGTGTAGGATAATACTAAGGATGAAGCAGCGTCTGCTGAAATGAGGCGCAGTGGGGGGTTGCGAAATTACATAAAAGCCTTTCCTCTCAATGGGATTGCTTCATGGCAGCTCAACACCCCTAGACGATGAAGCGTACTGTGAGAACCCTAAGATCAGTCATGCCTGCTCGGCATGGCTCTGGCACTGCCTCAACTCCAGTGGCAGTATTCCATAGATGAACCCATGCTCGCTTCTGGGTAAAGCAGATGGTACAAGCCATGACGTCTCCCAGGTATCTCGTATACCAAATATCTGCGAATTTTCTCGAGGCCTTGATAGAATTCGGGCACGAAGGAAGAGTTATGCCTAATGAGTCACTTGTCATGGTCCATTGTCCCTCCGCCTTGTGGGTCTGAAACAGCGGATGACGAAGGAGAGGACCACAAGGCAAGAAAAAGAATCGTAGTCGTCTCCACCAAGTACCCAACGTGTCAAAGACGTAGAGCAACTGGTCGAAAGGAGGGACTACACAGGCGTCGTACTTTGCACCTTCGAGGTAGACTCCGTCGAAGTCACTGAATTTCGCACAAGGTTTGCGAACAGAATGCATACAAGGTGCGATCTAAGCATTTGTGGTGACCAGAATGGTCAACGATTAGGGCACTGCGGCCCAAGACATGCATGATCGGCGAATAATATTGATGGTCGCAAAAATGAGTCGCCGAGCCAGATGAGTTGGCAGGACACCTTAGGGCAGTTACAGCGTCATTAGTCTGGCCACAACCGATAGACCGTAGGTATCGATGTTGTTCTCGAGTGTCCTTGTAACAGCAATAACAGAAACGAGCGTTCAGACCACGATATGAATCTTTCAAGTGCATAGCCTCACCTATTTTTCTTAATTTCCAATTGTTCAAGCAAATTTCACTGCCTAAAGCAAGAATCAAGTACTCATCCGGCGCTTGCATGTCCGCCATGTCCGTATGATGGTGTTTGAGTCCAAGTGGCAAGCACAGAGGGTGCCCTAATAAAGAAATTCTGGAAGCATGATCAGCAGATTATGGTAACACGTTGGCATATCTGAAACGTGTAAACGCACACTGCCGTAGGCTTCCACAGGATTGACTTCGGTTATAGATTTTCGCTGTGTGGAGGCGTTTTGGAGCTGTCTGACTGCCATTTAGAACAATTTTGGGTTGTCATTCTACATGTTAGCGACAACTTCCTTCCATTGGGCGACAAAGGTTTCATATACATTATGAGAGAGCTCCCGCAGGAGCGACTGATGAAGATCGTTTCACGAAGGACTGTGCTGAAGGTTATTGCTAAAAATCGGTTCCATTGGAACTTACGTAGTAGGTAGAAGTCAAAACTTAGAAGTCAGCACCGGCACAGCACCAAAGCGTGCTTCCGGAAGACTAGCTGTAGGCTAGGCGGAGGTGTGACACTTACTGAGGGGCGGGATCATTGGATACCGGCCTTCTAGTTTGTAAGTCCAGATCTCTCACCGTTGGTCTATTAATGTGCGGTGTGTAATCTGCTAAAGAGAACGGTCACACTTTCAGGTGTCGGTGCAAAAGAAGGGCAGGAGATACAACCTCAGTTGATGTAGATAAACTCCGCATGAAGATCCCGCTTGAAGAGCCTGGTAGAAAGAGACCTGCATCAAGGCCATGGGCAAGTTCGAGAGAACCCCAAGACAGGGAGGGTCTGGCAAGGACGGAAACCAGCAAAGTTGACCTGTCGACCCGCCTCTTATGACTACTATGTACGTACTTCATAGCATAATAATACCTGCAGAACAAATAAGATCACTAATACTCGAGTAACACTATCAAGCTACGTACTCTCAGCTATTGAGGTACGGAACCGAAAATGGTCGATCATCTAGAACCAATCATCTGCATGAGGGTACCATACGCACTGTACTACAAAATCACGAAAAGAATGCCAGAAGACTGGCCCACATCTCGGAAACGCAGCAGCAATTTATTGTCTGTATGAGTGGCGTTCGATCGACGGCATCTGCCTTCTCACCATCAACGCAAGACGCGCAGTAAAGCTTTACACCCCGCGCAAGAAGGCAGTAATGGCCTTCGTATCTGGTAGGTCCATCCGACAGCGAGTTTGCTGTTAGATCTGATCGTTGGTTAGGAGGCCGAAGAACCAAACAGGCGGCGTTGTGCAAGGAACACTGACGGAGGTATTACAGACATGACTAGGCCCTTCGAGAGAGATCCAGTGCTTCATCATATGCTGAGTAAACACTTCTGCAGCCACCGCGATCTAAACAAGTGGCGAAGAGACCTGTTCATGCTTGTGGGTGGTAGTACGTCGTAGTATTTACTCCTGTCGCAGCGAGACATTACCATACAGTGCTGAATAACCAGTATCCGTAATTACCAGAATCTTCTGCCCACACAGGGGTGTAGACTTTATTAGTTTAATTAGATCCCTGCAAGTGGTGCGCCTGTGGAGCTTTTTAGCCTGAAATAACTAAGTCAGTAGCAATCCACATGTCTTCTGCGGCCATGGATGCTCAAATACTACGCCGCTCCCGCCCCCTATTTAAGATCAACTTTCCAACGTTGTCGTCCACAAATGTACCCAAGTGGCTGTGAAAAGTCTGAAATTAAAATCCTAAAATCCCAGGATTTTGACTTGTTCTATGATCCGACGGACTCATATCAAGTCAAATTGACGCGCGGAACAGTCATTCCTAAAGCCCAGGCCCCCCTTGTTTACGGGATTCGCGCTTCTCACCATCACTACTAAAGCGTCTACCCCCTCAGCCCAGCCTCAGATTTTTTTCCTTTTACGACACATCGTCATTCAACGTTTTGCACAAAGCAATTGCCGTTCTGCCATATTACAAATTGGGTCATTTCGATCCAATTCTACCACCGTCTATCATTCACCATCTGCAATCATCCATTCTATTATGTCAGCAAGAGAGTTCCAGTCTTCCCGACCTTTCCCCTACTCTCGACACGATCAAGCACCAAACGTTCTTGAACAGCCCCCACCGAGGCGACCTGATCACCGACCCAGGGACATATCCATGCGAGCCGGCAGGCAATGAATTCATACCACTATTCCAGTCCCCCCAAGGGCTACTCTCCATACTACTTCAACTCTTCACCTACCTCACCAAACAACAGCGACTATATCTATTATGCGCCTCAGCAGCAATATGGCACATCATCAGCGAAGAAGCACTCAAGAACGCGCAACTATCAACCAACGGCGACGGCGCAAAGGCCAGGTGGATGGCACTCTCCTCCAGGATATCCATCTGCGCAATTCTACGAGACGGTGCCAAATTACACCACACCACCTCAGAGAGGCGACTATGTGAGTACTGCCAAAGGCATGAGGAGCAAATTTCGCACCTCTTCCATGTCCGCAGGCAAGCAGCACAGCCGCACAACGCGAACGCAGAAACAGCCCGTCTATGTAGACGTTGTTGACGATGCCTACAATTCGCCACAATACATATACCGCGAGCCAAAGGCCAAAACACGGCACGCGAAACCCAGTGCTGATCAATATTTTTTTTTCAATCAGGATCAGATTTACAACGAACAACCCAAGCGATCGCGAGCCCGCCGCTCCTCGACCACCACGCGCACACCTCAAAAGTCCGCTCAATCGGCGCACACGAAGTCGCCACATATCGCTACCGAAGACGACGCACAAAGGGCTGGCATCCCAGCAGGCTATTCTATCAAGAATTGGGACCCTACTGAGCTCCCAATCGTCCTTCTAGGCAGCGTTTTCGATGCGAATTCCCTTGGCAAATGGATATATGACTGGACTGTGTTCCATCACGGGGCATCCAGTCCAATGGCTGACGTGGCTGGCGACCTCTGGCTCCTTCTGATCAAACTAGCTGGCAAGATGAAGCGAGCGGAAGAATGTGTGGATCGTATCCGCAGCATTGACAGCCAGGAGATGGTAGAAGACTTCCTCACTAGTGGAAGTCGTCTGTGGCAAAAGTTCAAGCAACTTCTCAAGGCATGTGAACAATTCATGTGGAGGGCTGCGAAGCGAGAAGGCAGCAAGGGCATTTCAATGGGCAAGAATGCTGGAACCGAATTCGTCGATTCGATATTTGGTCGAGATCGGGAACTTGAGACCACTGAGAAAATTATGACCAGCATTCGGTTGTGGAACATGCGATTCGACGCGAACTGCGAAGATATCCTTAGGCGGCCTTCTGCTGCCTAGTATTTAATGGAGGCGAGGCTGTGGTGACTCATAAGACGGGGGTTTTGTCCGGGTGGTGGTGGCACATTTGATATTTGCCACCTCCTTTTCCCTTTCTGCACCGATTATTTGGTGGACAATCTGCTTGCACATGGAAGTTTGGCATGCAGCGGGATAGCATTGAGGTGTTTGATTATTATTGCTTTATCAGGTTCCTCCCTTTCGTCTTTATTGGTCGGTATGCGGTCTGTCTGTCGGAATGTCTGTCCCATTACAGCACGGCGCTGGAGGCAGCACTTTTCACCCAGGATGTGGAGATTTGTCCGCGCTTCTGCCTTCCTTGCAAAGATACCCCTTTATATTTGTTTGCTTTTCATGAAGTCTGGTTTGGCATCTTGAAGCTGGTCACTTTTGCATGTAATTTATATAATCACTCACGCCTTTTATGGTATAGATATACAATACACCAGTGGGTTTGTGCATCACTGTAACAATATTGTAGCTTGTGCCTGGCACATCCTTATTGTGGTGTTCTACAATCATTGTGATCCCTCCACCTATACACAAGACCATCACTTGACCTTTTGTATCGTATTGTTGTTGCCCCTAAATCCTGCGTTACTCATCACATCCGGAGTAGTATTCTGTCCCACCCTTGGGGGGCCAATGATATGGTGCAGGGGCCAAAATCTAGAGACGTCTGCCCGCCAGTGGTGGTGTGCAGGAGTTCGTCACTTCAGCACCAATGGAATTGACGATAGATACGAGGATACCGCTCCATTCGTTTGTCTTGTCCCACCCACAAGCCCTATCCTGTGCCCTATGAAATTCAGTAACTCTCTTGTGCTCATCACACATTTCTAGGCATCTTAGGTTTATAACCACTTTAGGAGACTGTTATTCCTGCCACATGCCGCCTGGAATGGAACACTCCACGGCATTGACGTGACAGCGGCACATAGCGCTAGGTAACTTTGTCACAGGCTTCAACAAGCTTCTGCAGCATTACTTGGTTTCCCATAAAATGGTGGACACCACGGCGCTTGCTTCTCCTCCGAATTGGTTCATCTTCCCTTTTCAATTTGTGAAACAATCGATCCACTTCCTGTGATTGTTGACCCCACTACACCATCCCAGACCATGAACGATTCTAGCAGCATTTGTGTTGCACATATTGCTATTGTTATAACTTGATGGCTACGGCTGAAAAAATGTGTTGCTTTGTTTTAATTGATTGGCTCGTTTGCTTGTGGCCTGAGCACACTTCAGCTTCGGGAAGAAAACTCATGACATTCATTGTACGTCTATGCTTCAGCTTGTGATGCAGGTACGGCGACTTGTTGCATGTCGATCCGGTGTGGTTGCGTTCCTGATCTATACGGCACGGCATTGATCGAAATATGCCGGACCAAGACTGTATTGTGACAAGACAAGACGGAACGGTATTTTGACCCTTTGTCATGAAGTACCACTGGTATGATGCTTGAATGCTGACTATTATACTATCCGTTGCCGTCAAGCATCCGCAGCACATTGTGAGTCTGTAATTGATGCAGAAGAGGGTCGAGCCTACAGACTCTATATATGGCTTCGAAGCACTTAGCGATAAAGAGTTTGCCCACCCTAGTAGTGCTCTTTTTACAACATAAGCAGAATGCACAACCCTCGAGGCATCGAGGCATCGGTGCTCTCCGTTTGAAGCATCCTTCCATCCATCATTCCTGAGCAGTCTTGGGGAACGTTATGGGATGTTCCACACTTATACTCTCCCAGATGATTGACAATTCAGTATACCATTCTACGGTTGTTGTGCTGAGCGATAGGTATCATTCTAAAAGAGAACCGAACCACTCCTGCGGCCCTCTAAGCAACAGCGTCTTCGAGGCCTGATCGCTGTTGGGGATGCTCATCACTAGTGCCAGGAAGGATGTCTAACTTGTTTGTTGCTGCTTGGTCTTTGGTGTTCTGGTTTTATGTACATCTGGCTGCTGTCGTGCCATTGTCTCCCAAAAATGGGTTCCCAAGAAAGCGACGAAAGACACCTTTTGATCTTTAAGACATGTGGTGTTCCAAGCTGCAACGCGGACGATAGCTCCAAATGCTCAGAGAGATTGTTAACCATTACATCCATCATTGATTTTGCTATGGACTAACATCCTCAATGCCCCGCATTAGCCTCCTCGTCTTATTTGCTTTATGGTATTGCAAAGCTTGAATGTCGAGCATGAGCTGGGATAGTGGTCGTGTCACCAACGCCACCATGCTTCAATCGAACGTCTTGCTTTGGAAGGTCGGCAGGATTCTTATTAGAGAATCGTTCACTCGTGTGGTTTCAAATTTTGGTTTGAATGTTTCATAGTGGGCCTGCCGAACGCTTGCACCCTCTGGCGGCTGGCATCACCACCGCTGCCGCTGATCTGGATACCTCAATCTACCACACCTGATCCCTGGCGCCCAAGTTGGATCAAGAGCTTCACACCACCTCTAGCTACGTCTCGATGTGGCTCAGCAACCACGGGAAAGCTCTTTTTACAAAGGCACCACGCAGACTTGACCTTGCTATTAACACCCTGATGTTCATAGCGATCAAAAAAGGCACACAACAGACGCCAAGTCTACTTGTTGGCGGATGATGGAGCAAATGGGATGGCCTCTGCGGATCCAGATCATGAAGATGGTGTATGGGGACCAGAAGGCTGATGGCTACGTGAGCGAAAAATAGAGACTATACTTGCTATGACAGCGACAGCAACTGCGACTGCGACTGACACAGAGACTGGTGGCCAGTGTTGATGAATCACTGCAGGATGTGAGAGCGGTCATCTACTCACAGGGCTTGAATGTTCCTTTACTTCAACATCTCATACCACAGCAATGACCCGCACTCATACAGACCTTATCACGAGCTTCAACCAGAAATTCAAGGTTGTCAATTACGAACCTCGAAAGTGACAATACACACCCTATTCTCTTTCTTCTCGTAGGGCTCCTCTAACCTTGAAATGACAACAATTCTACCTGAATTTGCAGTTCTTCGTAGGGTTCTGACACCATGGTCGGTATATCGAGCTTTGTGATTATCACAAAGAAATCCGTCATTTCCCACTCTCCTGCAACCCAAGTCTCTTGCTATGCAGTACGCTACATTCTCTATTTCCAAACCATAAGTCTCATGTGATGGTCGCCAGCCCACCCACCAAAAATAGTGCTGCTATTTCCGATGTAGTATTGAACCTGTCAACCTGTACAGGGGGTCAAACAGCATCAACTGCCCTCCCTGCAAGCTAAGTGGACTTCTTTGCCTCTGAAGTTCAAAACGTCGCTAATCATGGCGTTTTATCCAGAGAACCGGAACTGCTCCCAATTGGAGGATGGCAGAGAGCGATCGTCGGCAATGGCGACTGTTCTGGTTGATGATCTACCTGGATACTGCCCCGTCCTTGACAAATGCCGAGGCGCAAAAGTGGAATCGATTGGATATCAAACTGGTTACCAAGATTTAATTCAGGACTGATCGGCCTCTAGGAGAATAATAATGCCTGTATGAAACGTGGGAAGCAGGACTTCTGAAGGGGACCGCTTGTGCTGGAGTGATGGTGCACCATTAGTGATCTCACTATTGTGTGTTGGTGATATGCCGTCGACCCTTGAAGCTGGAACGGTACCGCAGGCAGGTTCCAGGGCTTCTGTTGGTGGTCTTTCCGGGATTAAGCTTCCCAGGCCGCTTGGCTGGGAAGACAACACCCTCAACTGCACATGGGCCTTGCTATTCGTTGACCATGTTGCTGTTGCAGGCAACGATTTGAGTTTGTTATGAGCGCAGTTGTTGAACAACATCCTTCTCTTTCTTTTCTTCCTTTCAGTCCCCTTGGCATTGCCACATTCGCCCGCACCTGATTGTCAGGAGCATTGAAAGTTAGTCAAGGCCTCTTCATACTCCTGTCATTGGATCGCGGGCTAAGCGATGTTGTCTGCTCTGGCATACATTATCGACATGTGGCAAACAAGTCTAGACTGTTGACCTGATCATCCAGAACTAACACATGCGTTCTGCTGTTGCTGGTATCTCAGCATTGCGAAATTAACTACCCGATACTCCCGGTGCTGTCAACGTCCGAGTTGATAACGAAGGCGTCTCTCTATCCTGCTTTCCATGACACGCTTCTTACGATAATGCCTATACCAGAGGTCCAAAACTCTACCATACCAGATGCAGCGGTACCTAGTACGCCTCGCAGGAAACGTAGACGAACCCTCGGCACAGGAGCCGCAAATGATTGCTTTACCTGCTCCCGCCAGAATGCAAGCTGCGATAGGAAAAGGCCCTACTGCACACCATGTCTTGAGAAGGGAAAGGACTGCGCAGGGTACAAGACGACATTGACATGGGGTGTTGGTGTTGCAAGTCGGGGCAAATTGCGGGGGCTGTCACTACCGATAGCAGGCAACAAACAAAAGCCATCGGCTCGGCTTAAGAATTCGCCTCGTGAGCGTGAATCTCTCAAGAGCGAGCTATCAAGGCGACGTGTGCAGAAATCGGGGCCGCCAAACAGCTCTCTTCACACGTTCTCAAATTCTACAACGTTGACCTCTGATGGTAACCCATGTACCGAGGCATTGAATATGACATGGCAATCTATTCCACCTGCTCCTCACGTCGTCTCGCATCCTCAAATTCCCTCCGGCCCAGGCTCCGCAGCCATTAGTTCGTCTCCGGACTCCTCCCTTGATAATGCGCCGGCTTCGAGCAAATCTGATCGATCCGTTCTTACGGCTGGCACGGGGTCAGTCGAGACGTATAGCGAGCAAGGCTTTAGTCAGGTTTCAGGAACTGTCGTACATTCCGAGACCACTAGTCCACCCGGGGGTTTTCAATGGCCTCAAAGGCCTCGGTCTCACAGTCAGAACGCCACTAGCTTCATACAACCACAGTCTGCAGCATTTTGGCCAGCACGATTTGATCATGAGAGAAGTCCCAGTCCCAGTAGATCCGATGTGCCAATACTAGGTAAAGCACAATGTTGTATGCAAATTGACGGTCAAAAATTGTTGGATCTCTTGACCGTAGATCCTACCTGTTTACAAGATGAAAAAATTCCAGAAACCTTTGCAGAAGCCGCGGAAGTTGAGGATCATGAGCATGTTAGCTCGAAGTGTGAACATAGATCACCAACTGGTGACTGTTTGGACCAGACTTCTCTTATTTTCTCACCATTCTCTAATGGACACACGATTGGGAAAACCCCGCGAATGCAGTATCTCATCAATTATTATACCGAAGTCATCTCGCCGGTCATTGTGGCCTTTGACGGTCCCACAAATCCGTACAGAAGTTATATACTCCGGTTGGCCTCTGAAAGCGAGACACTGCAACATGCAATTTCAGCACTCTCTGCGAGTAATCTTCGCCAGCGTCGTGAAAGTGGAGAATTGTCGACAGGCAAAACAGATCCAGCAAGAAGGTCCTCAATGGCACATCTGACATTGACAGACAAGGCATGGCAATCTAGACCTGGCTATTTATCTGTTGAACACCAGAGGAAGGAGGAGAATTATCACAAAAATGCCACAGTTCATTTGATACAAAAACAATTCGCAGATCCAGCACAGCACCGGGATGACTCTGTGCTAGCTACGCTACTCATCGTTTGTCTCTTCCACATCTGCGAATCAGGAGTTGCAAAGTTTAGGACGCATTTTGCTGGGGCTAAGAAATTGCTAGGGATGCGCGAAAATGCAAGCATCTTGAAGTCTAAGGAAGCAAAGTGGTTCACTAGAATGTTCACTTGGTTTGATGCCATGACGGCCACTGTGAACGATCGCGAAGGCCAGATGCAAGATGGACTCCTCGATATGTCAAGTCTCCTAGACGAAGACTGGACATTGGAAAACCTAGCTGGCTGCGATGGCAAGCTCTTCAAGATCATGGCAAAGCTGGGCCGCCTCAATATCCTTAGTCAGAATGGTGTGCTCGATGACGTTTCCGCTCCAGCTTCCTGCAGTGCTCCTGTATTGGCGCCCGACCTGTCCTACTGGAACAACTCTGACGGCGACACTTGGACTATCGACAGTAGCAGTGGGGCGATTCCAATTTCTAGTGAATCATATCCCGACATATACACAACATATGGACGTGAGTGGCACAAGACCCGTAATGCTCTGATGTCGTGGAGGCTAGACACTAGTCCGTTCAGCAGTGGTAATCGTGACGCGCCAGCTCTTTCTGAGGACCAGCAGGTGGATCTTTTGAACATCTCCGAGTCCTTCAGGTTCTCGGCGTTGATCTACTTGGAGCGCTTAGCCCTTCCGCACGTTCCATCATCGGATTCCCGGATTCAAACCTGGGTACAGAAAGCTCTGTATTTCATCGAACTCGTTCGCAGTGATGTGTACCTTCTTTGGCCATTATTTGTTACGGGGAGCGAGTGTGTTTCAGAGGACGATCGACATATCATTCGGCAACGCTGTCTTGACATTCAGAAAGATTCCGGGTTTTCCAACAATGCTTCATGTTTGAAGCTTCTAGAGAAGATCTGGACCTCGAATCCGAATAAACCGCGCGGGTTCAGATGGCGCTCGGTAATGGATGCCAATGTATCTGGAGGAGAATATATTGTAGTCTGAGACGTTTCTGAGTGGGACTAGTCCATCACCGTCTGTGGCTTTCGAAGCCGATTGTCACATGCATGACCGAAGTACTGCAGCCTAGTTGTTGAAGAAACAAAAAGGAGCCTGCTGGTTTCGATATGAATTGAACTATCACTCGGAATGAGAGAAAACTCAAACAATGCTTTTGCACTGGTCTCGTTTGTATTTCCATCTTATATGGTTGGTTGCTATCCATGAGGCTCAGTCGCATATTCAATGCGAAGATGCCCTGCAGAATGTCAGAACTCGTTGCCCTTCTGGGAAGTACCGCCATACAACCCGCTCGCACCTTCGTGATACTAACATTCACAAATCGCAAAGCGCTTTCATTCTCAATCTTGATCGGTTGCTTGTCAGAATATACAGCCTCTGCGAACAGCATGTCAACTGTGCACCTGGGCGCGGTTGCTGCAGGGCCAATCTGCAAGCCTGGAGTTGGCTAGTCAGCAGGATCAGTGGTGTTGTCAGACTTCTCAGCGCAATCATTCGGTCTCATGAGGTTCTAAAGACCATTGCAGCCAAAGACAGATCTTGATAATGAGACGGACTCTGTCGTCGTCACGGCATGTGAACGTACACGTGTACTCGGTCATCCTACGGATGGAAGTGAAGACATTCCTGGGACACGTCTACCGTATCATCTCACCTCGATCCGCGAAGAAGGAAATCAATAAATTACTGACTTGAAAATTCGAGCAGACCACATCTCCAGGCGCATGAGTTCTTCCCAGTTATCAGACCTCGTCCATTTGGTGGCAATGAAGGAAGACACCTAATGCAAAGCAATTTGGCGTTGTGGGAGAGTAGTGGCTGCTCATACGGACAATGGATTGACTGGATGCGTTCCATTGTCTGTTTCAAGATGAGTACAGTCGTCCAACCCGGTATGGGTGAAAGCTCTACTTGTTATTCACCTCGGTTTACCATAACCACATCCGAATCAACCAAAGAAAACCAGTGAAGCCATAGCTCCGGCAAAGTTCAAGTCGTGTCTTCGATTGGAGGCGCCAAAAATTGTTTCGGCATTTACCTTGTTCTCTAAAGTCCCTCATGCACAATTTTTAGTCGACAAAGGAGGAACAAAGAGGAATGTAGGACCGCGACCTGTTTCCGGCTCGGGCGCAGGTCTGGAGAGTGGCTTGCCGAACAAAGACTACAAGTTTTACAAGCGTGAGGGATGACCACCTTGAAGCACCTAGCGGACGTCGGACCTAAATCTGTAGCCATGCGTGTCCTGCAATCACGTATCATTGGGATATGGTCCAGACAAGAGCACAAACTCGACAGGGAGGCCCTCCACCGCCTACAATTCAACCGTTTTCAAAAGGGATACAGAACAATATAATCAACAAACCTCCTAGAAGACGCCATGTCGGACTCAATGTCACTTATCCTGAAGACAAAGTTGAGGAACCATCCGACGAATACGAGCTAGCGAAATCTGAAGAGCTCCCGCATGAAGACAAGCAGCTGCACCAAACCGAACCGGCACCAGAAGACAAGGAATTGAGTCCTTGTAAAGCCGCCCATAACCAGAAGCACTCGAGCGCTTCTGAAACCGACAAGATCAGTGGAGGATATAGCGTGTTGCCTGCCCCTAACATTATCGGTGTCTGCTGGGCACTCCAGCATGTTCTCCGAGGCATCGTGTACAACCTTACCGATCTAGAGCTCCACAATCTATTCATTGCCATACCTCCACTGCAACCATTGTTTGAGATACCCAATCCTTCTCGACCTCTGGCATGGCAGGACTAGACCGTCGTTCTTACGCCATCAGAACAATAGCCTACTACTTGCACCCTACTCACCATTAGGCGAATGTCACTAATGCGGCTATTGACGTTATTCCACTCGGACGTTGCAAAGGGCCATGGTCTCGACTACGCCTAGCAAGACAGCGCACGTACTCGTCAAACTTGGCTTCTGAGTGTGCGAAGGATTGTGTTCTAATGCCAGTAGACTCGCACACCAATCTTGACCTCTCCACATTCCATTTCCACTTCGAGACCTGAGCATACGTGACTGTAGCCTGAGCGATGGGATAAGCAGCCCTGAGCTATGGCTGTGTAAGGCTGTTCCGAGCCTGGAGGTGGTTCATCTCCATGTATTCGACCGCTCCTAAGACTTTCGACTTGATAAGTGTGATCCAATGTGGTTTTATTTTGTGACCGATCACGTGTAATTGGAGTCAAGCATTTTTGGACCTTTTCGGCTCAGGGGAGGCAATTTCAGAGAAACTTCTAGCCCGCTTAGGCATTTTGATAAGCCTACTGTAAAAAGTTAGGTTAGGGTTAACCAGAAATACTACGTATGCCTCCTACCGCAGTAGCTTCAGCGAGGCGTACAGTCAACCTTAAGAGGCTGTAACTTAGTTGTGATAGTGCGGAGAATTTGGAGTCTAAATTTTTGGGGGGGGGGGGTCAAAAGGTTGGTTTGTAACATAGGAACGGCTGAAAGTTAGGTGGCACGGTTTGAGGAAGTTTGTCCATAAGCCGCCACAGCCGTCAGCTCCAGTGGTAGTGATGGTGGTAGTGGTACGGAAACAAGTCAAAAGCATTCAGTGAAAACCTAGAGTAGGGCCAAAAATAGATACGGTGGTTCAATAATAATGAAACTTGGGAGGGAGTACAATGGGCTTCAGAGCATTTACGTAGTAACTTACTGGTTTGCGAAACTTTTTGATGGAAGAACTCGAGTCACCATTCCTGACAAACAAACTTACCGACTCCACATTCATAGAACCCCTTTATAGATGAGGAGAAACGTCGTGCACTGGATATTCCGTGTCTGCCCAACCAAATTATCCTCGAAGAGTTTTGCCGAGTGAATCTGAGTGTAAACTTGCACATAGCCCCGAGGAATCGTGGCCAAAGGAGGAATTCAAGCTTACCCGTGTGTGACGAGGAGCCAGTAAATATTATGCGTTGCAAAATTGTTGCGAATTCCTTGGCGGGACCCTCGAATTGCTGGCGCTCGTGGGCAGAATTGCGGTGAGATATAGGAATGGCTCTCCAGGCCGTAGAACGCGTAGAAATTGCTTGAAACTGCTTCTAAAACGTTGCTGACGCTTGTATCTTTGCTTTATATCAACTGCTGGCCCTTGGTGTTGAGTTTGTAATAAGGAAATTATAGAGAAGGATATATAGGGAAGAGGATATTATAGAGAGGAGGATCTATAGAGAAGAGGTGCGAACGCGGAATGAAGTGGGTAAGTAGGTTAAATTAAACTGGAGCTCGGATAGTTTGAGAAGGGGGAAGTGGCACTTGGGTCAATTGAGGAAATACTTACCGTGTATAACATTTTAGACGAGTGGGGGAATAGTGAAACTGCGACCACAGACAGACAGAGTCCTCAACCTGACGACGAAAAGATCTCTCCAGGTAGCCATTATGTCAGATCCAAAAAGAAAAAAAAAGAATACCAGCCTCCCCTCTTGCCGCATTTGATCATTCGCCGGATGCGGAAGTCATGGTTCTTTCACTCGTCGCAAGGAGTCATTGTCGTCCGAACGCAGAGTTCCCGAACCATGGCCATGCCAAAGACAAAAAAGAAAGAAAGCTATGTCTTTAGACCGAGACGGGGCCGAAGAATGGGATTAAATGGTACCTCGAGAGAAAACCTGCATCCCCTTCACCCGTTGCAAAATTTCCTTCAATCATCGAAAATCCCCAGCCGAAAAGATGGTGCAGACCAGAAGACAAGCGGCCGCCCGCCCGGATTCGGTCCTGATGACCGCCGACCAGCTCCCGCCATTGAAGACCCGTCGAAAGCCCCTCTGCCGGGACTGTCCTCCCCGATCGATGGTTGCGTTTGTGAGAGAGGAAGACTTCCCCAAAGTGGAGCGAAAGGACGACGAGAGGCCCCGGTCACGTTGCACAATCCCTCCCAGTGCCGGTGTTGAGGTGCTGGATTGTGAGGGCTGGAGTCGAGGTTATGAGAACGCTCGGCGGCCCGGCCATGGCAAGAATTTCAGAGTTTGCCTGCACTGTGCGCGAAGGAACTGGGACCTCTTTACTTGGACCAGGAAACCATACAGTGTTGACCTTTGCCGTAGGTGTTCACTAACTTGTCGCGCTGGAGATAGATATCCGGGAGACGGCCGCAACGAGTGCCAATGCCACATTCTCTGTATCGACAGGAGCGTCCATTTGTGCTACGGCTGTCGGCAAGAGCAGCAACAACGGGAATACCAGAGACTGGGCGAGTGGGCTCGGCTCCGCATGATGCACATACACGGCAAAGAGGATGAACCTTGCAACTACAACGAATGTACCCGTATCAGCCATTACGTCGATAATGACCATCACCCGTTCGGCGAGTCGGGATGTATCTGTCCCCGAAACCTTGACGAGGGCGCCAAGCTTGAAACCTACGATGTGAATGGTAGACTGGATTTTGGTGGTATGGTGCGAATGTGTTTGCACTGCCGGCGCGAAGTCTTTGTGATAAGGCGGTTTACATATTATCCGCCTGAATGGTCATAGTTCTCCTCATGATAGAGGACACCACCTGTCTCATAGTTTAATCACGTTTTCAGGCACTGACTGCAGAAAAGGGGAGTCCGCAAGACCTTGTCGATACAAATGACCCGAAGCGCAGATGGAGCCACTGTCAAGTGAGCCGAAAGATGGCGGAAGAGGCCTGGAGGTTGGTGTTGGAAGGCGAACGAACACACGGAACGTGTAGCATAGATATGAATTCCGCCAGTAACTATAAACATTGTGTCCATGCACACCATCTGAAATTCACCTAGTCTTTGTGAGCTCTTCAATCCTAAGTTGAGCAACTGTGAAATGCTGAAACCATTCTTCAGAAATCGAGCATGGATAAGATGGGCCCGAAAAGCCACACAGGAGAAGACTCACGAGCATCACCAATCAGGCAGTATAACAATGCCTTGAGCGACACCTCGTTACTACCAGCTCATACATGGTGTGAGAGACCTTGACAGCCCAACAAAATCTTGCAGTCTTTGACTCCTCAAGCCAGCATGGGGCAAGTTCCCAGACGTTCAATTCAGTAAAAGTTGGTTCCTGAAAAAGGCCTGTTGTTTCCAGACACGTCAGTACGAGCAACGTTGACACCGAGGGGATCTAAGTCTTTGTCAACACGGCCCAGTCCTTGGTATCTCTGTGCGCAATACCATTGAATCTATCCGAGATCTGCTCGTTATTGTTCAAAGCAGATCGGCTAGGCCTCCCAACTTTCATTCCAGCTGTGATTCCATAGCCACTGGATCCTGATTGACTGTTCCGACTGTTGGTAAGATTTGTCAAAGGTTTGCGAGGAACTGTGTCTGGCGCTTTGGTGCTCAAAGGAATATAGGACCTTGTGGCTGCGTTACGGACCGTCCCTGGTAAATGTGTTCGATGTTGAGGTGTGGCCGATGCAAAACCATCTGTGATGGTTAGTGGAGACCATACGGTGAAGATACAAGACATACGACTCTGCTGTCCCATCGGAGGTCCTGATGGAGGTGGCATGGCGGAAGCTTCAGCTTCAGCGTGAGCATTCTTGCTGGATCGACTAGGACTTCTGCTGTGATGGGCATGCTCGTACTGCATATTGCCTCGCTGATCGTTTGTACGATAATTGGGTGGTGGAGGTTGCTGGACTGAGGCATCCCCGAAAGTTTGGGGGCGTGGAATGCTTGACATTGAGTTGATAGCCTGTGCCACAGAATCTGAAGCTGCTGTTTGGACCTGAGAGGTCATTACCCGCTTCTTCAGGGTATCGTACAGATGCTGGGTCTGTGCCTGCTTCTTGCTTTTGTCTCGGTACATTTCGACCAGCTCAACATTCTTCTGCTGGAGTGTCTTTTGATCAATTTGGAGGCCTGCAGTAATGTTTAGCAATTGCGGTAAAGCAGATGTCAAAAGTGCCTACTTTTGACCTTGCTCTGCAGACTCTGTATCTCAGCATTGGCATCAGCGACAATCTTGTCGAGCTGGCTGCTGAGATGACTATACTTGTCGGCCAGGTTCTTGCCCATCGCCTCGTTGTACAATCTGCTGACGGTTATGATGCCGGTTTGAAACGGATGTCACGGGAGGTACATTTCTTGCGTTGTTTGATAGGCCCAAAAAGCAAGCCCTCGTCCAGCACATTCCATGATCGTGGTTGGGTCCAAGCCACTCAACACGCTTGTTTTGTAATCTTCAGTAGGCTGCAGGATGGTCGTAACAGCATCGTCTGGGTTGGATAGTTGAGTGCCGCACGCTGGACATTTCCGCTCGGCTTCTCTTGAACGAGACAGACCAGACTTATGCGCACAGTTCAAGCAAAAGACATGGCTAAGGAGGCTCGGTCAATGCCATTGTCCCTGCAGAGCGAGGGAAGTTAACAAACGAGCAAGTTGTGACAACAGCTTGGTCTGTCAAAGCCGTTCGACAGCTGCGGATATTGTTGCATCTCAAAGGGGCGTCCATGATGATGAAGGGAGACGATGGCTACGAGGTGATTCAATGAAGCCAGCACCTCTCGTGGATTTGGAGGCATCAGACAAAAGGAAAGGATGAAAATGAAGTTTGGCAAAGTGGTCAAGCCGAGAGGAAGTTTGAGAATGAAATGCGTCCCTTGGCTCGTTCCTGATAGCAGTGCTCTGGAGGTCGCTGTTGCTTCATCATGTCTGGAACTCTTTCTCCACCTTTGCACTCCGAGTTCCCAGTCCCCAGCATGAACATGAACATGAACATGATCATGATCAAGACTCGTCTTCCACCGGGCCCATCTATACCTCACGCCTCCAGCCTCAAGAGAAAAAGAACGCATTGCCTTCTGCATCTCTTCTCGATTGTGCTAGCTTCTCTTCGAAACCTTCTCCGGCCTCAAACTCCTTCCAGAGGCTCGCTGGGTATATGTGCTTGTTCTTTTCGTACCATCTCCTGTCTACGACTTTTGTCAACGAGGGATCTGTATCCCTACCTTCCAGATCTTGATTGCCGCCATCCAGATTCAGACCAGAGCTTGTGCTGTCTGAATTTGACGGTACTACAGCATTCGAATAGTCAAAAAGAAGACTAGTTGACTTTGACGAGCTAGGAATACGGTTGGCGATGAAGTAGTAGAACTCGTAGTGCTGTCTCTCCGTCAGTGTAGTCGAAGACATGTACGAGGTGCTCCTACATGTGGAATAATCACCTCTCCACGCACACACATCAAATCATCCACACCCACTCTTGCCCATTCCCTTCGGCTATCATTCTTGCTCTTCGCACCTCCTCCGCCACCTCCTCCGCCACCGGACACTCCCAGCTGTGCGCCCACCTTTCGGCATCGCTCTAGGAACAGCCAGACGTGATCACCCTTCTTGACCTGGACGACTCCGCCGGGATTGTTCGTCCCATCATAGAACACGAAAGGTATTGCAATCTCAGTATTTCGGACTGCTTCTTGCAGAGCTAGGAATTCTCGTCGTAAACTATCGCGGGCAATAGCTTCAGCCTGTAGAGTTGCTTTGGTTTGAACCTTTGGTGCCGGTAAAAGTGAGGTGGGATTGGGTGTTAGACGCCTGGGAGTAGATGTCTCCCTACTCTTCTGGGCAGAGGGATCTGGTGAACGAGCTTGTCTGCCACTTGGAGTGTGAAAGGCCGATGAAGTACCACTTAGTACTTCTTCTTCTTCATCCTCACCAAATGAGAGCAATCCTTTGGGGGCCTTCCTTTTCCTTTTCCTAGGAGGTTGTCCTCGGGGTTCGCTTCCTGGTGTCAATGCACTGAGCTTTGCAAATTAGCTCTGTAAGGCGGCTGGGGATCTTGTGCACTCACCCGTCGCTCTCATCATGGGCTCCTGGTGTTTCAACTCTCGGGGTGCTGGATTTAATTCTACCATAAGCATTATCCTGTGCTTCTTTCTCCTTCTGCTCGAGCACTTCTGCACGTCGCTTGCGAAAGTCGTCAAGATGCACGAGACCAACTGTCTGGGATTTAAGAAGATCTTCGGTTGAAGCTATCTGATTGGTAAAAGATCTGGGGGTGGAGGTTGCTGAAGGTGGTTCTGAGCGCGCCATAACCAGAGGAGAGAGGCACAAGCAGAACGGAAGGATGGTATCGGTAATATTAAGTCACATGTAAGCCTGTTCTGAGGGGTTACAAGTGATCAAAGGGTTGGGGGTTAGGTGTACACTTTAGCAAACGACAGTGGTGACAGAAAGTGATAGGAAAATACCATGGCCTTTTTCTCATTCTAGAATCGCTGCCGATGCGCTGCCCCTTCGGGTTTAACCCCAACCCCACCGATGGGGAAACGCGCCCCGTACCCCTCGCCGCTCGGCCCAGATCTAAAGAGCCCGCTTCTCCTCGATCCCCCTCCATTGTCTCCTTTTCTGTCTTCTACTCCCTCCCCCCTCTTCTCTTCCCTTGCAGATGGCCTTTTCTTTCTGCCTGCTGCGCCGTCGCCACAGCCCCATAGCGCTGGGCGCTGATGACGTCCTTACGCAACCCTGCCCCGCCGTCGACCCAATCATCCGAGCTGTCCTCATCAAGATTAACTCATATCTAATGTAACACGTCTATCTATCATTAGTCTCATAGCTACACTGATACAAGACTCAGCGAGCCTCAGTGGTGACATCTGAAAGTACGGTCCGCTCTCAGGCTGGCAGTGCTGAGCTTCCCACCTTCTCTTGCTCTTTCTTCGTGGCAGCTTGCTGCGTTTCCCAGCCTTCATACCCATCCGGATATTTGTCGATCAGCTTCTGCATCTCCTCCATTGCCAGCAGACGCATTCTCTTGTTTGCTGGCCAGGCGCAGAACACCTCTAGATCCACCTGCAGCGCGTAGAGCGCATTGCGGTCATCATGATCCTCGGGAGGATAGGATACTTCCACCAACTTGTGATATGCGCGGACATGAGATTTGTTGGTTCGGTAGCGCGGCTCTGAACATACCTAGGTCGTATTCATGATGACCATAGAATGCGCAGCAGTCGTACAAGACCACATGGTATGTCGTAAGATTGATACCAACGTTGCCATGCCACAAGTCTCCATGGACGAGGAGGGTAGGTTGTAATTTCAGCGTCCTATGTCCCGGAATCTAGAGTTGTGCTGTAGATGTGATCGGACGACCCAGGTACATCATTTACGTACAGTGCGAATGCAATCTTCCTGAGATGCCTAAAGCTACTCCTTTTCGAGTAGGTCAACTTGGCTCGGCTTGGGTTGTGCTCTGCCTTCCACGTTGCCCTAATGAACTGCTCTGCTGCCAGTACTAGTAGTACAGTTAGGATTTCCCTCCACCTAACGCCTGTCGCTAAATGCTTGAAGCTATCTCTTCAGGGTTTCTTCTACCACCCTCTTCTGCCCCTCCCTCTTCCTTTCCCGAAACTTCCTCCTTGATCAAATCCTGCACCGCCTCCAGCTCCACCGCCAAAGGCCATCTGAGGCTGCTGTTGTTGACCACCACCAGGCATGCCGGCGAATGCTTGACCTTGTCCAGCGAAGCCTTGACCACCACCCATCATCATTTGCTGCATGAATTGTTCTAGATTCATAGAGCTTGGGTCAATTCCCCTCTCCATCATGCTCATAAATCTCTGCTGCATCTCTGCCTCGCTTGGCATACCCGGCATGCCTGGCATTGCCGCACTGGCTCCCTGCGTAGCTGCCCCTGCTGTTATACCGGGAGCTCCTCCCCCTGGTATTCCTTCCACGAAGGATTTCATAAAGTCGGCCTGTGCTTTTATTTCAGAGATCTCCTTTGGCGTTTGCTGTCGCTTATAACAGTACGATGCCCAAGTGAATTCATCAAACCCGTAGTTGAAGTAATCCGTAATGTCGGAGCCCGGCTTGCGCCATGGTTTAGACGATTCGGTAGGAAAGTCGGTATCGAAGTCGGTGGAAAGGATAGGCTTTCCAGTAGTAGGATGAACAGGGTTTGCGTCGAGATCGATGGTGGAGGTGTGTCTGGCGGGATAATCGGTGCCTGGTTTTTCGTTGGCAGAAGGCGTTGATTTCCGGTCTGCAGACTGCTCATGCTTGATGGCAGAGACAGGTGTAGCAGACGTTTTGCGAGTGTCATGCGGCGATAGCGTTATTGGATGTTGGTGTCTGGTCTCGCTACAGGAAACTGTCAATTCCTGAGGGCACCACTGTTTACTGCTAGAGAACGTACAGTACTACTTCAGCTTTGGGAGCCTCCTTGGAATCGGTAATAAAATTGATGTCATCCTTCACTTTAGATCAGCGGAGTATGCCACATGCCGTGACAAACTAACGTCGTCGCTGTCCTCCCCCTCGACCTCCTCGCCTTCCTCCTCACCTTCTTCAAGATCCTCCATCTTCACTGTACCGGATGGATGGCCGTCTTGCCCAACGCCGTTGGATGTTTTGGGTTCGTCCTGACCATATAAATCGTCGTCATCGGAGTCCATAATAAAGGAGATTTGATTGAGCGTGATCAAATCTCACTTGCCTTGCAGTGAGCTTTCTAAAACTAGTAGTAGGTGCTGGAAGGGGAGCTCCTAAGCACGACTGGATCCCGGGACAGCCTTGGCACTTGGCATTTGAGCTCCAGGAGACCCCGGAGTTCGAAAATCTTCCAGAAATTCTTTTGTCGATCTACAACCCATCCAACCCATCCAACGCCAGTCCACCAATCTTAAAGCACCTTCGTCCAAATCATAGAACCAACGCACTGTTATCTGCAGGACCTCTTCGAGATGGTGAGTCTCGTGTCGCTGTTCATGCTCTATATTCAGTTCAGATGCCCAAGGTGCAAACCACGTGGTCTTACAGCTAAACTTATGCTACACAGACGACCGCACTCAAGAGCATCAAGTCCCTTGTGCCTCTCCTCGACCGTGTCCTCGTACAGAGAGTGAAGGCTGAAGCTAAGACTGCTGGGGGCATATTTCTTCCGGAAAGCAGCGTGAAGGAATTGAACGAAGCAAAGGTTTTGGCTGTCGGTCCCGGAGGGCTTGACAAGGAAGGGAAGAGAATACCAATGAGTGTTGGTGAGGGCGACAAGGTGTTGATTCCTCAGGTATGAGTCCACGCAGCGCCTACGTTTACGGGTGGGTGCTGACAGGCGCTAGTATGGAGGCAGCCCAGTGAAGGTTGGGGAGGAGGAGTACTCTCTTTTCAGGGACCATGAGTAAGTTTCATTTATTTGCTATCTATCATGATTGGGAACTTCGCTCACAGCTTGCGACAGGCTGCTGGCGAAGATCAAAGAATAAGCGACCGCCCTGAAACCTTCTCCTTCACGTCTGGCCTTTCCCATCCACCAGGCTGTAACATATGTACTACCAGCGCCACCCCAGCTTCGAGCGACTTCGATTCAGCAGATGGGACACCTGTCACATGGCCTTTTGCAGCAGCATTATAGCGTTGTTCGTGTCCTCACCACCCCCTGAAATATGGATGTTATATACGTTCAAGAATAATAAATCGCGCTCTCCACTTCAAACCCTATACTTCGAATAGTTTGCTTCCAGCAGCGATTCTTGGTCAACCTGCTGCGCTGTGATAGTGGCCAGGTCGAATTGTCGTACGTGAGAAGTATCTCTGGCTGTGAAGTAGTGAACAAGATTAAATCTCCCAGGCACTAAGTCTACCAGCCCAAAGGACACCTGACCGTCGCTAGTGTCATGGACAATGGCAGATAGAAGTAAAGGAGGTGCTGGTACTAATTAGTCGTAAATGTTTTTCTGTTTCTTAACACTCTCCGCGATCCGTATTTCAGGTTGTACTCGTCAGTATGTTGAATACACATGAAACACATGCCGCGACTTATGCCTATGAGTATTTCGGCGGAAACAGCTAATTTTGCTTAGGACTAAGGCGGAGTAATAGTAATAATAATAATACTAGTCATGAAACATGGCACTTTCTTTGGCTCATGTTTTCCACTAAGATAAGGTGGTTTTACGTAGTAGATCACCATTTACGTCACGCTTACTTAAACATTAAAAAGTAATGGGTGCACTGAAGTTACACAGCCTGGACCCTCCTGTTTGAGAGCGGGCTGGAAGCGAAATTTACAAGCAATTGTCCTCGACCGGACGTCTTGGCCCGCGGCCTCTGATTTGATGAACCAATCCTCACGGGTATCAAGTACGTAAAGGTGGTGAAGCTCCTTTCCACATGCAGATTGGAATCGAACCGGAACTCGGATGCGATCTACCTATCATAGCCCCTAGCATCCAAATTCCAACGTGGCAAGGCCGCAAAAGTCGAGGGCCACTCTCGAGACGCGGTGATCCACTTACTTGCCGTGGAGCCATTACCCTGACTCAGGTTGCAAAGCAATTTCCAGAGATCCGGGCACTGGCTTGGAGGTAGGAAAAAGGTAACTATTAGGCAAGAGTCAGGGGATACAGATGGTACCTCTACTACGTAGTAGTAGTAATGAGTTGGTGTGGCTTGCTTGCCTAAGGTTTGTTAGACGATCTAGTTGAAACTGTATGGCGGCTCTGATTCGAGGACGCCGCCAATCGTATCCTCTTCTTTATCTTCGCGCGTTCCTGACTACTGCAACTATGTCGTCCTCCCTCATCCCTGTCATCTACTTTCCCAGTCTCCGCAAAATGCTGTTTCAGGGAACGGTGCTGAGGAAGAACATGATGGACACACACCCGAGGCCCGCTTAACTTTCCCCCTGCAGCTTGTTCGGGTGAGCAGTCATCCACTCATTCTGTGCTGGAGGATCCATCTTGAGGGATGTATAAAGAACTCGCCTTTCCTTACCTTTGTTCCTCTCTTTCATCGCTTGGTGGTTATATCACACTCTTTTGGACCCATTGCTTTGTGCCTTGCTTGACGCAGGCTTTCATTCATTCAGTCAATAGCCTAGAGCTATATTCATTCATTTTCGAAGCACCACCAATCACACATACGCTGTGCGAACGTCGCAATTCATTCTCTGCCCTAGGAAACCTACTCTATACTGAGTTACAAAACCGAGAAAACGCAGCACATTCTCAACCAAGATGCATATTACGGCTGCAAAAAGTACTCTCGCCGCCCTGGCTCTTCTGGGCTCGGTGCAGGCTCATACCAGGTTCACAACACTTTTCGTTGATGGCCAAAACCAAGGCGATGGTGTCTGTATCCGTATGGACATGAACGCCAATACATGCAACAGTCCCATCGCTGGTAGTCAGAGTCCTGAGATGGCTTGCGGTACGAATAACCATTTCCTCTTCTGATACATACAAGACTAATTCGTGATCAGGGCGAGACGGCGAGAAGGGAGTGGCGCGTGTCTGCCCTGCAAAGGCTGGCAGCACCCTCACCTTCGAGTTCCGCGAATGGGTTGATGGCTCCCGACCAGGCGCTATTAACCCCCAACATGAAGGTCCATGCGCTGTTTACATGAAGAAGGTAGAATCGGGAATTGCCGACAACAACGCTGCCGGTGATGGCTGGTTCAAGATATGGGATGAGGGGTTCGACGAAGCGGCTGGCAAATGGTGCATTAACAAGATGATCGATAACAACGGTCACCTTTCGGTCAACGTGCCATCTGACATCGAGGCCGGTTACTATCTTGTTCGACCAGAGCTGTTGGCCCTCCATGCCGCGCAGGACAGTCCACGTGACCCACAATTCTACGTTGGATGTGCTCAGATCTACCTCGAAAGCACAGGTTCGGCCAAGCCCGCCACCATCACGATCCCTGAGAACTATGTTGATATCAGCATGCCGGGATTGACCTTCAACATTTATTCCAAGCCTCTTGCTCTGCCATATCCGATGTATGGTCCCTCAGCCTATAACGGTGGCGGCACATCTGCCACTGCCACCACCCCCAGATCCCCTGTCTCTTCGTCCAGTGCAGTTGCCTCTTCTTCCACTTCAGATTATGTCCAGGCATCTGAGGGCACAACTCCTGATGCTCCTGCTCCTAGTGATGCCGTTGAGACGGATAGCACAGCAACAGATGACGCTGGGACGGATGGCTCTGACGCGTATGACACCCCAGCCAACTTTGTGGAAGTTGACGATACTCAAGCCGATGATGATGAGGTTGATGAGACCGACGCAAATGAAACTCAAACTGACAACACCGAAGATGATGACTCAACAGAAGTTGACGCTGGAGAGGGTGATGCTGAAGCCGACGACACTGAGGTCGATGACTCGCAAGATGATGGCGCCGAGGAGGATGACGCAGAGGCCGATGACACATCAGACGATGACCCATCAGACGACGACACCGAGGTCGATGACTCGCAAGTTGATGGCGCTGAAGATGATGACACATCAGACGACGACACCGAGGTCGATGACTCGCAAGATGATGGCGCTGAAGAGGATGACGCAGAGGCCGATGACACATCAGACGACGAATGCAACGCTGAAGAAAGCGAGGATGACTCTGAGGGCGACGAGCCCGCGAGTTCGTCTTCATACTCGCGCCGCGATGTCCAGATCGAAGGCCTCAAACCAGAAGGTTGCATCATGGTCAACGCCAACTGGTGCGGTTTCGAAGTCAAGTCCTACTCAGACGAGAATGGCTGTTGGTCTGCAAGCGCCGATTGCTGGACACAGTCCAGGGCTTGCTTTGACCAGGCACCACCAACGGGAGCCAAGAACTGTGATCTCTGGAATGACAAGTGCAACAACCTCGACGATACTTGCAATGCCAAACAATTTACGGGACCACCTAATGCTGGAAAGGATCTTACTCCAACACCGCCAGATTTAGCCGAGACGGCGTCGCGCAAGCTCATGGCTTTGGTCAAGAAGCATGAAAGCCATGTCATGAGACGCGCATATCGTGCACGACACTAGAGGACACGCCTCGGAAATGGGACCGAAGGACTGCCAAATTTGGCCATTCGCGGGATGATTCCGTTCAAGAGTGAAGCAGTTGGACCGGGGCACATGGTTGGCGATGTTGAATTCTTCACTGCCACTGCCATCAGATGGTTTGTATCTGTCAGTTAGTTTATCAATGCCATACATTTCTCAGTGGGAATATGGCAAATTATGAAGCACCTTGCATCTTTAGTCGTTTGCTTTCTGACACTCGTATTCACGGTCTCCGCATTTTCCAGTGAGGTACGGAGTATCTGTAGATGAGAGTAAAACGGGTGCCGCATTTGGGAATCTTTTGACGCTGCTTCTACAACCCTCTGCACCCACGCTAGACAGGGATGCCAGTAAATACCAAGATCAATACTGTGCATTGCGAAACTCTTGCAAATATTTGGAGGCTGTGCGGAGTTGCTAACGCCGCATCATCAAACCAAAACCAGCTCTTGAGGCCTACTTACGCATCTGTATTATATAATTTCTATATCAAAATATTGCTGAGCTTCTCCTGATTCTAATAATATAGATTTTAGGTATATAAGACTTTTTTGAGAAAGTAGTATTTACTATATAAAAAAACAGTTTTATTATTTAAGATCTATATAACTATTTATCTATATCATTAGAATCAGGAGAAGCTTAGCAATGCAATGGCTCGAAACTAGAACAAGTCAATAGTCCATAGATTGCTAAAACGTAAGCTGAGGAGTCTATCTACATTGCGGCCAGCGCTCTACTCTATATACTCCTCTATCGAACACAAGGGGTGCTACTAGTTAACCTGCGCAGAGGATCCGACGGAGTATCTGCAGGGCCAGAAGCGGTAGCTTCCCTCTGGAGGAGATTGTACTTCCCTAAAGGGGTCGTATCAATCTCCTGTTCCATGGTACTCGTACGGGGAGCCACGTGCCGTACGGATGCCTCTATCGGCGGCATAGTAGCTTGACGGCAAGAGTTCCGCGTGCCGTTGTGGATACGCCATCGGCGCTGCCATCCGAGTGCGTAGCTGGTCCCGTGTATTTCCTGCGCCATAGCAGAGGAGATACTCCATCCATCACACTACCCCCCCCTCTAAAAAATCGATTGCCCTTAATCGAGAGCACGAGAAAGTAAGCCCACTCCTCCCAAATTCTGTTGCCAAGCCTAGCAACTTCCCTATTAGGTTAGTCCGAAATTTGGCTATACATGTACAGCCAAATTTGTCACGTGATGTTTCTGTTGGATTTTCCTGTATTTAGCTTAAGTTCAACTAATCAGGCGCTCTTTTTGTTAGGTGCCTTTCGAAATAGTCTCTGAGCAGGTCCTCAGAGTCCTTGAAGTTCGTGATAAGGTAGTAGGTCAGGTCCTCTGGCCAACCTACCTACTTGGCTCACACCTTCAAGGCCTTGCCTACTTGCTTGACGTCGACTATATCCTTAATCTCTCATGCCTCCTCTCCTTCTGTTTCCACGGGCAAAGGCTGTGGATATTCCTGGCCTGGCAGGGGGTCAGCAGGGTCTTTGGTAAGCAGCGATACGTAGAACACGTTATGAATCCGCATTGACGAGGGTAGCTCTAGACGGAAGCTCTGCCCGAGTCTCTTCACAACAGGGAATGGTCTAATCCATTTCGAATCCAGCTTCTTGCAAGGTCTTGTTGTGCTAATATTCTTTGTCAATAGCCAGACCTTGTCTCCTTCTTCGAAATCGATTTCCCGGCAGTGCTTATTCGCCTGCTCTTGCTATCACTCTTACGCGACCTTCAAGTACCCCTGTGCTCCACTTCTAAACTTTTTCTATTAGCTTTGCCAGGTTCTTAGCCTTCCCTAGGGCTATGTGTTTCCTTACTGTCTCTGCAGACTCAGGCTTGTCAAAACTTATCCTTAGCTAATATCTGTGTATGTTTATAAATAGTGACAGCTGTATAGACTTAGATATTGCTATATTTATAACAAATTTGGTACTTAAGAAGAGATTATTCTAATTATCTTATACAAAATCTATATAGGCCCTTGTTGAATTGCTGCCAAGCCGCTAGCATACTAGTGGTCACATGACTTGAGGCTATGTCTGTTTAGGCCTAGCGTCACTTACTAGCCATCGAGTAAGATTGCACTTGAACTTCGGATGGAAGTTGGATTCAACTTCTGAACGGTTCACCACATTAATCAGTTGATTGAGTGCAGACATCCATAGATAGCAGAAGCAGTTTAACGTTACTTTCAACAGGTTATGAGCCCGGTGAGCACCCTCTGAACGCTGACAAACAAACAGAACACCAAGCAATTGAAGGAGATCACAATTGGCAGCATCCTGTTACCCCTATTCAGCAACTACCTCGAAAGGTCCCAAATCCGCCCAGGCAGTTTCAGGACCTCAAGCCAATTGGACCCCCTTCCAGCTTCGAAGCTCCTCCGAACCTCCCTACAGCCTTCGAAGCCTATCTAAAGCCTTCTCAAGATGAGCAGCAACGACAACACCGACCACGAGAAGCGAGAGAAGCTCAAGGGCTTCGAGAACTGGCCTCGTTGGTCCAATTTGGCCTATCTACGTCTAATAGAGAAAGAGCTATGGAGATACATCGCCCCTGGGCCACCGAATGACCCAAATAACCACAGGGCCGCAAGGGCAGCATACTACCTAAAGAGGGACGTCAGTGATGAGCTGTTCCAGGGCATTGAGACTATTAACGACCCACGGCTCATCTGGAATCATCTTAAATCGGTATGCTCACAAGCAGGGCAAGGCGTCATCTACGCATCTCTGCGAGAGCTCTTCTCCCATCCTGCCAATTATAAGGCTCTTGGCCTCGAGAAGTCCATTAATGCTCGCGTTAGTGAGATATCAGCTATCGTCAAACGGATTCGTATAGCTGTCAACCCTACAAGAGACATCTGGGAGGACATTCAGATAATTCAGCTCCTTGAAGGTCTCCCTTCCCAATTCGACAGCAAAAAAGAGCATATCCTCAACCAGAAGGATATGAAACTAGCCGACGTTCAGCAGATACTTGCCTCTGAAGAAGTACGAATCAATACAGACCTCAAGACAGGCCTGTTATCCAAGGCAGCGATGAGCGTGAGGTTTAGGAGCAAGCAACGCAAGAACCTGGCTGAGATCCAATGCTATAACTGCAATGAACTCGGCGACTTCGCAAGGGACTGCAAACTGGCCAAACAGACCGAAAGAAGCACTAACAAGAGGAGAAATACCACTGAATCAAAGCGGCCAGCATCTAAACGCCGTATCAACCAGGTAAAGGCCGACGACAACACAGAAAGCGACTCCGAACAGCAAGAATTCCCCCATGGCGTCGTTCACGCGTTAAAGTCGAGCAAGCTCAACGAAGAACGTAATTAGTATATCAATTCCTGCGCCAGCAAACATATCACTGGCCAGAGCAGTTGGTTTCAAGCACTAACAACTGCAAACGAACGATTTACCACTGCCAACGCCGGCACCATCATAGCCAAACAGGTTGGTACCGTCAGAATTGAGACAGAAGACGGCCACATGGACATTGACGACGTAGCGTACGCGCCTGCTTGTACAAGCAACCTCTTATCTCTCGGCCAATTGAAGTCAAATGGAGTGAAATACGTGGATATGGACGACCATATGGCACTCGTCGTCAATGGAGAAATCGTCGCCCGCGCAACTCTCAAGGACAACCTTTTCGTGCTCAATAGCACCCACGCTGCTATCCTGATGGCCGTGCGAGGCAGACCAACATTCAAAACAGCTGAGGACCCACAATAGCAACTATGGCACCGTCGACTCGGCCACGCAAGCCATATCCGAGTCGCTCAGGCCAGCAGGATGTCTACTGGCATAGATTTAGCTGCTTTAGACACAGACCCTGCTATTGCTGACATAGAATTAGCCCTCTTTGGAGAAGCAAACGAGCGACATAGAATTGGCCCTCTTTGGAGAAGCAAACGAGCTCCAAGAGAGTAGCCAAATCTGTGAGCCCTGTGTCGAAAGCAAGCAAACTCGGATAATCCATCACGAAGGAAGCCAAAAGGCCACAAGGAAGCTCGAATTGGTCCACTCCGACCTCTGGGGACCCCACTATCCCGCCTCTTTTCGTGGCAAGCACTACGCCATAGTCCTGGAGGACGACTATACGAAGAAGAGCTGGATAGGCTTCCTGACGCAGAAATCAGATGCGTATGAGCACTTCAAGAACTGGCACGCTATAGTTGTCGCCGAATCAGGGTATCTATTGGCGGCGCTTCGAGTCGATGGAGGGGGAGAATTTATGAGTATCGCCCTGGAGGACTATTGCAAGAAAGAGGGCATATCCATCGGCCCCTCTGTGCCCTATACCCCTGAGCACAACGGCAACGCAGAGCGAGCATGGAGAACTATTCGTACGATGAAGGACTCGATGCTGATTGATAGTGGACTGTCAAACCGCTTCTGGGCCGAGGCTATGGATACCGCCAATTATATCCGAAATCGACTACCAGCAAGAGGGATCAAGACAACCCCGGAGCAGGCTTGGACGAATCAAGTACCCTTCCTTGGCCACCTACGGATCTTCGGCAGCACTGTCTATGCTTATATCCCTAAGAAGAAGCGACAGAAGTCCGACATCAAGAGGACCTGGACAGGCATTCTGATAGGGTACATGCCAACAACGAAGCAGATTCGCGTGTGGAGTCCGACTCAGCAAAACGCTCATGCTATCTCAGCATACACCGTCGACGAAAGCCGCAAGGGAGCCGACCTCCTCACACAGCACCCTCTACCTCCTCCTACGGATACCCTACAGAGGGCATATGTAGAGAGGGCACAGCCAGATGCGCCAAGAAAGAGAGGTAGGCCCCGAAAGCAAGCTAACAACGTCATAGATCCAGACTACCCCTTGCCTGTACAGGCAGGAGATTCAATTGAACATTTTGAACAAGACAAGTCTAAGAGAATTAGACTAAGTGAGTTGAGCACATGGCCAGTGAGAGAACCGTCTGCAACGAGGCAGCAAGGGATGAGCGG